CTTTGAATCTCGGAGTTGTTGAATATTATAATGCTGTTGCGTTTACACTACTACGTGATATGATCTCACAAAATTGAGATCATACTTGCCTTCGTGTTTATACGTCGTCCGTAACAATGCCATGCTGAGTAGTTCATGGTTTATTGCAGCTATAGAGCTAAAATAAATCCTGAAATGCTGATAATCTGTTACATTTTATATAACAAATATGCTACGATTATATTATGAATGGGCTTCTACTCTATGTCAGAAATAATTACGGATATTTAAAATCAATAAAGTTTAAAATTTAGGCGTAAAGAGATCAACGTTCTAAACTGCATCTCAATTAGTAGATTGAGTTTATATTTATAAGATACGATTTAATCGGCATTCGAAGATGATATATTGCTCCAGTGTTAATATAATTTTAACATTAACTTTATCTACCTTAAAAATAAAATAAAATAAAAAAAATCAGGTTATGACCTTATAGGAACGCGTCACACATTTGTTGTTGAGCAAAATAATATCGAAAGAGATTAAGGGAATCAATACATTTTGTTCCCATATTAGTCAGGTTTTAAGTACCATGGTAACAGTATTGGCTAACTGTTACAACTTCCAAATTTTGTAACAAGTACTAGATCTGCCTCAGCAAGGAGACCCAGTAATTAAGTTGAAGAACTAACTTTATTGTTAAATTAAAGAGTTTATATACTTTCTTTATTGTGACCTTTGATCTACTGACGTAGATCACAAGATCATCACTAACAGAAAGGTTTCCCTAGTTTAGACATTACAAATAGAATATCATACCAAGTATGGCAACATGAGAATACATATATAGATAACCTTAATATAGTACCATAACTACATCTATATATGCATGACGTGATAACATCGTGATATTTAACCATATATAGAAAGAAGGTAACATACTAGTTATGTAACTATTACAGAACGTGACACTAACTGAAGTATGAAGCAAATTAAGTTCATAAATTTGTATATCATATCTTTATAGTATTTGCGATTATTTACCTCATACAGTATATAGAATTATCAACTGACATTAATAAAAACTAGTAGGCAAAAATTCTTCCAGATGTACGTGTAATCAGAAAATCTTCATGAGTAAGGAACAGTTTACGCTAGTTAACTATTCAAACATGTATCTCTCATTATTGCTCAGAGAGGGAGTTACAGTCTATTTTTTTATATAATATACGTGTGTGTCGATCGATATTGAGGAATTACTTAATCTAATGGTCTGATTTATGTCTCAAGACAAATTAATAACTTATGATACCTGTAACTATAAGTACCATATAGCATTGCTGTGTGTAGTTCACATAATATAACAGATTATCATCAGTTAGGGTTATCTTTCAAAATCTATGATATAATCCCGATAAAGTAATGCGCAATAGCTACTAATAATGTATATTAAAAATCTATTTTCATTAGTTAAATTATCTTTCACGTTAGTAATGATTGAATGTAATAATTTGCAAGGTCATTTACATATTAAGAATCGATAATTCTTATAACGATTACAATATCATTGAAATCTAGCGAAAAATACGATCGACCCCTTATTTAATTGTAATAAAATAAATTTCAATCGCTTTTACGCTCTGACCTCGGTGGTTTTCTTTTTATGTTTTAATTTACGTCAGCAAGATGGTATGTGTTTATCTAATTTTCCTTTTTAACCTGTTGAAAAATAAAAAATAAATTAATAATACCTCAACACGTTAATGGAGGACTTCTCATTCCGTAAATTATATTATATTTACCTAAAGGTCAATTTATACATTACAATAAACAAGAAGAATACTAAATTTCTTTAGCTTACATCAACAGTATAATCTTTATACGATCTTAGTAATAAACTAACAGAGCAGTTAATGCTGATCTAATATCGATTTGTAAGTATGATATTGATTGAAATACGATCTGTCATTTTTTTATTGCTATTGAATTTTGTATGCTATATGGTATAGTAATCATCATTTGGAGTCTCTAATATATCAAATGAATATAAGATAATTATGGCCTCATTAATCTGAAGGAAAATTACCCTCAAGCTTTCTAGCAAAATAGGTGTCAAGTGATGCCTAGAACTGTCAAATTAATCATTAACACCTTGATATTATATCTACCTCAAGTGAAATTGACGTCATTACAAGTCAATGATGTAAGTTTCTTATTATTCTCGTTTTCTACTAAGAAATATTATTATTTAAAGTTATGAAACTCCTTATTAATTGAATCCACAACAATCTAAATGAACTTAGACTACATTTGACCTTGTATGATCTTTTGAAGTTGACTAACAATTTTAACTCAGCCTAAACCTATCACAACAAAATAAAAAACAATAACAACTGCAATGAATTAATCTAAAATTAAGCATAGATACATTATAAAGCAATAGCTTGAAACTTCATATGATTATTACTTTAGTATGGTATAGATTAAAAGAAAATATGTTATCATCTTCATGCTATACGCGTATAGTGTAGTATTTTTTAAGGTATATTTATCGTTGATTTTGTTTAGCGGAAATAGTATAGTTAAATTAACAGATTTTCATCTTATTGTATGCTGAACAATTATCATAATAGCCTACAGAAGATGAAATGTAGCGAAATATTATTGATATTGAAATCAATAAAATGCTATACACAGAAAATAACGTCATTCCGTACAACTCTTCCCTTAGTAGCATTTTTTCTAACCAAAATATAACACGATGAGATTGCTACCTTCTAAAGCCTTTGATCATATAGTTTGAATTGAATATAATTAACTTGAATACAACAAATATTTGCACATTATTTAATAAATGGCACGAATCTCTGATATAAATACGTAACGATGATCTAAATTAGATCATAAATTCAAAACGTTTTTGTCCGAACCGAATTGAACTATTGGTATAACTTATCGTACGTGGTACATAGTGTATGCAAAAAGTGCAATAAAAGTCTAAGCGATCACTTTTCTACCTGATATTTCAGAACATAAATAGTAAGCGATAACATACGTAACAGTATAATATACTGTATAACTTCGTAGATACTAAAGTATTGCAAATTTCAATTTTAGTTTAAGATTACATAGGAGCTTAATTAAATTTTTACTAATTATATCGTAATGATTTTCGACAGCGAATGGAGCACTACAGCTTGATGGTCCTAATATTCATGACCATTATAGTACTTCCTAGCGTCCAGCTAGCATTAATTCATTCACATGATTCTAAGGTTGGCTATTGTATTAATTAATATTTTTAGAGATAAAAGTTAAAATTTGATTTGATGATTTCGATCAAGTCAGGTTAATTTGCAGTATGAGTAAAAGCGAGCTCAAAATATGTGCTATCTGCTGCGTTTATTAAACTGATAATGAATTCTTATTGAGATAACCCAAAGTCAAATGTAACTAAAGCTTTGTCTGTTATTCCAAATTTAAATGGAGAAAGAGAGAAAAGAATAAGCAATTATGGTCTAAGCCCATCATTATCTCAAAGATTAATTAAATTAAGACATGCTTTATTCGACATTTTCATTAATTTGATAATATATTATTTTATTGAAATAATCTCAAGTCAAATGTAGCTGTTAATAATATCTATCTTTTTTTAGAATGTATCCAATCCAATCATAAACAACCAGCAAAATTCAGCTGAAAGTGATCCAGGCGAAAAATTTTTATACTGTAAGCACTCTGATAGCTACATGCCGTATTTACTGCAATTTGCATTATCATTACAATAACAGAATTCTTGATATATGTATTGTATAAGTTATTTACTACAAGTTGTAATGTGTTCGTTAATAATGCAACTGTAATATGCTAATTGAAAGATCGTAACTTTTCACCTCATTTAATATAATAATTACACAATACCTCTAAGCTGGCTAAAATCTCGCGGTATTCAGTTGCAGTATTCTTTTATAATATCTAGTTTGCGGTGGCCGTTTCAAAAGGTCAAAAGGATATATTAAATCACCCCGCTTTCCAAGGCGCTATCCTGATAACAGCTATTGCATCTATCAAATTTTAACTCGTCGATATCGAAGAATCTATCTTAAGTTTACACATTTTGATCTGGCCAATCCCAAGCCGTATTGTACTGATTCTGTACGAATTTATAGTGGGAGATCAGCCTATAGTGGTTCATTAATGGCAGCTTACTGTGGTGGTGATCAAAGTTATGCCAAGAATCGGACGCTAGTTTCAACAGCCAACATTGTCACTATCTATTTCATCGCTAAAAATGATGGTTATCGTGGACGTGGATTTCGCATAGTTTACAAAGCAGCTAGGCCACCAACAGGTAAAGTCATTATTTTACAAATTACGTTGATTTTGATATAGACATTTTTGATATGGCTTACTTTTCAAGTAAATTGATTAACAAGAGAAACTCTTGCGATTTAATTTTTTTAGTTTTAAATGCAACTATTTTATTGTCTTAATATAAAACTCTTTACCTTAGGCACAACAAGTCCTCCATCTACTACACAGCCTACACCAATGCCAACAACTCAATGGAATGATAGTACAACTGCTGCAACAACGCAACCTCCGCAAACGCAAACACCATCGCAGCCAACAAGTACTTTAGAATCGACAACCGTTTCAGCAAGCTCAATAACAATACCAACAGTAGCTGCTACACTGCCAACTAATGATAGCACTACACAACAAACTGAGCCACCAACGTTGCTGCCAAATACAACCACTACGACTATACCCGATAGCAATTCCACAGGTTAAAATTAATTTTCATGTTTCGTTGGTATATAACTTTATTAGTGGATGCAAACCGATATTTGCTCTTAGTAGATGGTGGAAATTAGCTAATAAAAATATTGTAAATAGTAATATTTAAAGTATGCTAACATAAGATTCAAGAATAATCTTCCATTCATATCCTTCACCTCGTTACCTTAGATGCGCCTAACCGCTGTGGAATACCTGCAATCGATGGCAATTTATTATCTAGAATTGTAGGCGGCGTTGAAGCTAAAAAACATTCTATTCCATGGCAAGTCATGGTATCTAAAGGAAATAGCCTTTGTGGTGGTAGCCTATTAAATAAATTCTGGGTAGTTACTGCTGCACATTGCCTGCCATCATCAACATCCAGTGCTAACACTGTTACTGTCAGATTAGGTAAACATAAGCTTATCAGTGAACCTAATCAACAAGATATAGTGGCGGCGGCTATCTATATCCATCCTCAATATTCAACCTCAAGTAAAGACATCGGATTGATTAAATTATCACGAGCAGCTACTCTATCTGATCAGGTTACCTCAATATGTCTGCCGAAATCTACCGATAATTTTCCACCAAATGAAAACTGTGTTGCGTCTGGTTGGGGTAGCATGGCTTTTGGTGGGAATTTGCCTACTGCATTGCAAAAAGTTGTCGTCCCTATTGTTAGCAATCCCATTTGTAATCGACCAGAATCTTATAATGGTGGTGTTGCTAGTCACATGTTATGTGCAGGTTTCGGTAATGGCGGTAAAGATGCATGCCAAGGTGACAGTGGCGGACCTTTATTCTGTAAAACACCTAATGGACTTCATAACCAATGGTCATTAGTTGGTCTTGTCAGCTGGGGCGATGGATGCGCTAAGCCAAATAAATATGGCGTTTATACAAGAGTTACCGATTTTGTCGATTGGATTGGACAAACTATCGCAGCAAATTAATGAAAGCTTTAATAGAATTGGGTTCTAGTCTCCATACCATTGTCTTACTACTTTATAACCAAGAGCTTTCAATATACGTATAAAATATCGATGCAGATTTCATTGAATAACCGTTAGCTTTTATATCTACATATCTTCGCAATTCTCAAAAATAGCTTACAATTTTAATGCACGTTATTTTATTACAGTCAGTCTAGTCTTTTCTACCAACATCAAGTCAGTTGAACATGAATGTCATACATTATACTTTATTCTCATTTTGCTACTCTTGACATATATTTTTTAGCAACATAATTTCTACTTTTATTGTAATACGAGTATCTATAGCAAGAATAAAGTTTGTAACATCAACTTCTGACCATATTTTAAATGAATGATTCAATTATTAATAATCACAGCTGATACTGAGTTACCATCAGCTGCTGATAGGATTAGTAATCCTTCTAGAATAATATATGTACATCGCCTCGTTCAAAAAAATAAATATGCATCGCACCATTATCTACTAAAAAATCTGACTGGAGAATCGACTCAGGGTCTAATGAACCTTAAAGATATACGTAATAAATGATTAGGACTTGAATTGCCTTGCGGAAATGATGATAACAGTATTGAATTAGAGAGAGTCTGCATTGTAAAGATCATATGATGACATCTAATAAAGTTAATTATAGTTTTAATGAGTAAGCATACTATAAAGTAAGCATAAGATTTTATTTATAATCAAAGTATTAGATTCTTTAATTCTTTCTTAGTTAATTACCTAATGTTGCTATAACAGTTTTGTATTACTGTTGATTATTATAATGGATTCATTGAGAAATAAAGAATAAATTATTCTAGTAGTAATCAATAAACCCGTAATATATAATTTTGATCAACAAGTTGTTGACAGCCTTGTATTAACTGATGCTCTTACCAATTTATTCATGTAAACAGAAAGTTAATCTATGCTATCTAACATCACGAAAAGTTTTAGTATCTATAGACATTGTATTTGTAAAAAATAACTTTTCCAATAATAAATACTTATATAATAGATAAATGAAGTTCCAGTCATTTCTGAATGTACATGTATGCTAATATCATTTTAATATACGCATATTATTTTGCCCTTATTCGTTTTATTTATCTAGCTAATTGAAAGAATTGCAGTTCCAGCACATTATTTTCGAATTGATGTAATAATCATCATGGTCACATCATACGCCATCCATATTCACAAAATTTCAGAAAAGAAAGTAAGATCAAAAATAGTGCAATATACTTTATGCAAATCGTTTACGCTTAAAGGGGAGGTCAAATTGACATTTTTTAAGACGTAAACAACGGTAACAAGCGTTGATAGTGAGCAGCTATGCACTCATCACTTAGCCGCAGGGCATGAACAGTCAACATTATATCGATAAATTAATATTGTAGCTATAGATATATATAACAAATATAATTCGGATGTTTAATAAATTAAGTTATTTCGATTTTTAAACCTTAAAATGAAAAATTTGTTACTCTAGACGATAGAATCTTATCAGAATACTTGAAAAATGTATAAGAAAATACTACCTCAGGCTATACCATCTTGTAAGTTTCCGTGTAAATTTTAGGGTGCATAATGCCTCAAAATATTTTTGTTATTCGCTTCGTTTAGGACAACATAAACTTCTTCAATTTTATAAACAAAAAATACACAATAGGCTGAAGGAGCGGAATGCTCAAATCCATCATCATCACCTTGTCATCCATAAGTGTGAAAGAATTTAGATGAAACAAAGTTATAAATAAACAATTCATTAAAATTTTAACGTTGTTTATCAAATTTTTGCTTGCATTAAGATATAAAATGATGCAAGATAACCCATTTTAGTTATAAATCTGTAACATTGGAAACTTCAATAACTTAAAATTGATATTCATTCTATAACCTTGATTATATAATCATTTGCATACTATACCCTTTAGAGGAACCAATTGCAGACTAAGATCTCAATCAAATTCTGGTCTGATAATATGCAGGTATACGCGTAATGTCAGTTTAAATTGTTAGCCTAGATACTTTGCCCTTGTTATTAAATTCATTTTTAATAACTCTTAAATTTATATCATCAGCCTACGCTACTTTAAATCCTGAACTTTAGCCAGTATTTGTCTTGATATAATGCGCTAATCTTACGAAAGAAGAATTTAAAATTTAAATGTCCATTTATTATTTTATTTTAAAACAGAAATTTAGTCTGGATATCAAGTAATATATAGCGTTAATATTAGTTATATTTTATTGAATAAACAGAGAAATTCATTTATCTTAACTTATTCGAATTTAGCGGCTTATCGTTTTGTTTCTACAAGATTTACAACAATTTAGCAAAGTTAGTGTGGCATATGCAGCATATAGGCTGCTATGATTAAATTTTTTCTTTTGTATTCCACTATCTGAGAGTGTGACACGTACACCTAACTAATAGTCGAAAGTTGAGATAGAAGAATAATAATTTGAGAATATTGAGTATTATAAGTCAGTTACAATGTAATCATATTGCCTAGACTAGGAATAACAAAAGATTACTATACTAGTTTTTAATATTTAAATATAGATTAGAAATTACATATTTGCCGGTATTAGTAAATTGCATTGCTAGATAGAGATTCTCTATCTATTGCTTTCTTGAGATGATACATTGATAATAGTTTCGACCAAGAATTAGACTCCTAAAATTACTAATAAGAAATAATACCTTGATAACATAAATCATTTTGAAATATATGGAAATCATAAAAATACTGAACTAGATATAATGTACCAAGTAAAATTTGTAAATATATAATTACTATTTAACCGTAATCCACTTTGCATAGCATCGTTTATATGTTTGGTATAATTTTCATTTGTAGTGCTACAAATATTTTCTGGTAATGCTTTTAATAGCTATTGCTGCAAATTGTGGAATGTCAAGAATGATTAATAGCCAGGTCAGATTTCGTTGCAGAGTCATTAATTAATGTGTTTAGGGTTAAGATAATATGTTAATACTTGTATCAGTGACTTAATTTGATCTAATGTTATGAATAAAAAGTTTTACCTTCAATATCAATTTTAATAAAGTTATACCGACTTGGCACACATTTCCTGAAATAGTAAGTTTGCAAGATTAAAATTTTTAATGACACGTTCTTCATATACTTTATTCTAGCCTAAAAATGGCACTGACGCAAGAGTCTCTTCAAAAACTAACATAAAATGTATGTTTACTAAATAAGGGGTGTAATTCAAATCGAAAAGATAATCTCGGCAATTTATCACCAATTTTTCGTAAAGCCACTTAACATTCTTACAATTTCTCTCCTTATTCCTATACCAATACTATAGTTTTATCTACATCACTAAGCGGTTTATAACAAATTTAGTCCGAATTTAGTAAATTTTATGACATTGAAATGATTTGCTATTATACAATAAAGGATAGGACTGATTTACTTTACAGCTGGCAAATTAACGCTCTGGCAATTGCATTAATAAGCTTATAATTCATTCTTCTTAATATAGCCTGCGGAGGACACTTTACTGGGCAAACTGGTATAATTACCTCGCCCAACTATCCAAATTACTATCCAGACCGCAGTAACTGCATATACAGGGTTACTGGACCTCAAGGCAGTAAAATCAAATTAGAGTTTCTAGATTATCAACTCGGGTTAACATTACCGTTGTGCAAAGATGTTATAATCTTTTACGATGGACCTTCAACATCCAGTAAATTCTTAGCTGGATACTGTGGCGGAGATCCAGCAACTAGCTATCCTATTAAAGCAAGAGGAAATACCGTTACTTTTCGCTTTAAAACTGTAAACGATGGACGCGTTGGCAAAGGTTTCAAGATTAGATATACTGCAACTGGATCAGGTAAGTCAGGAAGTGCATAAGAACTTGATTAAGATTACTCTCTTAAAAAGAATTTGACAGTTTTAATTTACGTGCGAATTTAATGTTTATAAAATCTATTGTATCGGTATAAAGGTCATCAAGAATAGTCTTATTATTTTTTTCTCGCGGATGAGTCAGTTAATTCTAGTATCATTAGGGTCAGATTTAGCATTCGTTGTTTATTTCTCTGATTCAGGAGGTAATAGTCCCACGCCAACATCTGCTACTATCGCAAACCCCACTCCTTCCGATTCAGGTTATATCACTTTTGCATTACTTATCTGTATAATCTATTACGAACCTTTAATAAGTTTTAGAAAATGCTGTAAATAGGCCCATCATGTGGCTTTACATCGACAAACTTATTTAGCAAAATAGTTGGTGGTGTGGAAGCAAAACGCAACTCTATTCCCTGGCAAGTAGCCTTGTTTAAACATAATCGTTTTTTTTGCGGTGGCTCTCTGATAAATTCTCGTTGGGTCCTAACTGCTGCACACTGTTTGCCTTCGTCAAGTTCACAAGCTAGTAGTTTACATGTTCGACTAGGTGAGCATAATTTAATTAGTAATGACGGCTCTGAACAAGTAATCAGCGTTTCCGCTATATATCGCCACCCGCAATATTCTGGATTAAACAGAGACGTTGGTCTGATGAAACTATCTCGTCCAGCTACGATTAATAGTAAAGTCTCGACTGTGTGTCTCCCCCAGACAACAGATAATTTCCCCTCTGGTACAAGTTGCGTTGTTTCCGGCTGGGGCTCACTTTCAGCGGGCGGTATTTTGCCAAATAAGCTACGAAAAGCAGTCAAACCTATAGTTTCAACTTCTGCATGTAATCGACCTCAATCTTACGGCGGAGCGATTACACAATATATGATTTGTGCTGGCTTTCAACAGGGAGGCATCGATGCATGTCAAGGCGATAGTGGAGGTCCACTAATGTGTCCGACCCCTAATGGCAAGCCTAACCAATGGACTGTTGTAGGAATTGTCAGTTGGGGAGAAGGATGTGCTTTTCCAAATAAATATGGTGTTTATACTCGCGTAACTTCTGTGCTATCATGGGTTAACAAAATAATTGCCACTAAGTAATGATTGATTATCGCTTGTTGAGTCTTATTAATCACGTAGTTTTCTTTCTCTATTGCAGCCCGTAATCGTTAAAAATCTATGATAGCTATCGAAATGCCATTAAGATGCTGTATCGTTTTATTAAAGTATTTTATCCTTGGCATTACAGTAACTAGTGATAAAGTTGGAAATAGTTAAATTATAGTTGATCCGTTAATTGTATTTCACTTAAACATCATATTTGTAAAACTATTTCACTTTTTAGCATGTAGTTATGGATTACGTGTACAACATAGTCTATCAGTGGCTGCCGTCATATTATGTTATGTTATCAATCACTAAATGATATCGTCGAAGGTAACTTCTTTTAAAATAATTCATAAACTTCAAAGCGAAGTTAGATATGAGGGATTAGCCAATTCGTTTATAAATAAAAGGATCTATTATTGAAAATCGGCATTTATTGGTAGTAGTACTTATTTACAATTATTTTTTGGTAATGATTCAATATCAAACAAGTAATAATGATGCATGCCAGTAACTGATATTCAAATCGATTATTTCTTATGGTGCCATAACACCTGGTAACTATATGTACGTAAGATATTTTTAGTAATTTGCTCGAATTTCTGTCATTTCGCTTCATGCAACATCAGACTTCTAACATAATATTGCTGTATGAAAGAAAAGCATAAAGAAGAAGATATTGTGAAACTTTTTTAGTCTTGAAGTAACATCATTCTAGGTTACCTTCAAACTCATAGATCTGCATGCTTTGTAGAATGAGTATAGTAATTAGTTGACAGTCGAAGGCAGGCCAAAGTGCAGTATTATATGACATTCAGTTAATACCTTAGTAGCACCTTCAGAAAAAGTTAAGTTGGATCATGCATACACTATTGAATAATTGAGTCCTTAAACTCCACAGTACTGTAAAGTATGCGTATAGGCACCGCATAAATGGGTATTACAATTATTTATTTACATCAATATCACTCGTTTTATTCTAACCAAATAAGATAAAAAAATATTGTCGAAGTACTGCATACGGGATCCATTTTGAAGACAATTTTCAATTTTCGTATAAAAGCGGTGAAGCAGCAATACTTGGATATTTTCCCATTCTATCCACGCTACGTGTTACCGTAAGAACCAACGATTTAGGCATGTAAATATTGGAAATCATTACTTGAATATAAAATAAAATGTACGACAATCTATTTGCAAAATTGCTATATTCATTAGATGATAATTTGGTTATCATTAAATTCATTCTGTACAAATTGATTTAGCTAAAGTTGATTAGCTCCGGTTGTGTTTCTTTTTAAATTTAATTTCAAAGCAGGCATATATCTCTACTCGAATATGCATGGTAGATAAGGCCGGTCGCTGAGATTGCGATTCTGTCGAGCTTTCAAATTCTTCATTTATGGGTCTATTCGATTCACCTAACCAATCGTCGGAATGGACCTCTTTGATAAATATCGGTTGGCCAACTGTGCCACGAAATATATTAGCAATACCAGATGCCTTAGCCTGAGCACTTTTTACTGCAGCCACTAACGCTTGCTGTCTGTTAGTATCATTAGAAATTAATTCACAGTTAAGACTTAATTATAATTATCAGAAGGGAGTTAATTAAGCAATGAAATAATTATGAGAAGTACCAAAAATTCCAGGATATGCGTTTACCACATTCGTACTACTACTGAACTTGACTACATTGTACATATGCGTATAAAGACGATATAGAATAATTTATTCCTTATGAAGGCAGCTAAAACATATTTAACAATTACAAAAGTCTATCGGAAGCGTAGATAGTAAGTACGTTAGCACAAAAGATATCTTTTTAATCAGAATTAGAATACCTGTTGATGTAAAGTAGGTAACGCGAATAATCCCTATGCTAGCTCAGTTACACTTTACCTCAGATTAGTGGCTTTAAACGAATCGTGTAGGTATACGATCCTACTAACGTCTACACTTTCATCGAGTTTAGAAACGAAGAAATTTCTTAAGATTTCACACTTTTTAAAATCTGTCAAGTGGGCGACAATTTCCGTTTTGATTAAAAATTTGGATTTCTCTATTCTGTTAATATTGTTGGAAATATCGATACAATCATCTTTTAATCCGTTGTTGTGCAAAGTCTGAAGTACGTATTCCAATCGCCTGTTGGTGCTAGTTTCTGCATCGGAAAAGTTGCCTTTACAACTACAGATGGTAATCTTGAATTGTGCCTTCGTAGGAGGAAGTGCGACCTGTCCAATTGCTGTTACTTGTAATTCTCCTTTTCTATCTTTAACATCATTGGCAATCATTCGGTTGCCTTTCAGTAGATCACGGTGGGTGGGAAATTTATTTCTGTCATCGGCTGAAGAATTTTTAGGATTTTCCAGTGTAGCATAGCATTTAATTGAGCTGTCAGTATATTGTCTATAATCCATATCTTTCCTCGATAAAATAAATAATGATTTTATAATCAATTGCGATACAGTATAACAACAGCTAAGCTAAGTTTTTCTTTCAGTTTTCAATCATAAAAGATAGACAATCGCCGTTTATCTTTCCACTTTTAAATCTTTCAGAGTGGTTGTTAGATTAGATTAATCAATTTCCGTGCCCCTAGTAAATATTTAGGAATCTTCTATCGAAGTTATCTATCTTACAGTAGCAGCTGCATTACAGCCAATCTTGAAATGGACAGATTTAGAGCTTCTCTTCCAAGCCTCTGGAAGTTATGGTTCGCGCCAAGAAGTTATTGCGCAATCGTAATGACTGACACTTTACGGACAGAGTGACAGAGAAATAAGACGTCTCTTCGTCGCTAGCTCTTCCGACCTGCTATGTTGTACTGTATGCAGTAATGAGTACTAGACGAGGAGTACAATACAGTAGTGTATTGCATCGGAGTCAAGCGTTACTGGAACTCCGATCGGTATTTTTATGATTGTACACACTGTACAATAATTGATACAAGGTGCTAATTTTTCAAAGAATCAAGCAGCCTTTAGAAAAAATTTATGGTGTATGCAAATCGCCTTGAACATACAGCACTTGCCGTATATAATTCCACACAGTAATAATTCACTGTACGTTTGTAGAACATAAAAGTCAATCCCATTCGGGCCTTAACCATAACAATCGTGTCAATCCCTGTCTGTTAATATTGAAGTCCCGTTAATAGTTTATAATCAGTGCACTGATTGGCTATAAGGCATCACATGACATATGTCAAATATGGTGTTTGACATGATACGAACAAATACAGTACTGCATAGTGATTAATTTCAAATCTTTCAGCTAAGTGCAGTTTGCACGATGAGTATGATTATATTGCAACAGTACTGTGTACAGTGCAGAAGTTGAGTGCACTGTATTCGTTAACTCGAAACTTTTTTTATTTATTTATTTTTTTTACATCTTTATGTGCTCGTAACACGTGGTAGCCATAGAGATATTTCTTTCTTTCTTGCAGTACAGTACATGTAGTACAGGTGTACAGTATGTACAGTACAGTACATTGTACACAGTACTGTACACTGTACAGTACACTATTATACTGTGCATTTTGCTATCACCATCACCTCGTCTCTTTTTTAGACTACTGTAACTGCAAATTTAATTACATGAAGTTTTCTGTAACAACGCGAAGTGTTGCAGACCTTCAGTACTGTACTAGGTGAACGCGATTCATCGATTGCCCAACGAGAAATTTCGGCATATCATTGGTTAAGGAGCTGAGCATCTAACGGTAAGTATGGAGTAATATTACTGACTTATAATCAGCTTTCATTTAATAAAATCCTAGAGCAGCATATTTAAAATGAATTCAAATACTGCTAATAGTGTTCTAGCTAATACACGTGTGGTAAAATGATTGGAAAAAAAGTCTTTGCATTAATGGTACGGTATTATAGAGTACTGTAGAGCAGTGTGAGTTAAGCGAAGTTAGCACTACGGTAAATCGTTTGAAAACATGGAATGAGTAAAGGCCATGATAGGGCCCATCTTTGCTATCCGTTTTAGTGGTATATCCTCAACTGTGATTGATTCAATGTTCATCGTTTGAATAGCCTTTTATGTACTGTAGATACCGTATTTTGCCCATAAAGTCACCGGAGCTGACATGATATTCATTATACTGTACACTACTGCATGTATAATATAATTATTAGATTTGGAGAATTTTAAAATAATAAAAATTATTAAGTGTACTGTAGGTTTTTACAGCGGTCTCTGCGTACATGTTATTATGCACGGATCTTAATTTATCGTGATGGTGTTATGTTGACTTATAAAGTATTAATGTACGGTAGTACACGTATACGATTATATATTTATATTTGAAGATCCTAGAAAACTTCATTGATAGATGCCTTAGTTCACATGCATGACCTATGAAATGAAGCTTTCTATTCTCAATGAATGTTGAATGTCCAAATTATGAAATACCGTTGAGCCATATACTGCACCTAAGTTACCAAACGAGATAGTGTAGGTTGCTGCAGTGGACACTGCGCACCAGCTGAAAGTTTCACAGTTGAATGATAGCAATTCGTATTGCTTTATAAATAAAACTACATAGAATGGTCGAGCAGTTTTTGAAAAGACTCTCAGTTTTACGCTTACTGTAACTACCAGTGTACTGCATTTGGGGCTTACTACTATATAGTACATTGTACTTTAATTAACTTTTAATAATATATCCATGGGCCACAATTTTATGTAGGCTCAATATTAGTTTCCAACATGTTTATAAGCATAGTTTGCAGTAATGCTGAATAATTACATATAACATATTATGATATCATTGTTGTTGGTTCTTAATACCAGAGCAGAAAATGCCACCTCCAGCATCTACAAAAGAATACAATGTTAATCCTGTGAGCAACGATAGCGTGAAGGTATACATACGCAGATATCGTTCTCCTCGTCTACGTAAGCTTGGCGAGGATATCATAAAATTTTGTAGCTTCAAATTCGAGCCAAAAAAGGCTTGCAAAAAAATGTGGGAGCGTATGCACACTTGGTAAGTTGGTTTTTATATACTGTACAAAATAATTCGATACTGTATTATAACCTAGGGATTACAATATTACAACAGAAAGTCCACGTACTGTATTACCGATAATTCTGATATATACGTACAAGTGCACATGCTGGGCTTAGTGTGCGGTATAGTCGATTGTATTTTTGTAGTATGTAGTGCTATGTACATCATTTCGAACCGTAAAAAAAGAACGCTGATTGTTGCCCTAAAGTAATGTTAGCGATAGCGATGTCGGATATTGTGTTGTCAATTTGCTGTAATTGCGCTTCGCGAATTCACATTGTATTGTAACATGGCTATTTCACCTACTGCACATACCCAAAATGTGTCTTTGCTACTGTCATTACTGGAGCAGAGCTATGTATGCTATTAAATTATTTTACCATGTCATAATGATGAACTTGCAACATCGCATGCACATTTATTGCACAATCTTTCGGGCAGCTAAATCGTACTTGAATTTTAAACAGGCAATTTTGGAAAATTATATTACTTGGACAATTCTTAGCTTTTATGATTTGCGGGACAGCTGTCAGCAGTCAGGTTTTACAGGCTAGACATGGTGTAGACGCTCCAACTGCTCAGAGTTTTATTAATTATTTAGCCCTTGCATTCGTGTATATGCCTCTCTTCGTATTTCGTCCTAAGCGATTGCACAAGGTGCTGCGTTGGAGATCGTTAGGATACTTCTTGGTAGCTCTTGCCGATGTTGAAGCCAACTATTTACTGGTTAAAGCCTATCAGTACACAACCTTAACGAGCGTACAGGTAATTGCCTTTCGTCAATACATTAATTTACTTCTATCGAAAAAAGAGAATTATCTACGTATTTGGCATTTTACTATTTTAATTTCTATTTATTACAGTATAGATAGATATGATTTATATATCGCTAACACATCTTCGTCTCTTTTGTTTTTGATAGCTACTCGATTGCATTACCATACCAGCGGTAATGATTCTTTCCCGTATATTTCTCAAAGTACATTATCGTATCGTTCATTTAGTTGGGGTGATTATTTGCATGAGTGGTGTAGGTGCATTAATTGGGGCAGATGCGCAAAACAACCATGCCCCTGGTAAGATGTTATACGAGTATAATAGTAAGATATAAAAATAAGTTCATGGGCCTTAAATTATCTAATGTACGACACACCATAGTTTTATCATATTGGCTAAGATTAACTTCTCAATAATCAGTATGCTGTCCATGTAGATTAATTCGTGATATCGCAGTAAAAATGATTGGTGTTACATCTTCTCGTAGGTCAAAATCCTATCCTTGGAGATATGTATGCTCTTATTGGTGCTACGTTATATGCTGTGACTAATGTCGCCGAAGAATATTCCGTTAAATTTTATACTAGATTAGAATTCCTTGGAATGATCGGATTCTTTGGTAGCCTTATTAGTGGAATTCAATTGTAAGTTTAAGATTGTTCATCAGCTTTCTCGGTAATACTTGAAAGCGATTTAGATACCTGAGATAGTGTTACACTAACCAATAAATTTTCATCACCGCTTTCAAAATAGTAGGAGTGTAGTCCCTTTATCTACCCTATGTATAAGGGATATAGATACCTCACTAACGTTGTACATTGTTTCTGTAAGAATTATTCTAGAAAGACAGCAACTGGTATTAGCGGAATGGAATTCTGAAATAAGTAAGACGTTTTAACAATATAATTACGTCCCATGGGGCAGTTCGCTATTTAGACGTGCTTAATAAAATATAACGGTAGTTGAATATAAAATTAATAGACATCGCTGCATTATTATTTAGATATTGTAATTTAGATATCTATAATGTTACTTACCGGTACCGATCTTTTCATATTTCAGTCGGACTTTTTATTGGATTTGGCATCTGTATGTTTTTATTATACTCACTGGCACCTGTATATATGAGAATGAGCAGTGCAACGACTTTCAACCTATCGATATTAACGGCGGACTTTTACGTATTCATTTTCGGTCTGGCTTTATTCCATTTCAAGGTGAATATTTTATTCTATGCTTTGATTATTAGTTATTAAGGTTTCACCCTTTTTAGGGAAATCATCTGTTAAGCTTAATATCAAACTCATGCCACCTATTTATACTAATTATTTACACAAATATACTTTTTTCCCTTAGTTTTCTGGTCTATATATCTTGAGTTTTTGTCTGGTCGTTGTTGGTTTAATAGTGTACAATTACAAGGATCCTGTTATTAAGACGATTTATCCGAAATTACAGAAAAAAGAGGAAAAGACAACGACGAATGCACCTAGTAAAAGTAATCCACCCACCAGTTTCGACACTGTTCTTGCCTCTAATGAGACATCGACTACTGATAAACCAAACACTAATATATTTCCCACAGCCCCAAGTTCAATGCTATAGTCGCGCAGAAGAGCCTAACAAGGGCTCGCTGGTATAGGTCGTTCATACGTTATTTTAGCTACCGTTATATGAATATAGAATTGATACCGTTACTAGTATAATTGTGGCCGTCTCACATAAATAGCATCACATTTTACTGCTACATGGTAACTACTTTGTCAGATATCACGTAAAAATCATTTTATGAATCTTAGCAGGATATCGCAAGCGATATAAGATCTTATCTTAAGAGTACATGTTTCAAGTATAGTAAATGATGCGATGTATTACGTTTAATTCCGTGTTGTGTGTTCGTATTGTTCGATGGCTCAAAATCTAGCATACGGTAAAGCAAGTTAATACTAATTTGCAAAGATTGTTCAAATTGAATAAAGCCAACTTTGCTTATCATATGATATGTGCATCCTGCTAGTAAACCGGTGGTGTTTACCATTTCTGCGTTAAAAGTTACAAACTAATTGTTTCCTTCCAGAAAGCTGCCAAACGAGTGTGATTGGTTCAATTATGATTTATTAAACTTGCGTAACGATTAACTGTTACTGATTCTACACCTAACAACAGATGCAGCTAATACAATGTCCGCACATGTCTAAAGCCATCTGAGACGGCTAACTGCCCGACTTTAGCAAGAATTTTTTCCTAAGCATTCATAAATTAATTTAACATATCTACGTACTACTTCTACTGCATGGCGTCCCAACGTAACTTTAGAGTTTAAGCCTTTGTAACCTACCGCTACTAAACTGTTTACGTGCAAGGACGATGACATACGTATGATTCAGTAGCGTAAGCAATGAGAAATGCATACAGTACTTTATCTAAGTTCACATTTAGTGCTAAAGGTTTAAAACATTTAATCAACAATTAAAAATATTTAGTATGCCGTATAAAGTGCTTCGTCTTAATGTTTTACTGTACTGAACGTATTGAGACTCATACAGAGAACGCGATACGTATATTTTACAGATCTGTAATATCATTCAGTACTATGTTGCTACGTCACAGTTGTACAATTTCGTGAAATATGAATTTATTAACTATAAAATGGCGAATTACAATTTGTAGCTAGACTTTCGCAGAAGATATATTCAAGAATCATATTCCTGTTACTTCTGTAGCCTTTCGCGTCACTGAATGCAAAGACGATTAATCTCATGCATTGAAGTGCGGTATCAACTTCAATGAGTATCACTTAACCTATGAACATATTATATACGTATATAGGTGCCGCTTTTGTAAATTCCTCCATTACTGTAGATATATATATATACTGCATAGTAGTTTACGATGATTAGCATTTTAGTATAAAGTACAAGAAAAAATTGATCCATTTCAGATCCTAATCACCTTTCTAAATTCAATTTTCAGTTGGTAGCTATCATATTTATTTATTTATTAATGTTTACATGGCATTACTTGTACACCGCTGTACAGTATATAACTGACAGCACTTACAGCTTATTGTATATCCTTTGAATTTACATTTTGGGCATAAGAACGTAATGACATGGATTTACAGGTCACCGTTCAATCTAATTTCTTGGTCCTCCAAACACCACAAAGTTTAGCGCCAGTCCGTAGCGAAAGTATGTGAACTATAAATGCAATGACTATAAAGCTACAGCGTAGAATGATCGAGTAAGTGCCAAATACGGCAAACGTCGCAACTTTAACATCAGAAGGGGTACGGTCATTTATCCTTCGATACATGAGAAAACCATAATCTCGAGCACCTGCTATCAGTGGTCCAAGCCCAAGGCAGAGAGTACCAAATATGAATAATATCATCAAGCCAGAATTATTCCGAGATAACGCCAGTCGACCAATAAGAACGGGTACAATACTAAGCAGCCAAATATGCTGCCAGAGAGAGGCATTAATGCTTTGAGTAAGTGCATATGGTAAAATATACTCCACAACGATTACTCCTACGAGAAGAATCATGTAGATATCAGTAAAAAAGCTATAACTGCTTTTATACTCAACACTGCGTTTGTAATGATCGGCGACACGTTCACGATGTTTCCAGTCTGACCCATCGCTCCCTTTAATATTTCCGTGATGTCCACGACTCGCCATTACGATTGAGTATCTTTACTAAGGAAAAGGATACCACTAATTATAAGCTATAATTATTAATAAATAATAATATTTTATAATAGCGTATCACCAATCAAAAGTGTACTCGATTGAAAACTGGAATTACTACAATTAACTCAATGCAGAAAGTGGGAACTGCGTTGGTACTAGGTACTGTGCAATGCTGTTAATGCTGTTAAGCACAGTACAGTAATAATACTACAGTATGTATGATTTACAACAGTTCGCGATTGTACCATGCAGCCAAACAGATACAGAACCAGATTAGCAGTCCAGTACTATACGGACATTCGGAAATGCGGAGCCACAGACGCACGGACCGTCCGTCTTGTCACCTGGTCTAATCTGTCCAATGACGGTGTCAAAGAACACGGACAGATGGAACTTGTAAACTACGCATGCCAATCGACGTTACCATAGCAACTTTCTGCAATACAGTACACTAAAAACCGTTTGATCTAATCTAAACAGTCAGGAAGTCATTCAACAAATTTCGTTAGCTCTCTAGAAGTTCACTACATAGTAGTAATGTAACTACAGTTGTAGTACATATGATGTAATACTGTGTGCAGGCTTTTGCATCATCAACTGCATTGCCGTTGATTAATTTCAGTCAACTCTCACAAACATTATCGTCAGAAGAATAGTACACCGCTTAATTAAGTCTGTATTCGGTGGTCACCCTGCATCAGGAATCAGTTAGAATACTGACTGCATCGTGCAAGAGTCTCAGACTAAGCATATTACTCAGCGATCTGTCTCCAGCAACGCCTTCTATCATACTGTTGTTATTCGTTACTATCGGAAGAAGTGCATTTATGTAGTTGCTATTGTACGTTACAATATATTCAGTGTACAGCTGAATTCAAGTATACGTATGTTTATGCATCATTAGCAAGTGGTGCTTAAATTCAATTTCGAAGACGTAAAACAGGGAAATAAAATCGGCTTTTTTTTTAAATTATAATTAGATCAATTGCTGGAAATGAGCTTAGATCCTAAACTAAATTAGCGGACTTTTAAATCAGACAGAAGATGGATGATCGACATTGGTGGTTTGCTACAAAACTGCAAGCCTCATTTCGTATTGGTGGATACGATAAGCCGACACTATTGGAGGATTTTATTTGTGAATCAAGTACCTTAGAACATATTGGAAACTTTCTCGGGCCAAATGGGGTTTCTGTTTTATTCTTTTATTGTGAAAAACTCGATGAGACAAGGCTATCATCCAGGCGTTTACACGTATCTTATACAGTGCATAAAGATATCGATTTTAACGATATGTTGATCTTGTACTTCTTACGGGATAGCAATGACGAAGAAATACTACCACATAATATTGCAGACGAAGTATGCTGTGGAGAGTTATCTAGTGCTATTATAGCTAGCTTACAGACATTATTGTCTGATAGCTATGCCCCTCTATTAAGAGTACGTAAAGATTGGGGTCAATGTAGTGAAGATAATATATCACAGTTATTCACCAACTTCGATAAATTGATTACTGCATTAATCGATTCAGCCGATATTCTATCGTCAAATAAATATATGCTAAAACGACCTGAAGCATCTGTTACAAATGATTTTAAGCTGAATCGTGCTGCAGTTGTTAACCAAACTATTGTCAGTGAGTTTGAGATTCTTGTTGCTGATTGGATTTCAACTATCGAAACAGTTCTTCAAAATCAAGGCGATGACAGGTAAAATATAATTATTCTTATTTCGTTAATGATAGCATGCAGTAATTGGTACAACTATAGCCCCTTGCCTATACCTTAGTTTAATATTAAAAGTATACATAACAGCATAAATTATGAATATGTCCTTAAAATATACTTTTTTTTCCTTTGTGACAACTATATCAATTTCTGATATATCTTCTTTGAAATGATTTAGCGGTGTCGATACAAATGCTGGTCCGCTCTCAGAGCTATACCGATGGAGACGTCGACATAAAATTTTTACTAATATTACAGATCAGCTAAAAGGAAAAGAATGTAAAGCAGTGATTAGTGTATTAATTACAGCAAAATCCAAATTGCTAAAACGCTGGAAAAATATCGATGTATGGTGAGTTGATGCCTATTTTGATGTAATTTGAGACTGTATACTTTAAAGCACAGAATAATGCTACCTCATATTGAACGAGTTTTACAAACATGAATTAAGATAACATATATTAATTATATATATAAATAGCTAATGTTGATCAGGAAAAAATTAATATCTAAATCTTTTAGCATTAAACATTTTTTATACAATATTGGATAATTGTTGTTCAGTAAAAATTACAGCACGAACAAAATTGCATTGAAATTTTTATTACGTAGTAATTAATCATTTTCTAGAGATCAGTTTTAATTGGCTGAAATAATAGAATTATATACGCAATATTAGGTTAAATTTTATCGATAGGAAATTTTATTTTTAAATTCTGAAATTTACCTCCAATTTGATTCATTAGCATTACTGAAGCCGTTAACGAAACCAAAGATAAAGTAAAGTACTTGGAGTCACTAAAAAAATATATTGATCAACTTTACCACAACAATTCACCCACACAAATTGCGAGTAATGTCCTACCTATGCTTTTCAATAATATTCGTCAGATGGACTCAATTTCTAGGGCGTATGCTCGAAGTGGATATCTTGGCTTATTCTTATCGAAGGTACGTAAATTATGTACATTGCTATGATAGATTTAAGTGAAACATTAATGTAGTGCAATATATGAGTGTTATCCTACATAATTGCGATACTATAGGTAAAGTTTTTGGACTACTAGCTGAAAATTAGTTGCGATTTATAATTTCCTAACAAATAATTTCTGATATCGCAAAATCATAGCTATTATTGCATTCTGTTAATCGACTCACATTTCAAATAATTGAATTACATACTTATTAAATTAAATCTGTTTGGTACTACTTTAGATTTGCAATCAAATGGTTGCCTTGTGCAAGGAGCATATTAGTGGAATTTCACTTAATGAGATTGAAATAGACTATGAACATTGGAAAAATCTTGAAGACTTGAAGAAAATTTACGACGATCCTAGAGCTAGTGGTAAAAAACAAGCAGGGCATAAAAGTGCGACGATCTTTACTACTGAGAACCAAGACATGTTAGATAAATATTTGCCACATAGGTTGCTTGCCTGCTTAGCATTAGCTAAATCTATCCGCGATTCAATACGTAATCTTCGAGACAGCCTAGGTACAGCAGCTTTTAGTACTGTATCTTCGGCATCGCATTTATCATCAATGCAAAATCAGCATAACCAAAATGCGACACCTGCCAAGTGGAAATCATCTGGACAATCATTAAATACAGCGCTTAATATTGTTAAACGACTTAATTCTGTTAGTGAAGGAGGAACACCATCAAATCAAATGCCAAATAGCATTGGAGTATCACTAAATGATGAAGATAGCATTATGTTTCATTTTGACCGTTTTTGCATCCGAGTACGTCATATTATAGGAATTATCCAAACTCTTGCGCAGTTTTCTCAGCTTGCAAGTCTAACTACTGGATTACCTCGTCTGCACAAACAGTTTAACGTTTCTGCTAGCATTTGGGGTGAGCAAGGTGTCTACGGCCATTGTATTACTATATTACATACCGGTAAAGAATCTGTTGCCGCTGTTGGTCTAGCTTACCGACATGTGCCTGCTCCTCACCAGATTACAAGCGTTGTAGAAGAAGAAGAAGACGATAATAATAGTGAGCGCTTATCTACTCATGGGCAGTCTAACCCCTTAGGCCGAATCAAAGTTACAATTCCAGACAGTGAAGCTGGTAAAATAGAGAGTGCAGACGGATCACTAGATGACGAACCTACCGAAAGTACCGAAGAAGATCAAGACTTTGAAGAAGAATTAAGCATCACTGGTACAATTAAAACTGTTATCAAATTTGCGAAGAAGTTACTACGTGATACTGTTACAACAGAAGTTCTGCTAGATGTTGACAGCATGTATCGAGAGAGATTTGATAAAGCTTACGAACACGTTATGGCTATGATCAAGCATTTAGAACAGTATGTCGCTAAATATATCGAGGTATTTCGGAGTAAATCTTATCTTATTGAATAATGTTTTAATTAGTAATCATGGCTCCATTGTAGACTTTCTGAATAAAATGTACACATACGATGAGCTTTCTCGGCATTGATATTAAATTGTATTTTACAGACTGTTATGTCTAAAAAGATTACTACACAGCATGCACTGGACATCTTGACGAGGTTCGTTATGTAACTATTAACTTAAAAATACTGTATATGATTGAATGTGATATTTTTAATTGTAGGTTTAATACAGTACAAAACCGAATGCATATCAGTACGATGTTGAAAGAAAAATTTTATGAGGCTTTCAATTGGTACGAGGAAGAGTTAGAAGAAGTACAAGACTTATATGAAAAGAATAAGGTAGCATATCGAGGCTATTTAGTCGTTAGCTCTCAAATCGATATTTAAAATAATAAATCAGAATTGATTAACTTGCCCACGTAAATATGATTAATCATAGGAAGAGCCACATATTGTTCGACATGCTCCTCCAGTTGCCGGAGCTATTAATTGGATTCGTCAGTTGTTACGAAGACTTGAGGAGCCTATGAAGATTTTTTGCGATACTAAATCCGTCATGGCTGTAAAGGCAAGATAATATTAGATAGCTTTAAAAATTAGTTTGTTAAATTGCAAACGCATTATACAATATACAGATAATTCATGGAATATTTTCAAACTTATAGGATTCCACAAGAGTCATCAAGAATTACAACCGAATCGCATCCACATTGATTAAATTTGAAAGTTTATGGTTTAGTCAATGGAAGGCGCACATTGATAGTGCTAAACATGGTCTTAAGGTACCACTTTTGCTTCGTCATCCTAAAACTGGTGATCTAATCGTTAATGCTGACGAAAGGTAACTCTACTCTTAGATATCATAGAGTAGGAAATATATTCCAGCAATTTACTTTTTTCTGTTAATTAGAGTTTCTCAAGTTATCCATGAAGGAAGATGGATGGCCAGGCTTAATATTCAGTTACCAGAAAATGCTGTCGCAATCCTATCTCAGGTTTAGTTGATTTTCCTGCTTTTCCTATTCTATAATTTTATGAATTTAAAGAGTTAGCATATAATATTTTAATCTTCTTCGTACTTGCATAGCAAAATTTATAAATATGTGTATAATTATGTATGTATAATTTTCTATTCCGCTCAAGGAATCTCGATTTAAAAAATACAAGCACAATCTTGAAGCGGTACTTCACGAATTCAAACGCGTATGTCAAGATATACCGTTACCACTGCAACCATTATTTGAGAAACATACTGAAACCGTTATGCGCTATTTGTTGCCGGGCCTATCGACAGTAACATGGAATAGTATGAATATCGACGCTTATTTACATCATATTCATACTTCTACCAATCATCTAAAAGAAATTGTAGTCAAAGTCAATAATATTTTAATAAGCCGAGTTGATTGTGGGATAGCATCGGTAAAAAACGCCATCCTTTTCGATATGGATTCTATGTTTTCTGAAGAGTGGGTAAGTAGATTGTTTTTAATAAAATTTTTAAATTCCATCTTAAATCTAGTATAAGGAAGATCATTTACTTATTCGCGCTATCTACATCCTTTCTCTAGAGCATTATCGCGTTTCCTAAGTTGCAAATAAAGAATATTGAAGCTCGTAAGCAGGAGCTACTTTCTAAAATTTACGAGGTTGAATCTGCGCTCCGGGATATTGTTAACATCATTACTGAAAATAACATTAATTCTCAACCATCGTTACAATACCAAGTTAATGGTAAAGGAGTGATATCGCAATTAACGAAATCGATCAATAAAAACTTGCAGAGTCAATCTTTGCAAGATAGAAATAAAAGTAGCAACTCTTCGAGTTCAGCCCCGAATTATAAAATTGGTCCATTTAATACTAAATCCTCCAATATGTTCGAGCATTACGGAAAATTAATGCATGATGCTATTCTACATAGCATTAGCAAATCACTTTTTACATATGCTGAAGCTCTTGGTTGCAAAATTAATTTTGTTAAGCATCCTACTCAGCTCAATGGTGACGCTATCGATAATTTTGGAAATTTAAATAAGGTTCCAACAGTAATAATCAAAGATGAAGCTTCTAATCAAGAAGATATGGTTCTCAAACTTGATAATGCATCGCAAATTGTGGCTTATTCTGGAGCAGGTAATTGCAATGTACTTCTGAGAATGCATACTTAATATTATTACTCGTCTTACACGGAAGTAAGGAAGCCTTTAATTTTATCATTAAATCGCGCCATTTGGCTAGATCTAATAGTCCTATTACGAACTGCTCAATAACGTTAAATCTAGTCATAAATTAATATTATAGTTTGCTCCAATTAATGTTCGTGTAGCTTTCAAAATAACAGTTATTGCATCAGTTTTAAATAAACTATTCTTCCTGTTGATCATTATAGAACTAAAGAATGAGGCTCTTTTGAGATTTAATGTGGATATTAAATTCTCCATACCTGATCTCGTAGTTGAACCAAAGCTGGAAGATGTGCAAACTGCTGTAAATCAAGTAGCTCATGCAATAATAGCGATATCACAAGATATTAAATGGACCACAACACAACATGAGGAAAATGCATTGGCATTCAATTTAATTAGTAACGATAAGATTGTAACTGGTATAACAAAATTGATCTCTTCTACAATAAGATCATATCAGCAAACAGTTCGTGATAAACTGAATTCATTCCGTCGATTCAATTTCTTATGGGCCAACGATATCCACGCAACCTTTAACCAATTTGTTAAATCGGGTATTAGTACATCAGATTGTATGTCGGAGGTTGAGCGATTGCAAAGGATAGAGCGAGAAGTTGAAGATATCGATGATAAAATTGTTGTTGGTGCTATTAGCCTTGGTACACTTCCTGTTAGGAACTCACTACGTGGATTCGCTGCGGCATGGAAAGTTCAGTACGCATCATATATGCACGATAAAGCGAAGGTAACCAGCATTATGATACTGTATAGTTGGATTACTTGGTAGTGGTAGTTCTCTTTTATGCTGATATCTAATCATCAAGTTAACTACAAGTAAAACTACCTACAAGATAAAATCATCCTATAATTACGTTATTGTTTTCAAGCTGTAATTTTGTAAGGTCCTTAATTTGATCTGATTGTATACGCGTATTATTAAACTATATAGGGAGAATTAGATAAAATTATTGCATACAGGATGCACATAACTGATCGGTTAGCAAAGGATGTTTTTACATTGGATCAACTTAATGAGGCTCAGAAGTTGCTACAAGAGTTAAGCGACATGGAAAACACTATAGATGATGTCTTCCTACCAGTTGAAAGAATGTATAGCTTATTAAGGTACAGTCTCAACCTTAAATGAAATTCATTGTCAGTCATCGTGTTACAAAATCGCCTTTATTTCTTACTTCAAATGCAACTGCAGTAGCTAAAATTTTTTCTTGTATTGGATTTCCTAGACAATTTAACCTGCGATTGCCAAGATCTGAAGTACAAGAAGTAAGAAATTTAAGAGAAGAGTGGCAAAAATTATTACTTTTAGCTGAAAAGGTATGTTGCAATACTATACCGTATTCACACAGACGATTAATGAGCATACGTATACGGGAAAAGATTCGGACTAATATCCTGTTTATGCACGATGCGCAGGTACGATATCAACTTATGGTTACGCACAGGACAGCCTTTGAGCAAGAGCTAGATAAGCAGATCAAGGTAACAGATTAGTTTGCTATCCGTATATGGTGACTTCCTATTTATTTTGTAACTGTTTATATTGGCTAACTAATATCATTATGAAATTATTCAATAATATAATTAGCGAGAAACGAATAAATTTATTCATTTACTTACATAACAGGCATTCGTCGTTGATGTAATTCAATTCCGCAATAGTTTTGATGCTCAAGGCCCCGCTATTCCTGGCATTAGGCCAGCGGAGGCTGTTAAGAGATTAATAGAATTTCAAGACGAATTTCAAAAGTATGACGAAAAGCGCCGAATTTTAGATGCCGTACAAAAACTATTTGGAAAACCGCCAGTATCATTTCCGGACTTGGACAAAACCGGAGAGGTAAATATATTACATTAGAATGACGTATTTCTACAAGTAGTACAATAATTGATACTTTTCCATAATTTTGATCTCTTCACACCTTACGTTTCAGGAATTGCATTTACTGGATTTATTATATAGTTTATTTCAGCGATTCTTAGCATTTGATGCCGAGTAAGTATTAGAGAAGCTAAGCATCTTATTAATGTCTAGAAATATAATTGATAGTAATTAAGTCTACTTTTCCAGTGCTGTTGTACAGATTCCAATATTAAGTCAAAGCATGTTTCATTCGTAGGTTTCGAGAAAGATTATGGGCAAAGGCGGACTTAGATAACGCTCATCGACAGGTTAAAACATAAGTTGCTACTACAGCACTGCGATAGTACCAATTTATAATATACGCAAAATAGCATAATCAATCTCTTACTTAACTAAACTAAACTCGTACGCGCTCTAATAGATGGAAGTCTTCTGGAACGAATGTTTAAAACTTCCAGAACAAATCAAGGGTTGGTCTTCTTACAAGGAACTGAAAGGATTAATTGACGGCTATTTGGCTCTTTTCCCAGTGTTACACCGTCTTGCATCTAAAGTAATATAATTAATATAATAGTCTAGATAGATTCAAAAACTTAATCTTTATAATTAGTAAAGGTATCTTGATCATCTACGGTGTTATAATTTAAATACATACTGCAGATATTGCTATATGCTGTAATTATTAATAGATACTGCAAATAGTAATGCAATTACTAAATGTTCGCATTTATGCATATCACAATCAGCATAAAAGAGCCTGATAGCAATAATATTCAAGTATACCATCTTTGTCTTCAATAATTAATGAATCCAAGTACAAACATATATAATATCCCAGCAACTATCACTTATGTACGATAGGAAATACGTAATCGTCATTGGTTAGATGTCATGGTTGCAACAGGTTCATCCTTTCAGCTGGAAGCAAACGTTTTTAAATTGAAGCATCTGTTAGATATTGGTTTACTCAGGTACGAAATATTTCATTTAAAAATTCGAACGATGCACTTACGTGTGATTATTGTATTAAATTTGCAGTTGTATGATGCAATGAATAAATTATATTTAATATAGACATCAGAATGAAATTGGCGAAATTACTCGATGTGCTAGTCGAGAGTTAGAAATTGAAGAAACATTGAGGAACATAGAAGAGGAATGGACAGAACAAGTTAGTTAATGAAGGATCATGTTATATTTCTTAAGAATAAGTGATACGGGTACTAAATTTTTTTGCAATTTATGATAGGTCCTTGCTTTTGATGAATTTAAGAATCGTGGGTTCTTATGTTTAAGCGCTTCAAATACTCAGACGCTGCTTGAGCAGTTGGATGACTCTCAAGTTTCGCTGGCCTCTATGCTAACTTCTCGTCATATTGGTCCTTTAAGAGATGAAGCAGCTTCCTGGGCAACAAAACTAAATAGTGTATCTGAGATTCTAGAATTGGTGAGCATAAAACAATTTTGTTTAAACAGCGGTGTTATCTAATCAAATTTTATTACAAAAATAATAAACGATCACCTGTAAGAAGTTCTAGAGTTGAAATCTAATGTTTTCAGCTTCATCAGCCTTCATGACATTGAATTTCTATGTTTATAGTGGTTATCCGTTCAAGAGTTGTGGCTGAATTTAGAAGCAGTATTTTATCAGGCGGAAACAATCAAGGTTATAATTGGCACATCGTTAATAGCCAATTGCTGTTCCTTTAAGACATCTAATAAAAATTAACTTTCACAGGAATTACCGCAGGAGGCAAGACGATTTAACAGGATTGATAGAAGTTGGAGCAGGCTTATGAAACAAGCTTACGAAATTAGAAATGTTTTACAGGTATGATGTTTTGACGAAGCTTATACAATGCGCAGATGCCATAATAAACCTTCTTAAAGATATCTAGATAATCTTTATACCGACATAAAGATTAGCGAATTAAAATCTTGTCTATCCTAGTAGCACCTCAATTCAAGTTTTTTACTTGTTCTGACAAAACTAGCAGTTACATATCTCAGATACAACATAATACTATGACTTACTTAGTCTTAGTTTTCGGTAATACATGCAAGAGACCTGAGAAAATTTATTGTAACCACTGAGGGTTAAATTTGGAATAACATTCTGATTTCTAGTGTTGTTTCCGCGGCGATGTCCCTAAATATACCGTGCTAAAGCACTTGCTGGAAGAACTAGAATTATGCTTCAAATCGTTGCTCTCTTATTTGGATCAAAAGCGCAGGGTAAATATTATTTTACTCAATACATCCTTTATATTAGGTTATTTACAATATTATGTTATTAATCAATTCTTACTTAAATGGATTATAATAACAGGAATTTCCAAGGTTTTACTTTGTTTCCGATTCTATCTTACTATCTGTATTGCGATCTGCGCGTACACTTGATTCTGTAAGGCCGCATCTAAGGTAAACCGGCAGCTAGCTATGCCTGATACGCATTTCGATATTCGTCCTTAGCTGTCGAGAAGCTATACCGTAACTAATTAACATTATTATTCGTCGTAGATCTATCTTTGGTAATATCTCCAACTTAAAAATTAATACTGCTGCTCCAATATCGCGTAATAAGAAAGTTTTAGCGCCCTTGGTAAGAATGCATTAATAATCGGTTGAAATGGGAATTGTTAACTAAGCTATTTGTCATTGCATTGGTAATAGGATCATCAATCAGAGCACAGTAATGCTCCATCGGCCGCTACTTTTCGTAAAAGAAGTAGCATGGATTTTATTCCTATTTCGCTAAAACGGCGTAGCAGTCAAGATATGATAAACATCCCATTTCATAGAAGCTCACAAAATGCCATTTCATCCGGAGTATCCATCGCCAATTCTGTTTCTGATGCAGACGGACTATCTGATTCCATTAGTAAAATTTACGCCGTTGTTTCACCTGAATGTGAAACCTTACAATTGTCAACTCAGGTAATATTTACTTTGCCGTCATTTTTACGGATTTATTGTTTTATTACTGGATATTGGCGTTTTTTATATGCTTACATAATAAATATAAAATTTTATCCTTAAATTTCAGGTACCGCTATCTGGTGGTGTTCAAGCCTGGTTAAATGCTTTGTCGACTTCGGTTGAGAAAACACTACTGGAATTAATAAATGATCAAGTCGACGATGTTCTTGCAATGACATCTATCGATGAATGGGCTTATAAAGTATGCTTAAAGAATTAGAATTAAAATTTTTATAAGCCTACGAATTAGTATTGTACTCTTGCTTTTCAATTAATAAGATAATACTTACAGTACGCTTAGTTACGGAATGAGTAAAATTATTTTAATCAAAAATGCGATATTAAGTCATAAGGAGTTATAGTAAGAATTTTTTGATTACTAACAGATTTTAATTTTATTTAGTATCCAGCTCAAGTTGCTCGTCTTGGTTTACAATATTATTGGACTAAGGAATGTGAGCAGGTAAAATATTCATTTGCTTATATATATATATGTTACGTAGATAGATCAATTCCATGTTCTCAATGAGCTACCAAGAAAATTCCTTGCGCTCATAGCAGTCCTTAAAAATTTTGACAGGGCATTACTGAGATTAGAACTGAAAGGAAATCTTTGAGTAATACTTCCAGGCGATTTTGGTCCTTTTTAAGTAAAACTACAGTGACCATTTCAAGAGTAAACTGGAAGCACGTTGATGAACCTGTAACAAACGTACATCGTCTCCGTCTGGAGACATTACTAGCGGTACTAGAACTAATGCTACTCTTTTTATTTTTTACTTTTGCTAAAGTATAACATTGGAATTACTATTTGCGGAAGTCTTACAAATCTTCCTTATACCTATTTTGCTAGTAGACTTAGGTAACAATTTTTATCTTCTTTTGTAGCATGGCCTTTATATGCGGGATGTTCTAGATGACTTAGCCAAGAAGAAACTGCGTGAGCAGACTGACTTTGAATGGAAGAAAAACTTAAGATTTTATCACATGAAAGAAGATTCCCATAAAGGTAACATAGCCTTCTTAAGCGATTTTGTTACGATTTGAAGAATAATTCATTATTTCTTATAACATTTTAACACTTGATAATGAACAAATTTTGAACATGATACGCATTGTGTAATCTGTCTTTATTTCACTGTCACTGTTTAACATCATTAGAAGAAAAGGTCCCCCAAATTTGGGTTCTTGACACAAAATTTAACTATGGTTTTGAGTTTTATGGATGTATGTCTCCTATTATTATGACGCCTTTAACAGATCGATGCTTCCTATCACTTAGCCAGGTATTCGAATATAATAACTTGGATTAAATAATGAAGAGTAAAGAAATCACTAAAGTTTCTTGAGTAAAAAATAAAATATATGCGTACATAATTATAAATTAAATCATTAAATAATTCTATTAAGGCTGTTTCAAATCATCGAGGAGCAGCACTTTGTGGCCCTTGGGGCACCGGAAAAACGGAAACTATCAAGGTACAGAGTGGATACCTACTGCCTTCGTTTTATTTTAAACATAACTTTGTTTAGAGACATTTTCGTAATATTTAAATTTTTACTCCATAGGGATTTGCTCATATGTTAGGTGTCTATCTAGTAGCCTTTAGCTGTTCTTTACAATCTGAACCATCCAGCTTAATTCGAATTATCCATGGTCTTGCACAGGTATATATATTATTATAGTAACCAATTCTATCCAATTCTGTACAGTACACGTCAGTGTAGGGCTTAAATGAAAAGTATCATATTTCAGGATGGTTGTTGGGGCTGTTTCGATGATTTTCATAGAGTTCAAGTCTCTACAATTTCTGTACTATCACATCACTTACAAATAATCATGAATGCACTGCGTACGAAAGAAATTTTTTGCACTATGCCGGGAGGCATCGAGGTAAATCAGAATATTTATAAGTAATCCCATTATCAGGGCTTTTAGTACCTTATATTTCGTAAAATATATCAGTATGTTATAAATATAAATTTTTATTTATTTTCTTAACTTAGATTACGATAAACCGAAAAGTTGCCTTCTTTATGACATATGATACTTCATATGGAAACCAAGGTGATCATCTATTACCGAGTGATATCCGAACCCTCTTTAGACCTATTGCCTTGACTGCTCCTGATGTTGGTTTAATTCTTCGAGCCTACTGCACTTCTAAAGGCTTCAAAGCGCCACGAGTTTTGGCAGATAGAATCAAACTGCTATTAAGTATTTCTAAGCATCTAGTGTAAGTATTATGACATATATTCGTTTTCAAGCTGATAGTTATAATTAAGTAAAGTATGATATTTCGTGCAATGCTGATGCTTTATTTCGTACAATTTTCTTTAAATCTGACGAACATAACTCTGCAACCCTTACAGGAAAAGTAATAATCAACATAAGATTAGTTTATCATCCATTCTGTCATGTATCAGCTACGCAGCTAAGCGACGTGATGATTACCAAGCCTTGCAAAATAACCCTAAAATGGGTGACATTGCTAGATCGAATAGCGCTTCTTCAACGCAGAATCTAGGCGCAAGTAAGCAAAGACATAACCATTAAAGTACAGAGATAATTATCTCATCATATTTCCTTTTAATATATAATTGCAATATATCCGATTTCAGGCGGTGGTGGATTAAGACCTCGAGCTGAAACTACCAGGAAGAATACTCCTTCACAACAATTGTCTCCAGCAATACGTGGAGAACATATGTTTGTTTCACACGCTATCCAAGATCTAATTGTACCTCAGATCTCTCCAGAGGTATTAAATACTGCTCTTATTAGATAATGCTTCTAGTTAAACGTTTTCTAATAAATTAAGGCGATAATTATAAATTATGGAAAACACCGATGATTTCCAAACTTTGTATTGGATTAATTTTATCATAATTGATTCAATTCACGAATAATTTTATGCATTGCAGTACACTATGCTTACATCGATATTATATAGATATTTCTATTGCACCTTTCCTAACATACCTAACTTGGATGTATTATATGCAGTACTTGCATAAATATGAAAAATCTTGCTCTTCTGAAAGACTCTTAATTTGCTAATGTTGTGTTTAATTTTTCTTTCAATATAAAATTAGAATTTCGCTGTTTTTAACAGCTTACTCCATGATATATTCTATTCTTCCTCTGATCCATACAAACTGGCTGGTTTCCATGACGGTAGTGGTACTGTTGAAGAGGCATTCATGCAACAGACTCAAAAAAGCGGTCTACATTTTCACGCTCCGTGGGTATCAAAAGCTATGCAATTGCATAAACTATCGAAAGTTCATCATGGTATGTAAAGAATGTATAACAAATAAAATTTATTAAAGTAGTAAAACTAATGCATTGCAAGTATGAAGATGTGTACGATCATATAAACCATAATTTTCAACCAGGAATAACCTCTATAATTCTAATTGCCTTGTTATAATTGCATAAATAGGAGTAGTTGTTGCTGGACCACCTGGTAGTGGAAAATCGACAATGATTTCTACACTTATCGATGCGTTATCCCTATGCTCGAAAAATGATCAAGGAGATGGCAGTAAAAAACATATCCATCGATTGCAAAAGATTAATCCAACTGCAGTATCAAATTTATCGCTAATGTTCGGTCGGTTGAATGCATCTAACGATTGGGAAGATGGTATATTTACGGCGTTATGGAGAAAAGCCAATAAAAATTTAGCAACAACAACGTGGTTATGTTTAGATGCAACGCTAGCACCGTATTGGGCCGATAATTTGAACTGCATTATCGGTAATGGCCGATCTTTGGATCTTTTAAATGGAGAACGCTTATTCCTAAGTGATAACGTCAAAATATTGTTTGAAACTCATGATGTTAGTAATGCTTCCCCGGCAGTATTTGGACGTACTGGCATAGTCTACGTTGATGATGGCGTATTAGGTTGGGTGCCTTTATCACATGCGTGGTTAGCATCAAGAAACGATCAGGAGATTAAAGTCCTACAGCCAGTCTTTAGTGCAATTATTTCAGATGTAACCAATTTTATTAGTTACGACTGCCAAGTTATGGTTAAAGTATGTGAAATTGGCTTATTTCAAACGTGCTTATCGTTATTAACCGCCTTATTAGAAGAACAAGCCGAGGTAATTGCCGATCTGCATATTGAACGATTATTTCTGTTTTCGGTTATATGGTCTTATGGTATGATTATGAACGATCATGATCGTGGACGATTTAGTAATTTAATGAAAAGTCTATCGACAGCTTTACCAGATTACGATCTAGGAATATCAGTATTTGATTATTATGTAGATGAATCAGGTGAATGGGATCCATGGACATCACGCGTGCCAGAATTTTCACCTGATTCAATGGATTTCTTGGGTGAAACTTTTATTGATACTGTTACAACAGTTAAAATTAGCCGTTTAATGGAATTGTCATTTAGTTCTGGCCGTAATGTTTCAATTATTGGACCACCAGGATGTGGTAAAACAGTGACTGTTAACCGTTTCTTAGATCAGCAAGATGGTTCAAGCATGGTTACAAAACGTATTGTTTTCTCTGGGACTTCCAGTGCCCACGATTTGCAACATTTTATAGATGAGAATGTTTATCATCGTCAAGGCTTCGTATATGGTGCTAAAGATGGCAAGAAATTATGTTTATTCGTTGATGATCTTAACCTACCAACATCCAATAGCGACAAAACAATACAAGAGAGCCATGAATTATTGCGTCAACTATTGGATGATAAGTTAATTTTCAATTATAACAAAATTGGCGATTATCGAGTGATTGAAAATTTACAGGTGATTGCTACCGCTACGTCTTCATCATCATCCACTATTAACACTACAACATCAACTATGAAGTCTGTCTTACCAGATCGATTAAAACGCCATTTTTCTATTTTTTATTTACAAGAACCAACTGGTAATGCTCTAAATAGTATTATGTCAGGCATAGTTCACGCTAATCTTTACCTCTATGAAAGTGTTCTGAATCCAGACTTAATGAATACATTAACTCAGGCATCATGCGATGTTTTAGCACGCATAAAATCAGTTTTACGACCATCACCGGTACCTGGTCGATATCAGTATTCTTTTAATTTACGTGATCTTAATAGAGTTATTCAAATGTTAAAAAGATTATCCAATCAACCCAGAATTGATGAATTATCAATTGTATCCTTATGGAAGCATGAACTTGATCGTACTATACGTGATCGTATTTGTCGCAACACTGATTTAAATTGGTATGACGGAACCGTTGTGAAAATCCTTGAGGAATACTTCCCTAATATTTCCAAGGATGAATTAATACAAGATTATATTACATTCAAATTGGAACCCATACGTAGTCGTACACATACAGGAGCTACCGTTAAAGATTATATTCAGCCAATCACTAATATGAGTGAAATTATGGGATGGATTCGTGATCAAATGATTACTTACAATGAGGACTTTGGTAATCGCAATTTAAGCGTTATATTATCGGATTACATCGTCGCTCATGTCGTTCGTTTATTACGAATTTTAAGCTTTAATAACAGGTTAGTTGCAGTTTACCTTTATTGGTATAATGTTAAAAATAATATTATGACTCATCTAATTTTTGTAATTTGTTATAGAAGTAATCTTATTAAGGGTGTCGTATAGACTTATCTCTTGTCTTAGATTAATTACTAAGTCGGGATAGTATAGGTGTAGTTTAGTTAAGTAATTTTTGTATAGTGCTTTTATTCTACATTAAACTTTTATTGATAATTTAATTCTTTATGCATTTTCTTATGTGATATTAATTAACTTTACAGAGGTAATGCTGTCTTAGTCGGACAGGTTGGTAGCCATCTTTCAACTTACGTCCGTTTTGCATTATATGTTTGTGGTATTCCACAACATCATGTTGATACATCATCCGGAAATACGTTTTATGATGGATTACGCTCAGCTGTTCGATTAACTGGCGCAGAAGGAAAGCGATTAGCTATTGTATTAAAAGCTAACGATTTAAAAAATAGTGTTATTATTGATGCCGTCAACAGCATCTTAATTAGTGGTGAATGCTCGAAATTATTTTCTAATGACGAATTAGATGGCTTATTGCAAGCACTGTCTCACACCTTGAAACGCAATTATTCCAATATGGATACTAATCCAATGGATTTCTTTATCTCACGCGTTAAATCCAATCTACATATTATTATAACTATACCGCCAACCAACAATTTATTAAAAGTCGCCGCCAATCAATTTCCCGGCTTTATATCGTGTTGTCATATGGATTGGCTAATGGACTGGTCAAAGCCATCGTTAATAAGTGAAGCAACGCATTATATTGCTGAATATAGCATCATGGAACATAGTGCTGAAGATATACGAGGTAAGGTCGTCCATAGTATGGCCGATATCCATGTATTTATGTTGAAGGAGTGTGATCAACTTCCATGGGCGATGGATAAATACAACGCTAATCAAAGTAATGATCCTAAACAATGCTTACCGTTTGCTAAAAATGCATTAGTTGAAAGGATAACTACAAAATATGATAAAAAATGGCAGAATCGTAAAGACGTCTTTGTTGGGCCAAATACATACCGTCGATTCATGAATGCTTTTAAGAAAATCTATACAACGAAACATCAAGAAGCTAATACAACTATACTTAAATTACGTAAAGCATTACAGACGCTAGAAAGTACGAAAATCGAAGCTGAATCAACGGCATCGGATATTGAAAAGATGAAATATAATTTACGCTTAGCGACTGATCGTTCTGCTTCATTACTACAGCAATTAACGATACGAATAACACAATTAGAGAAATTGAAGGCTAAATTAGGTACAGGTGGCAATGTATTAGATGCATTTGCGACTATCAATGAGTTAGAGATGGCATCAGAAGTAGAATCAGTGCCGCTACCCTTAGATGATGAAATGGATGAGCTGGATACTGAATTTGAAAAATTACGTCAAATTAAATTACGTAAAAAGCATGATAAGTTAATGGAAGACATTACTCGGGCACAAGAAGAAGTCGATGAAGCGAAGAAAGCCTTAAGTGGTGCTAAAAATCAAATACGCCATTGGAGAAACAAAATTGATCGTAGTTGCGTTGAACGTTTGCGTGTATTCCAAAATCCACCTTCGCTAGTCGGCACAGTTATGGAAATGACGATGGTATTATTAGGAAAGTTGGAACCATCACCAGCTTACTCAATTAACTATAATACATCTAGCTCTAATATCGCTTCAAATACGGGCAATAATTACGACGACGCATATTCATCAATACCGCGTGGCTCTAGCTTTGTAGGAAAATCGAAGCGTGGACGTGATCACACTAATAATGCATCCAATCATAATCGTGTCGACCGTGATCTATGGAAATCAATTCAATTAGCTATGACTGATTCACAAAAATTTATTGATGCTCTATGGAATATACAGTGGGAAGAAGGTTTAAGTCCTGACAAGTTGGCAATTATGGAAAATTACTTAGGTAAAAAATCACCTACTAACTTAGCACAAACAAATAATCAATTAACGGGACTAAGCATTACTGAAGAAATGAATCAAAATCACCACCATCATCACCCCATCACATCAAATTTACTGGCATCGGGTAGCACATTTTCTCCACGTCGATTATCAAGCTCTACATCAGTAAGTTTTCAAACAGGAACACAACAAACAGGTGCTGTACCACCTCCTAATATTACTATTGCAGCTGCTAAATATTCATCGGAAGATGCTGCTATCTTAGTTGCATATATTATGGCATTAGTTGAATATACATATCAGTATTCACCTGTACGTGAGAAAATTGAGCGATTACAAGAATTATTGATTGAAAAAGAGGAAGATGAAAGGCGTGCTGCGGAAGAAGAGGATGAAGTTGAACAAGAGGAAGAGCAACGAGAAGAGATACAAATTGAAGATGAATTGTCTATCGATGATTACGACCGTATTGAAGAAGAAGCACACCAGTTGCAGATTGAATATGACCGTGCAGCTGTCGAAAAGCATATTTTACAAAAGGAATACGATATTAATACACAACGATTGCAAGCAGCTATGGAAGCCATCAATAGTCTTGAAACACAAACAAAGTTATGGCAAGATCTAGTCGATGAGAATACATCGTTAGATTTACTACTAGCTAATTGTGTTTGTGCTAGTGCATTTTTAGCCTATTTAGGACCGCTCGGTGCCGATGCACGATCAAATTGCGCTGCTGAGTTTATGCGAGCGTGTATGGGGAATAAATTACCAGTGGCTAAAAAAGCGATATTTACGGACGTTACCCTAGCTGAATTTGTATTAGGCCAAGCTAATTTAAGGCGTATTGAAGTAAGTGAAAGGCTTCCTAAAGATATTTTATCGCAAGAAAACTTCTGCATCTTCAAATACCAAGTTTATTGTAATTCATGGATATTGTTATGTGATCCGCAACGTATCGCATCCACATATGTCGCTGCTAATGTTGACGACATTACTATAGTTCGCTATAAAGAATTACGTAATCAACTAGATACATGTTTAAATGATGGTAAGGAAATACTAATTACTGACGTAGACACCAAGAGTATACTTGAAGATAAACGCTTTTCGATACTATTGCGCCATGCTGATCTATTTGATAAAGAGCGTGAAACATTTAAAATGATGATTGGTGATCATGAAGTTGAATGTAATCCACAATTTAGAATGACATTATCAACGTCTTGTCTGCCTATGAATGTACCAGATGAGTTGGCATCTCAATTAAGTGTAATTGAATTATCACATTCAACCCAAGGTCTCGAGGAGTTATTATTGGATTTCTTTATGCAAAAAGAGAAAACGCGCATTGATGAAGATAGCACACAAATCGCTGAAGAAATGATCGCTATCTATAATCGTTTGGAAACGATTGAGCAAAATATGCTAGAATTATTATCATGCAATAATAAATTACTCCACGATCTGACGATGACTAAAAAATTAACCTCATTAAAGAAAGCTTACGATGAAGCTATTGAAAATCAAGCTAGAGTCAAAGTTAACGAAGATAACATCATTAATACACGGCAGCATTATCGACCTGTAGCGAAACGCGGTGCAGTCCTATTTAATGTCTCCAAGCAAATGGCATTAGTAAATCCAATGTATCAGATATCATTAGATCAATTTTTGAACATGTATTCAACATCTATATTGCATTCAGATAGAACTGTTGTTAAAGCAGTCGTTGATCGTCTAACACAATTAGTCTTCTTTTCAATCGCGCGTGGCTATTTCGAAATTGATCAATTTTTATATGCATTGCATTTAGCAATTGAAGTCGAAGGGTCGGAAGGACGTGTTGGCAATCTAGAAAGAGAATATCTTATATCACCGACTTTAGCTAATCAACTTATGATGGCTCAAGGTAAACCAGCGGTCTCTGATTTGCCACCAAGTAAACATATGGGTAAAAAACCATTTGAATGGATGTCTGATGATCAATATCAGAATTTATTAACATTGGCTTCATATTATGATTGGTTTACTGATTATTTTGAACGCATGACACGTGATGGTCGCGAAACTCAATGGCGTGCATTATGTGAACATTTAACGCCTGAAAATGCTGCATTACCTGATATTATCGAAGATCGCTTAAAACCAATGCAAAAATTATTAATATTACGCGCAATACGCCCTGATCGGCTATTGCAAACTACCGCTGCGTTTGTTGTATCAGTTTTAGGTAAACGCTATGTCGGTGAGGTTGCATGTGATTTGACAACGTCGTACAAGCAAGGCAATAATCGCCAACCAATGCTACTGGTATTTTCCTCGGAAGCTGAAACTGCTGAACGCTTAGTTTATGATTTTTCTGTCAAACGCGGTATACCGTTAGTTAATTATAATATGTGCGACTCAATAGCTGAAGAAAGTCGCATTAATAAAGCTGTTCAACGTGGTATGCTCAACGGCCAATGGGTAATGTTACATAATGCTCATTATGCACCCCATTTATTAAATACGCTAAATACAATCTTATCGGATACGAAACAAATTGATCCATCATTTAGGTTATGGATATCATCAAAACCAAATACGATATTATCACATCAGTTATTACAGTCATCGATTAAATTAGTTGTTGAACCACCTAAGCGCATGAGAGAATCAATATTAAGCTGCTTAAATTGGATCGAACCGGATACATTCAAAACAAGTCAGCGCTCAGAGTGGATACCGTTATTGCATAATCTGTGCTTACTGCATAGTTCATTGCGCCTACGTACAAGATACAAGAATCGTGGTTGGAATGCTCCATATGACTTAGAATGGAGTAATTCAGAATTTTGGCAAGCTATTGAATTCTTTCGACGTGAATTTGCTAATATTGGTGTATTAGAAAGTAGCGGCGGTGCAACTGGTGTAAAAAATATAACTTGGACTGGTTTACGCACCATGTTATCAGAAGTTATCTACGGCAATATTATATTCGATAAATTCGATCAAGCAACGCTAAACGCTATTGTTGAAAAATGGATTAATTCAGGTGCAATTAAACGTGATTCTGAGCCTATGAAGGTAAAATATCGCGCACCTGCTATTATTTTTAGTCCTAATGTCCGAATGTCAGCTATAGCTCAAGCGATGGAAAATGTAAATCATTCAATATTAGATGTGCCTGAAGCATGTGGACTACATTCATCATCTGAAGTAGCGCTGGATGAAGGACCTTATCTATTTTATATGCTAAGTAAAATTATACATGATATGCCAGATATTGGAAATCGTAAATGGAACCAGGATCAACAAGTTGCTACCTCGGATAAAACAATTACTGTTAATCAAGCTTTAGCCATACCTCACAATACTAATGCCCAGCCATTACATACTGCGTATTCTGATCTAGATATAATAATATCATCGACTTTTATTCCTGGCCGTCGAAGTCGTTATGTTGACATACATGAAATTGCTATTAATCTACTAAGTAAGTTACCAAAAGGCTGGACACGAGAGTTCATTCATGAAAGAATTAAAAAGAAGAAAGGATCTATTCATTCGCCATTTAATCAATTCGTATTATCTGAGGTTGAATTAATGAATAAGTTAATTCAACAGATTCGATTAACTTTAACAAGCCTTAAAGAAGCTACACAACATGACTTACTGGGTGACCATACTAATGATGATGCATTACGAGCTGCAAGCGATCTATATTACTTGAGAATACCTGAAGATTGGTGTAAATTGGGTGGACCCTCAGCACCTCCGCATCATTGGAATTTAGGTTATTGGATCGATGATTTTAATAAACGTTTTCAACATTTAGACAGAATGCTGTTACAGGTAAGAAATAGCTATTCTGAAATTGTCAGGCACACCTAGTCATTCCTCGTACTAAACTTTAAAACAAAAATAGTTACAATTTCTACTTAAACTCGTATACTATAACCTACGTAGGATTCTCTCGAGTAGTACAGCTATCCCGCTGGCTTCCTAGGATATATGTTTAATATTTACTTGATAGATTATCTCAAAGTAATTTAAACCATGCTAATTATTTCCCATTCCCATTCTGTACTATTCTTGTTATAAAATAATTTTAAATATTTTACTAGCAAGTTCAAACTAGTATGATAGGCTTATAAAATATAATGTATTTATTTTCTATATGAGTACATAAATTATCCTTCTTAATATCTTTCTGGAAATAAAATATCAATATTTTTTATTATTTCTTGCTAGACTCGAGATAAAATTCCCGCGTATTGGCTCGGTGCTCTATTTCGACCCCAAAGTCTACTCGCTATCATCAAACAGGCATGTACTTGATATCATGAAGTGCTAGTAAGCAATACCAGATCTTCAAATGATATGCATATTGACTAGAAAGAATATTATAATATTACTATAATATATTCAGCGTTTAATATGAATAACGAGTATGGTAAACTAATCTGTATATGAGCACGTATTTGCTATCTACTCATTGATTAACTTGACTAAGTATCATTAATATCGTATCGTTGGACCATTGCAGGATACAATTCGCGCACATTATAAGCATGGCATAGCAGAAGAGTACGTCTTACAAATTGAATTAACTGCCAGAGATAAAGATCATGTAAGTAAAAATATTTAAAAATCAGAAAATTATATATAACGAAAAACGATAAATGTTATAATTGATTAAATTTGAATTTTTTTAACTTTTATAGCTAAGAGATGCGCCTAATGAAGGCATGTTTGTCTATGGAATCTACGTTTGGGGAAGTTCTTGGGAAAAGACTGCCGGTGAACTACAAGATGCAGCCCCTAAATCAAATCCATCATCGCTTCCAGTCATTCATATCACTGCAGTACCAATATCAGATAAACCATGGATAACCGATCCTAGCTCATATCCATCAGTTTATCAATGTCCATGTTATTGTTCCCGTATGAATCGAGTGGAACCATTATTTTGCTTAGATATCAAAAACGATAGTGGCGGATCGCGCTGGGCACTTAGAGGACTGTATGCAACATTACGTCCATTTTAATCTTATTTTTGATATGCTGATGTTTTTTATTGTGTCAGATACGAATTTTAATTTCTCTAAAATTAGTTCATATATAGTTAGTACAAAAATATTACAAAGCTTTCTTTCATTATCATCTTCATGTATGAATCGAAAAGTATCTATTTTTACATATATAAATTTGCACAATTTATTATGACGATACTTTCAGACAGGAGAAGACATTAACGTCGTTGCTTGATTTTTCTTCATTTAATATATCATATATCAAGTCTGTTAATGTTGCAAATATCTTGTGCCGTAGAGTTACTTCGAAATAGTAGCTTGTAAAATTTTTATTTAGCATTGTTTAATCACTTCTATACATGAAATAGCGCAAATATACCAGTCAGTATATTAAATCTACTTTACGCGTGTCTTAAATAAAGTAGGAATAATTGTCATATCGGATATGATATATTGTTCTATATTGTAATATTTCAACATAATTATATTGATATATATCTTCCTGTACAGTATCTATAGCAATAGTTATTTTAAACTTTTATGACCTTCATTAAATGTGTGATTGTTGTTAATTATTTCTTGATTTTAGTTGTATTTTGAGTATGAATATGCTATCTACGCTTGTATATTAATAAGTAATTTTTAATTCTACCGAATAAACGATACTAAATCTACACCACTTGATAATCAACGATATTAAATATCGTATGCAAATTAACAGTAGTAAATTCTTGTTATAAAATTAATATCAAATCATTCAAATATGTCCGAAAAGTTAAATAGTATGTCAACATTGAAATGAAGCTGGAAGAACTAGGAGCAATTTGTTATAAATATCATTAGCGATTTTTGAGTACTGAATATATTGTGGATAAACATTAATATATATTAACGATTTTATAGTAAGAATTCTTAACTAGCCCATGATTGATAAGCTAGTTGTTTCATTTGTATTCAACAAATGAGTGTTAGATACAGTGTAGTAAAAATAACTTTCAAATATCCCCAGGGCTGCTTCAGTACTGATGAAATTTAATGTAAATAAATCTGTACTCTAAAAAAGCTCTGAAATTGATTTCAAAAATAGTATTACCTAAGCTATAGTAGCAGCTAATAAAGTATTGTATGCGAATAGTAACAATAATCTATCAAATTAGCTAACGACTGCTACGTATTGGCTTACTGGCAATGGTAATATTATTGGTATTGTGATGTAGTAATTATCAGTCATTGAGTAAAATAGAAAGCATCAGGCTATCTATCAGCTAATTAATAAATAGCTAAATGTAAAACTAGCCATTTTAAGTTTATTACTTTATCTATCGTGATATAATCAAAACTAGGATTTTTAACACATTTACTGGCAACAATGTAATTTTAAAGTATCAGCAACATTTCATGCTCCACAAGTGATTAAATGTAATTAATATGAATGCAGTTATTAAGATTTCATTAATAGTTAATTAAAGTTTTATTTTATCATGATTGCAATCACAATATTTAGTAGAAAGCCATTCTATCATAAATTTTTAATAATTCTATCCAGTGAAAAATGAAAATCAGATATAATATGACATGTTCAAACTGAAATAATCAGCATCAACTAAATTATTGTAAATATTACCTTAATATGATATTATGTGTTATTGGATAACGGCAGCCTGCAAATGCTTTTTATAACATACAGTTCCTAAATTGCGAGCTTACGTGTAATACTATTATATGTATATACCCAAGTAATTAATATATAGAATTCCATGAGAGTAAATGAATATTGAAATTATGATAGTAAATACGTTACTTCGGAGTTGACAAGTTTACCATTAATCTAAAAAATTTTCATAATATAGATTTATTCATTTTGCTTATTAGAACTCTGATGAATTGGCACATAGTCCTAAGCGTAGTTCGTGTAATAAATAAACATCATCAATGCTAGTATTACTTTTTTGGGTTATCCTGTTGTAAATTATGAGTGATTATACAAATACGATAAAAGTGTAGAATGAGACAAGATTAAAATTGAATTACGCTACTGTGTATCTGAACTGCAATATCAGCTACAATCCGCATAAAATTCTATCGAAGTATATAAAATATTCAACTTAAGATACCAAATATTGCCCGTGATCACTCGATAAACAAGTTAAAAGTGTTCTAATGTGTGATTTATGTGATGGAAGTCTGGCTAAAGATTTGTAATTCGGAGTGAATACTCAGAGTTAAAACTGTGATAGAAAAGAAATCAAAGCTGGTGAAGAAAGGTATCAAGAACTCATTAGTAGGATTTAATGAGAGATAGCAATCATAACTATACGTATTTAATAGTGAAATCCGCCACGTTTAACAAATTCATCCTCACGTAATCGTCCACCGCGGCCAAACAAAATAAAATGCAATCCCATTAGTATTCCAGCAACTAAGCCAATGCCATATTTAATCTTACCCTCAGCACAATCCAAACCTAGTTGAGATGGTGGTATTAAGTGTCGTGGCAACTCAGCAGGTAAATCGCAACCATCCAATTTTAATTTAATTAAATACAATGCCAGAGCAAATTCTTCATCATCCAAGAGATTGTCACCATCATGATCAGCCAACACCCATATCTTACCCAAGACGCTATTAGGCAGTTTAGATTTCATCATTTCATTTTTAGCATCATCTGATGATATCCTGCCTTCAATCGGATTTAAACTATAAAATATTTTATCATATTTGGATTTGTCATAACGTACTGCCCAAAATGGTGAATTAGCACCGATATCCACGCCACTTATGGCTAATGTAGAAAATGGCCCTTCCATTCCTAAGCCAAAGGCACCGCCACGTATGGCTGGTGTTAAAGAGCTGGCTTGTAAAGCCATATCTTTCAAAATTGGTATCTCACAGAGTAACATTCGATCAACAATTTCGATTAACTTTGGCTTCAAAGTTTGAAATTTAGAGAAATCAGCTGTGCGCAAATATTTCTGAAAAACTTCAATAGGTGGAAAATCACCACGCGGTATTCTATATTCTTCCTCAACATGGAAATAAATATCAGATAGATTAAAGATTAAATTATCTTTTCGAGCTTGTTTACGAAAGATAGATGGCATCTCTTTTTTCAAGTAAGCAATTAAATGAGCATGACAACGTACTAAACGCGATCTTTTAATGACATAATCTAGCTTTTCCATAGCAAGATCACGTGGTAAATTTCTTAAATCTTCAAGCAAATCTTGCTTTTCAGCTTCAAGTAATTGTCGACTCTCTTCAGTGGATAATCGACTAAATGGCTCATCCCAAAATGAGCCAATATAAACTCGAGGAACAAAGCGCGACGGTATAATTTTACCCAGGTAGAACATTAACGCACCATAAACACGGAATAATTGCTGATAATCGATTAAATCGGATTTATTCAAGACAATGCGGACTTTATGGATATTTTTGGTTAACAAATCCAAGATAGCTTTCATTTCATCACCAACCTCCAATTTTTGAGCGTCAAATAGTAAGACAATACGATCAGCATGTTCAGCAAACCAGTCGATAACACGTGGAAAATCATAGCCGCGTTTAACATTGGACATATCGCTTAAGATACCAGGTGAATCAATGATTGTTAAATTTTCCACCACTGAAGATTGGATTTCAATACATGTTAACTCATCCAATAGGTTATTACCGAATTTACCTAATGCGCGATAATCTTTGCTTGGGTCGGATACTAAAGCATGACCAGGCAACAATTTGTCATTTTCACCATACGATATAGTGCAAAAGTTATCGGTTGATGGTTCAGGACTGACCTTCATACCAGGATAGCCACGACTTAACAAATACTTGATAAATGTAGTTTTTCCCGTACTATATTCCCCAACTAACAAGATAGTGGGTTTGATATTAAAATCTTTGTCACCCATGGGTGGTAAATCGAAATTATCGAAGTTGTAATATTCCTCCAAAGGCAAGACTTTATTCTTGTAAACTTTTTGCAACTCATCCATGACACGTTGTAGTGCCTCAACTTCTCTAGTTTCGTTTAGACTCATCTTGATATCGATTAGAGCAGTAGCAATCCAATGATAAAAACTATACAAAGATCCAATAATAAAATTACCTGAATCGTTGATTGATTTTATTAATGTTTTCTTTAGTATGATACGATATAAAGTCCTTTATACTTTTACGGTATCTATTTCTAAACTGAATAAGGCAGGCTATCGGAAAGTGGAATGAATTTCTTCTGTACTTAGACCAATTAGTGGAATTGAAAGCAACTTAGCTGCGTCCAAGTATTCAAGTTTCCTTCAAAAAAATAAATTAAGGATTAGCGCATATAGAGAAAGAGTAATAGATAGAAAGATAGATGAGTAGTTGGATAGAATAATCAAAAATTAATGACAGATAGATAGATGGGTAGTTAGATAGAATAATCCAAAATTAATTAGAGATATAGACAACTAGAGAGGTAGGTAAAGAGATTAGTAGAACTCAGTATAGAGATCGTTTAATAGATAAAGAAATAGGTAGACTGTTGGATATATGTTTTAACTGAATTACGCCTGAGGATATTTAGCTAATTTAAGCTAAACTAAAATTGCTGTAAATCAAAGTTATTGCAATACTTTCGTTTGGTTCCTACAATAACGACGATATTCCCCACCAATTAAAGTAGCAATGATTCATTCTTAACTGAAGTTCTTCAAAGATTACCTTTATCAAAAAATGGCTTAGCTATGTACTATATATGTATACTGATTATTTATGGATGCTTCCAAGATTACAGCCCTTGAACAACTATTATTTACTTTTAAATATTTAGTTACTTACTCATAGTATTGGAGCACGTCCCTCCTAGAAATTGCTGCTAGCCTGAAAAGGTTAAAACGACAGCAACGACTGTTAACTTTTCCCTTTAGCTAAGATGAATAACCTTTAGCGTCTCTGGCCTACATCAATGTATTAGCATTCACTGCGTCATCATCTAATCATGATTAGAATAGAAATAGACCATATGTTGTAACATAGCATATGGTTACTAGATTGAAAATCACCAAGCCAATGTCTTATCATTGGATATCAATAATTATATACATATTCAGCGTGCTTAATACTTAATCTTTGGGCGTCGTCAAAGTGATGACTAACAGTTAACTAACCAATAAAGCAAAAGTCATGTACTTAAAATTGCCATAAGTAAGCTATTTAACGAATCAATTTAGTTAAACAGTCTATCAAGGCTTTATATGACTTTGAACAATTAGAACCAAATGATTAATTATTACGTTATAACTACTGTAATAAAATCGATCTAAGTCGAGCCAATCTATAAAATGTAAATTTCCTCTTTGGAATTGAAAAGACCAATTTTTTCCCTATAAAGCCTCAGATAAACTATGCATATAATCGGTTATCACTTTGCTTTGAAAGTAATCTACAATTTAAAATATAAAATAAGGTTCTAGCAATCTGATTCTATTTAGATGTAATATGATTGAAACGTTTCTAACTGATACTATAATGAGTAACTTTCCGTTACGTGATTAAATCAGTATTCTCGTTGACTAGAATAAGTCATTGCTTCGCTTCTACGCGTAGACTGTGCTGGTATAACATCATTAATATTTTTGCCTACATTTTATATACACATCATATTAAATATCAGATTCCGAAAGTGTTACGTGAAACAATTGTTATGAATTGGTATAAACATATGCTTTCGTTTACCAGTGACGCTATCATCTATATGCAACCGTATTGTTCGATTCTGCTAGATCCCAGAACGATTGCTTGATGAAATGAACATTCAATATGAATATAAAAATATTAATAATATCATACTTAAATAACATTACCGGTTCATTTTGTTATAAGATCCATACTTATTTCTTACAGTCTCTTACAATGATAATTTTCAATTCATAGTAATTTTTGTATAATGAAATCAGGCGGCATTAGAATATCTTCCTATTAGTAGCAAAATTAACGATAGTCAATATGAAGAGCAGTATGTCTAGAAAATTTATTACTCTCGATTATCAATTTATAGTAATAGTACGCGTATGGACTATTAAATTATGGTAATTATAGGCAGATTAGCACGATCTTGATACGAATCATATAACCATTAAAGATGAAGCTCAAGAATCGATAAACGATAATATTTTAAGTAATATCTAAGTATGTTTGCGTAATCAATCTTGCCATTTTATATATATATATATATATATGTATACCCTCCGCTATGTATAACCGCTAAATTACTTTATTAAGCCTGGAGTAGAAGCCTTAGATCGGCTACTGTTCTATCTTCCAATAGCAGCAGTATGATAGAGACAGTACAAACTTAGTCAATACGCAGCAGCCTCTACTTTGTAGATTTTACAATATGAATTAATCCTTTCAATCAAGAAATAAGAGCTTATAGTATGTTATTATCTTTTATTAGCATATTAACAGCTTGGCAACTTCAATATTGCTCCTTCAGCTAACGTACACTAGTCCCTTGTTTGCAAATTTCGAATATAAATTGGCCGCTTTAATCTGGAATTCAAAGCTTGCAGCGTACAACGCATCATCTTCAGATGTTGGTAATTCGGCTAATAGGCAGTAGATTTCGCTCTGGAGTATCAAATGTAAATTAATCCTTCTAATCAGGTAATGAAAGTTACAGTGCATTATGTACTATTGTTCATCAAGGTGATGATACATTCATTATCCACGGAATTTACGATCTCCGCTAATATACTAGCACAAAAGTCCCACTTAGTAAATTTCGAATAATTTTAATCTAAAAATGAAAACAGTTTTCATTCTGTGCGAATTAGCAGAAAAACAAATTGTTAAAAAAGGAAAATAGAATCAATCTCAAATAACAAAGAATTACCAGTATTTTTAAATATCTCACACAACGATTCATTGATCAAAGGCGAAAAGTTTCTTTTTCAAATCTTGTTATACTTAAATGCAACATATTTATTTCTCCATAGGGCGCAGACATAAAGCAAATATGAACATATAAGCTGTGACATTAGTAATTAAATGATAATTGCGCTAAAATTGCATCTAATTATTAATATTGTTTTTGGGGAATTAGACTTGCAAGGTGTAAAATTAATCAATTATTTTGTCATATATTGGATGATTTATAGATTTCACTCAATAAATTCTGTTAATCTGTTAGGACATCGAAGACAAGTAAACTATTTTAGACCGATGTCTACAATCGATATCACAAGATTTAAATAGATTGCTCCATTTTATTAATCAACACAATATTATAATAAGAACAGGAGAGCTAAATAAAAATTTTTCTATTCCAGGAAATATTTAAAAATTAAATTTCACAAAGCCTAATTTCATTAATGATTATTATAGCTTAAAGGAGTACAGTAGATGATTCATCAATATTTCAGTTTGGTAGAACTGAATAATATGTCAATTACAATTTCAGTTCAGATACGTAAATTTGCGATTGATGTTGAATAGCCAGCAGCTTAGAAGTACCACTAGCAGATAAAAGACAATTTCAATTAGTAATCGAATGATTACTCAGCCAATAATTTAAAACTTTACTTACTTTGTTGTCCCAATGTAGTAAACCTTTTCGAATAGTTTTACACAATGTTGAAAGTCCTTGAAACAAAATAATAATAATTTTAACGGACGCATTGCTTTCAATTCATATTAAACTACCAATTTCAAGTTAAGAACAAATTTACCTCATTTCTTTTCGCTATGGATCTGAATTCAAAAAAATTCTCATGAAAGCCTATTAGTATAGATCTTTCTATAACTAAATTACAACAGTTACAGGAATAAATTAAGAATATGTATGATTATGTTCTACTCTAGTCATGATCAAGAGAAAAAGTAATCTACTAGGACAATACGAGTATCTTCATTTTCTCATAATAAATGGTTAGGAAAATGGTTGTGTATATATATGTGAATTTAACAAACCTAGCAATTTCTTTAGCTAAATAATAATAGCAACAGAAATAAACTAATGATTATTATTATAAATAGATAATTATCAATCTTAATTATGACCAATGATTAAAATCACTTTTAACTGTATATGACAATGTTTCATTACCATTTCAAAATAGCTAAGATACGTATATATTTGTAAAGCTAATAGCAATGCCCTAAGATTTCAAATGACATCTTAGACAAAGAAGTTAAATATTTCATATTATATATGGGTTTTGGTGATATTGTAGTGATGGAACATTACATGGTACTATAATCTTTCCAATTTCTGATCAGCAATCTATAGCAATCAAGAACATTAGGGCTAGGGTTGTTATCATATTGTATAATTAACTAATACTTAACGTATGCAAATAAATACAGCATCTAAATTCTGGGCCTGCTTGACACTATCTAACTCATTCACTCACTCACTCAGCCACTGTTATGCGTGTTCATGATTAAGAGTTGAGATCTAATCATGAGTAGGTATAAGTTGGTGACAGTAAGCCTCTTAGCCATCAAAAACTATATAAATATATTTTTTGCTTTAATAATAACGAAAACATTTAAAAGACTGAGATAAGATTTTAAATTTTGAATCTAACAAATATTAAAACAATTCATAACTATTATCGTTAATCATTATCACTGGATGTGACTTAGTAAATTTTAACAGCAGACAACCCCATTTTATCAAAGTAGAATCTATAGTTATTATTACCTGCAAAAGAAATAGATGCTGAAAATTTTATTGCTTGGTTATATCCATGTTTCCTAATAGGTATTCCATTCATGCAGAATAAAAAGCATTGATCTGTTCGTAATATAAATAAAGGAAAACGAATCATTCTGGAAAATTTAATAGTTATAATGTCAATTACAGTCATGATTATTATGTTATAATATGTATACAGTATGTGAAGTTATAGAATAGCGATAAAACTACCAATAGTATAATGGAAACTTGATTTCAATCCTAAATACTGTTCTTACCTTCAACACAAACTAAAACTGTGCTGTTATTAAACTGGTATAAGCATGAACAATCCAACATGCGATCTAGAATGCATAAATTGCATATCGTGAAATATCAGAAATTCAATTAATAGATAATGGTCATACATAACTGATATTATATTTTTAGCGACTTTAGATAGCGGGCTAGCAAAATAATAGATTAAAGATAAAGTTTAAGGTTAGAGTTGAATTCTCAGTAAGTTATACATTTATAAACCTACTGAAGTTCACGTAGTTTTCGTTATCTGGCCAAGCTGAAAACTGGCGATTTAAATCAATAGTAATAAAGTCGACGCTTGAACTATTTGGTCTAAGTATAATAAATAATCATTTATAATAAATACAGGAAATCTTTAGCGGAAAGTTCTATTATAGTTATGCCGTATTTACGTTAACTGAAGATACAAATAGTAAGTAATTAGCTAACATTTGATTGACTCCAACGCATAGAAAAGGATAATCTTCTGTTCTTGTGTAAAATATTTCCATAATATTACTGCTGACAACTGGTTGATACTTGAATATCTAAAGGATTAATATAACCCAATTGCATAGGAATATTAATTTATTCTTTAGATGCTGCATTACAAAATACATTTACAATGAAAATTAAAAATACAGTAAAGAAATCTGCTATAATTTAAAATGATAAATTACGGCAATATGTAACCTTAACTTGTACAAATTTGCTTTCTTTGAGGACATATTTCATGATTAATATTGAATCCGACAACTGAGCACATAGGAAACACCGTTGATTATCATATGGATCAGCGCCTAATTATATAGAAAGTCTTAATTTTATTTGCCATAAATACTATTTAATGGGAACTAACGGCAAATAATTTTAACCATCCCGTGATATTAGTGTATAAATTTAAAGGTAAGAAGCTATAGCCAATTGATATAGTATTATGGACATAGATCTGCAATGCTTAAGTGAGAATGGATTTAAAACAATTTATACGGCATCATAGGTGGAGTATTTGATATTATAGTCTACAATGGTACTGGCTATATGCATTTACTGGCATATAGCTAGAGTTAATACTTTATGACATATCAGAGAATATATAAATATAAAATATAAGTGAGAGGATAATAATACTTACGAATAGTACATCTTTGACACGAAGGAAGCATAGAAATTAGAGCGTCACCAATTGGGTATCTGCTAATTGATATTATAGAAATAGCATATAATAGTTTGTTCTACAAATTTTTGACAGGAGTATGAGGCTAAAATCTATTAAAACAACATAAGATACATTTGCAACCTGTTGCCTATCCTGTTGCTCCTTGTAATGGATTTATTTAATCTTGGGAAGAAAGGGCGCGTCAATTTTTTGATATCATAGAAACACAGCGTAGATAGATCATGACCTTGATCTATGAAGATATTGTAATTAAATAAACTGAAGGTAGTTAATTTGTTTTATATTACATCTAATAAGATTATAGAGATACTCTCAGATAACATTGGTCAATCTAAGAAATATCAACATAACGTAAAATAGAGTAAACTCTTATAAAAAATTTCTCTTGGGTAGATTCTAGAAGACTACTATATCAGAACAAATATTTTAGCAAACAATATATTATGATAGCATAAAAGACTACTATCAATGCTAATTATAAATATCTGATAGCAGCAGCTGTTTAAAAGTAAAAGATCTCTAACATAGCTATAGCATTCTTATAGAGTATAGGTTATAATCAACTAAGTAATGAGTAAAAAAGCCTATCTAACATACCCGTGATAGCTACCAAGATATCGGTGTGAATATCAATCCAAGACGTTCTTCCTTTAGTAATTTCATAATAGCATTGCTGCAATATAGGTATGATGTAAAAAATCAAGCGCAGCCTGATTAATTATCTGTCATCACTTAAAATTAGCATGACTAGAGTATTGTCTTACCGATTTATTATCAGCATTGGATATTAGGATACCAGTTTCTGTACCCAGTATAATGAATTTTTCTAATATGAAAACAGAAATTTAAAGACTAGAAGATTAACCAGAAATGATTGAAGATAGATTCAAATTCAACAACGATACCTAAATGTCGCAATAACTGAAAACGTACCATTATTCTTCGATTGCCATATTGCTGCTTTATGAATACGCTTTACGGTATCGAAAGGTAATGACGCTGTTATGGTACATTTATAGGACAAATACTGCATTGTAAATATAAAATTAGGTAATTGATAAGATAGCAGATGAATTTACTATTATTAATTGTGCTACCTTGCACATAAATCTGTATAAATGAAATAAAATACCTTAAATGTTCCCTCTAATACTTGAAATCGTTGATCTGATTGCTGACGATTACTATCGGTGGAAGCATCAGAGATATTTTTTCGTTCTCGTCGTATTAAGAAAGAGTAGGCATGCTGTAGATTTGAACCAAGTCGAGCAAATTGCCTAATTTTCAATCATACAAAATTCAACTTTGAGCTTTGGTAATTGAATAAATTGTTAATAGAAGTGCATTTTTACACGTTAACCCGTTACCTGTGAGCTAGTAACATATCAGATTTATTCTTTATCTTTTCATGATCTTTAACACGCTGGCTATTATCGGTGGGAGAAACAAGTTTTGCTTGTTTCTCTGTAGATCGTCTAAAATATAACCATAAAAATTTCTTTCTCTAATATCAAAGTTTGATCTATCTTTGTAAAACAACGCTGTTCTATGGTCATACCTACGAGTTTTTGTTACGTCTAACTTATTCGTCATCTTTTGATCGTTGTGAATATAGTGGTTATTAGAAGAAATACATCCTGATGACTTCGCCACCTTAAATTTATCCAGATGAGATAGACGATATGATGATTGTAATTCCTTATCGTCGTTTTCCTTAGTATGGTCAGTACTGAGACATGATGCAGATGCTAATGATCCAGCCTCTTTTAATTTAATAAGCTTATCTTCCATTTGCTCCTGAGCAATTGTATCAGAGGGGAATACTATAACTGGACAAGCACGATTACTTAAATAAGGTGAAGGCTCCACTGATTTCCTTGTTAATGGTTTTTCTAAGGATAAATTTTGGCTGCAACTAAGTATACACGCAGCAATCTTGTTTTGGTCACTATCATTTATATTAGGAGAAGATTGTAATAAATCCATTCTAGCTGGATTCACTTCTTCACTTTTAATTAGCATATACTCCATATGCTGGTATTCGGATATTGTTGAACTTTTCTTATCTTGACGGACAGGTGGTCGAGGTAGAAGAACTGGTGGTCTTTTTCTTGCCTTTCTTTCTTTTGAAACTTCCTTTCCATCGTTAGCTGTAGATGTATCTTTTTTGTCTTGGAGAACTGGCCTACGAGGAGTAGGTATTGGTGGCTTTCCTTTTTTAAATTTGTCTGATAATTTCTTTGTACACTGCTGACTTGTTGAAGGTTTGACTGTATTAACATTTACATAACGAGCTTGCATAGATAGTCTGCTTTCCATAGATTTATTCGAAATTGCCCTATCTCTCGCTTGTGTACCCGTATCCTCGGCCTCTGCTGTAACAATTTTAATTGTCTTTCGATTAGATTTCAATAGTTCTAAGCTATTTTTACGTTCATTATATCTCACAAAACTCCTGCTCACGAATCATTATTAACTTACTACAAGCATCTCCTTTCCTATCATGATCAGCAATTGTAAGTAATAAGGAATCGCTACCCTTCTTACCTATAACAACCAGAAAGCAAAGTAACTTTATATGATATGTAATTTTAAACTTTCACAATAATTAATCATTTATTAAGATACCGATCAGCGATAAGCCAACAACTACAGTATCTTTACTAAGGCGTTTTGATTAATTTTATACTTGTTAATTGCATATATCATTACATAATGATATAGTGATCACCCTAGAAAATATTTATCAGCTATAGAAAAATTATTTAGTAAGACTGGTGTCTTACCTATTACATCAGGGTAGATATTGGAAGACGGTATGCTTTGTGATATTTCTCTTGCTAAAGATAGAGCTGTATTCTGGGTATTTTGCTCTTTAAGGGAATCTATCATACCCGTAAATTAATATCTCTTACTAGAATTAAATATAGTAATTAAAAGCAATTTTAAGATTAATCAATCTTACATGAATTGATATCGTCGATATTCCACTTTTGACCGCTTGCAATAGCTTCAATAGGATTGCTTTCACTGCTGCTATGATTCACTGACACGGTAGATTGAAGGGATTGTGCTGTTTCTGAGGAGTTGCCCATGCCACCATGCCAATCCTCTTCCGCAGGGATTATGTGTAAATTATGGGGATGAGCGGGTAAGATCGAGGTCTCCATTGGGTGTTTGCACTCTTTCATTATACTTGTATTCCTTGAAGAGCGAGATTTATTGGAAATAGCAGCAGCTCTACTCCTGGAAACGTGTATGCTGGGATGACATGGTTTCGTCAAAGGCCATATATTAATTTCTTGTGATACATCTTCGACAGAAGATTGGCCTAAAGGAACATTATCTACGTTATGCCTATAAGCACACAATTTTGGTGAACGTGGAGGTACAAGTGGTCTGTTTGCAGTTTTTGTTGATTTCTTAACTGCATCTTCCAAATGTTGCTGATCTGATAAGGCTAAATCCACATTGCCATAAGATGGATGTGATAATGGTAAACACGAAAGTACTGGCGGCCTGTTTCTTGCTCCGCTCGGCTTCTCAACTACGTTCCCTAGCCATCGCTGATCTAATGAAGATACTATATTCCTTTTCCGTAGTATGCTGTTCGTCAAAGCTTGATTTGACGAAGCTACTCCTCTATTACTTTGAATAGGATGTAACATCGACGAACATGTAGGTATTGATGGCTTATTTTTTGTTTTATTCCGTTTAATTTCTATCTGTTGGCGAGCTGGAGAATGCAAAGTATCCATTTCCAGTAAAGTATTATTAGGGATACAAGATTGCTCCGATAAAGGTGCTCTAGCATTAGTTGGAGTTGGAAGTGTTTTCGGTGAACTTGGAGATATTGATGGCCTTTTTCTTCTGTCACGCAGTTTTTTAGCTGAATCTTCCGTCTGCGGCGAATTTTTCTGACTTTCCGTCATAATACCTAGCGTTGCGGAAGACTCTGGCTTATTCAAGCCGTAGTCGTAAAACTTTAACGGACGAGGTGGTTTTAGAAGCAATTCTTGCGATATTTTATACTTTTTAGTAGTGATACTGGAGGATCGATCTGCTAGTCGCGATGTTTCCATCTTGAAATGGTCTGGTAAATTTGTTATGTTAGATTGCTCATTTGCATTATTCGACGAGAGATTGTCTTGAATCGTCGAAGCTACGTTAGCTCGATCTCTTTGGTTAGGCATCGTTGTTATCTTCGATTGCTTGTTAATATTTGATGAAATATCATCTTTAATCGTCGATACTATATGAGAACGATTGCTATAAGAAGATGGCGTTGAGCTAACAACTCCTACTTGTCTTGGTTTACTCTCTTCAGCAGTATCAGTGATACTACCTAGCGCAGGACTGGTCCTGTTATAACTATTATCTCCATAATCGTCACAACTGATTTGGGTAGGCGATGAGCAGACTACTTTTATTTGATTTGATTTATCCGAAAGAATGCCTGATATACTTCTGCGAACCTCATGCTTAGAGGAATGCGACTGAAGAGTTAATTTTGATTCCAAAGATTTATTTAATACACTGTTAACTTGACGATCAGTAGGAATAGGAGGTAATGGCCTATTTTTCATTCTACACTTAATTCTTTCATCCTTTATCCAATTATTCTCAGCATCAGGTGCTATTTCATAAAATCTTTCTTCAATTATAGAGATTGTTGAGTCCTTTTGCATAACTGCATCAACTTCTTCCATTGAATCGATTTCAGGATATTCGTGATATTTCTAAAATAAAGGGACAAAAATTGACAATTTCTTTTATAAATTATTCCTTTTACCAGCAACACAATCAAAACAACAGCACAATAATTTAAAATTGAAGATGAATTTGCCAAAATTCCTATCAACGAATACACTAGGTTTACAAGGATAACAGTCGTGATCGGAGATCTATAAAAACTGAAATATCTTCAGATAGTTAAAGTGACTTTTACAGTCAATCAACACAACTTATCAACCGTAAATTTAATGCAATACTTTAAAATGGCGATGAATTAACAATTGCAATATGCAGACTCTTGATATTGCTGTGACTGAATCAAATATGTATGAGTATAGACTAATTCATCCTTAATCGATTGTTATGATGAATTATTATCACCCGCTGCAAAATTATAACATTGCCATGACTGTTAGATAGATTAAGATATCTTATATCTTTAAAGATTGTGGTAATGAACCGTCATCTGTAGTCGAATCATGATATTGCAAAGTCGAAATAGGAAAATTGGCCAGAGAATATACATTTGCACATACAACATATTTATGACGTATATCTTGTACTGATATTAATTTAACATGTTCGCATCAAAATATACCTATATCTATAGTAGTGTACCTTATATAGCATGAGAAATCGTTCAGTGAGAGTATAGAGAATGTCAAACAAAAATTTATCTTACAGATCCGTGGATTATTAACTTATAGCTGTTTTATCAGTATGAAGTATACGAGTTACGAGCTAATAGTAAACCTGCTGGCTACCTTAGTATTACTATGTTATTATTGAAATATAGCAAATACCCAAAGGGTAACTCTATAACATGCAGCCAGTATCATTCTAAGTAGCCCTTCGCAGCTAGCTTAGTTTAGCTCGTGAGCATCTCAAAATGGGTCACATATAACTTATCTCAGTAACGTAGTAACTATAGTATTTTAGCATCATAGCAATTTATTCACTCATTAATGAGATCTAGCCGATCTATGATTTACGAATTAGCAAATAAACGGGCCTATCCGGTTAATAGTACCAGACACAAATCGGACCACCAGCGATATCCTCACCCTAACTTGACTACATAGCTTATGATCAATCATAATTAATTATCAACTTTGCTCGAATATTTTAACTTTATTATTGATATTTAGGCTTGCTATAATAATTTAGAGGTAATTCCGTAGTGGTTTAAAGTCGGTTCATGAAAAGTCCTCCGTTTGTATATTGCGGCCACTACTAACTTAATGTTTTCTCTCTTACTGGGGCTATTAAGCTAGACGTACGAATGTGCGAATTCGACGCGTTAATTGATCCAAACTCACTTCGGATCTATAAATCAGACCTTTAAAGATTCACTAAATGCTGCTAAATTTAAATTAGACATGGATCGATTTAATTCAATATCAAATCACAATAATAATTTCCTTCTAGGATTTACCGGAATAGGCAATAATATTAGTGCTACATGAATGAATATGGTACCCTACAGTGATTTTGTGATAAATAGTCCTCTTGATCTTAGCCTACGCTACTACAATAAGAAATTATAATCTAATTTTTATGGCAAATGCTTCCAAGTCAAATAGCTATAATGTTACATAGGCACATGTTTTTAACGTACTTTATACAGTGGATCTAGATTCAATAGTATAAGTATATCATACACCAGTCACAAATTCATATATCGTTATGTGATATTTATTGCATCTAGATATGCGCACGGCGATATTTTAATCTTTAAATCATCAATTCGAAATTGGAATTCCATAAGTACAACTGATATGGTAAGCTATAATATTTTTGTTATTAGTAGAATAAGTCATCTGAGGAATTAGACACTGGCTATCGTTAAATAATATAGATCATAGACATATTTTAAAATTTTGTGCACTCGTAACCATCAGCCCATGGCTGTTTCTCCCCAGAAGCGAAAAAGAAGTAAACTGCTCCACCGAGGATATATAGAGCAGATGATATATAAAATACCATCGTCCATTGTTCAGGTTTCTGCAAGTTTAAACATTAAATTTCCATCAAATCTCCCCTTAGGAATCCTAAATTTCTTAAATTAGTTCAAACAACGTGATACTTACCTCCTCAGTTGTTAAATACCCCACTAAAATTGGACTGACAATGCCAGGAATACTAGCGCAGAAATTCGTCATTCCCAACAATAAACTTGCATACTTCGGAGATAAATCCAAGTGATTCACAAGATATCCCGATTTACCAAAGCCTGAAAACCCTACTGCAATAGTAACACAAGCAACAGCTGCAGCTTTGGATTTCATTTGTGCGGTAATAATGAGAAAGATAGCTTGTCCAAAACATGCTGTAAGAGCAAAGTGATAAGACATTTTAATCAGTTTATAATATTTACATAGCAACTGATATTCTTTTCATCAAATTTTCAATGTTGAGTGACTCGTATTATTATATATATTTAAAGCTTTAATCAATTAACGAACAAAGTTACCTATAGTATTAAACAACTTCCTAACTGTGGTAGTAGTAAAAGTATTGCGACTTCGCCAATAATCTGCAAGTTGTCCTCCTAACTGGCATGTAATACTCAGACATAAATATGGCAATGCCGATAAAAATCCAGTCTGTTAATAAAATATGTGTAATAAATAAATAATTAATTTTCAAAGGTCAATAGCTGATAACATTGTCATTAACATTCGAACTGACATCGTTATCCTTCAAATTATCCTAAATTTTCTATTCCCTTACTTTTTCAATATCCATTCCGATAACTCTACTAAAATAGGTTGGTAAAGTTGTTAAAAAAGTATAAAATCCCCAATTTTCACAAAAATGAGCTACCAAAATAGCCCAAAATGGAGGAGAAGCTAATATAGACTTCCATGGTGGACTTTTCTATATCAATGAAAAAGTAGCCAATAAATACTCGTGTGATAGGGAAATAATTTTAATCCATTAAGATCTAGCGGTAAATATATATTACACTTTAATACTAAGTAATCCAAGATGGAAATGGCTTATATCCTGTAATATAACTAATCTATTATTAAATCTTCCCTAAATAATTTATTTTGCTGAAACTTTTAGGAAAGATAGAGTAAATTCTGCTGTGAATACCCCATGAACGAAACGTTATGATTCAGAATGGCTTAGTTAAGCATTTAATTAAAATCCCTTAATATAATAATCTGTAGGCATTGTCAAAAGTAATTTATCGATTGGTAGATTCTATATAGAATGTTGCATATTGTATTAAATCACGTTAGCTGGGATTGCTTAATTAGCTATTTAATTATAATTGTCAAATAGCATAATCTTATTTATTTAAAATTTTATGAAAGGGTAGAAAAACTTAACAACAGAATATGACCTACAGGACTGACAGAGCCACCTCCTAATGGTGTAGTTTTACGTAAATATTCTAATTCCTTAGGTGTTATGGTAGGATGATTACAAGGCTGATCGTAAATTATAGCAAACCATACGATATACCAAACGATCCCAATTACTCCTAAATTAAATTAATAAACAATCTGTCGTAAAATACATTTTAGATATAGAGCAGATGATATTCTAATTTCAGTGGCAATTCACGGCAATAACGAACTTACCATAAAAGTAAAACACACTTGACCAGCTTAATCTTTTAGTTAATTCCCCTGCAAGAGGTAATCCAATGACGGTGCCAAAGTAAGCTCCTATAAATTTGAGCAGTCGATAATATGAGTAAGTGGAGTTAGGTACTGTAGAAATCTAGTTCTGGTTAAAATTGATCTCCATAGCTTTAAAGTAAGATTTTGGCAACAACACTGTAGTAGCATATTACTACATTTACTAAACACCAATCATAGAAGCAATATACAAATAATATTGATTACTAGTCAAATACGAATAAATCTGGGCGATGTTAATTCTAGTAATCCTGCAATGAGTTATAACTTGGATTTCATTGATTTACATAAAGAAGGTCTTCTGAAATTAGTAAAAACATATTACTAATAGAGTGCCGTAGGGTTAGTGTAGGGTTAGTGATATGCGATATGTAATACTAAAAAACTATCAAAAGTAAAAGTAAATATTCGTGCTAAAAATAGCAGTTGATATTTTTACACTATTGGTATATAATATACGGTAAATCAACATTATTATAATAAATTGATCATTTTCCTCATTTAAGCAGCTGTTACTTATATTTGCTTATTAATGTAACATATCATGTACGATAAACAACATCCCACCATTATTTTAGCCAACAATAAAGATAGAGTAAAATTTCAACGTCACCAATATCCATTTTTTACTATGTCCTCGTTCTTTAATGCTAAATATCGCTAACAATGATATCATTTTATGAGAATTTTCGAAGAATTGTTGCAAAAGATACTCTTCAGAAGCATTAGAAAGTTTTATAGTAAAGTACTTTACTTCATTAGAAATAAAGAGAAATGGAATTGAAACATTATAGTAATCGTGAGGTAACATCTTCTTTTCAGCTGTCTGAATACTTTAACATTGGGCGAATTACGAGTGTAAAGTAATTTAGTTTAGTCATATAAAGCTAAAGTTCCTGCATATGATTTTTCAAAGCAGCGATATTGTATTCTCAATTGGTAGTAATTATAAGTTAATCAGGGTCTATTGTAAAGGAATTGAGACACTACAGGCAAGTCAACTAAAGCCTTAAATAAATGAAATTTATCCCAATATTTGGTTAAATTAAGTAGTAGATTAATTTTATCAACCTAAAATTAATCTACTAGTTATTCATAATCTAAATTAAATAAGGCTATTATACAGTATATTTACCCGACATGGATATTGTCGTCAATTTACTCTTTTCCAATGATGGTGCCCAAACGCTCCATATTGCGTGCATTGCAGGATATGAAAATCCCTGAAAACATAAATTACCCATTTAAAATAAATTTTTACTTAGTTCCGTTATTTGGCTCTACTCTGCTATACGAATATTTGTGATAGAGCAAAATTGTCTTAGAACAGAAAAAAATGTTTCTTCTCTATTCTATATTTTGGTATATTTAACAATAAAAAGTTTATACCTCAGCAATTCCCTCCATAATTCTTATTGCTATAAGGGCTAAAAAATCCAATCGTGCAGCAGGTGCAGTGAATAAAGTAAAGATAGAAGTGAATAATAATCCAATCCCAAATGTCCTTGTTCCACCAGCATAACCAGCTATCCATCCACCTGGTATTTGTGTGATCATATAACCCATAAAAAATGATCCTAAGATAACGCCTAGTAAAAGTAGATTACCCATATAAATAATTCGATAATTAACAATATTGCTTAGCTTTACACTAACTAACAAAAAGTGCAGCCTATGTAGGGTTATTGGCGATTGATTTTTGTTAGTATGGTGGCAAATGAAAGTGGCTTTGACTTCAGTATATACAGTATACTGTATATACGTGTACAGTTCAATATCTTACCTTGCTTTGTTGTATCCCAGTCAAATTCTTTCATCTATATTAAGGATATGTAAATTGTCAATTCATTTGTGTCGAATGATCTCTATCCCTATTAATTTCGTTATTTAAAGGTTGTAGGAAAATGCTTTTTACTCTGTATGATGTCCTTCCATATACAGCATGCTATTTCCTAGATTCTTTTTTAGTTATATATAGTTATATATAGTACTGTAGTCAGAAAATTTGAAACTGTCTATTTTGAATACTGTACATTTATCAACTTTTACACTGCATGTTTGAAATAATATGCGTAAAAATCAAAACCATTGGCTTTAATTTTTTGTTTTGGTGTAAAGTTATAATCATAGATACGGTACTAAAGTACTTTCGCATATTGATAATTTACTGTAGAATTACGACCAATCCTTGCTTGTGCATAGTGAATATAGTGAATAACAAAAGAACAACTACAAAAACTCAAATATTGATAGAAATTATACATGTATCTGAGATGATTTTTAGCCATGTTATGTAATCAGATTTCATTTACAACATAATCATCTAGTGGATTGGCTAACAAATCAATTATTTGGTCAAAGATTTCGAGAGTAATTCTTACTGAAATGGTGGCTTTCGAATAGCAATGCTTTATTACTGCCAAGGGTCTGCGATAGCGAATCGCAATAACGCAAACCTCATACTGATTCTTGATCACGTAGACCTTATCAGATTTCCAATAGTAGTGTATTTAAGTAGATTGGATAACTGTTAAATTATATCATTGAAGTGACCTTAAGGGAATATTTCTAAACTGATTACTTCCAAAAGTTGTGCGAACTTCACTAATGGCTAGTAGAAGAGGATTCACTTGAAGTCACCAGATTTCATTTACAATACAATCATTCTGTGTGTGACATTACTATTAAAACTGATACTATTCCATCTAAGGAACTGTAGAGAAAATATCGCCAAATGATCGTTTTCTAGTTAATATTATTGATCGCATAAGGATATTGAAACAGAACACAGAATTTTTTTCTCTTCCACATGCCCGAACATTAGTATTAATGAAATTTTGAGTGGCTAATATTTTCATTAAAAAATAGTAAAGTCTTACATGTACAGTTGTGTTATGGCGATGAACGGTTTTATTTGAAACCATATCAACTAGAGCAACGCTTAAATTAATTCGCATGCCATAAACCAAGCTAAATCCAAGAAATGACATAATTGCCAAGACATATCTCTTAGGTATAAAATCACGGCATCGAATGCGTAGCGATTTGGGCTCCTCTGGATCTTCATATCGAAATGCCGATGGATGCTTTTGCTCGTCATCTTCATTATCAATCAACTTGCGTTCTTCACTGCTACGTCTTACAGGATGATTTCCTGACATTTCTAAGCAGATCAAATTATTTCTTTATAATGAATACGGAAACCAAGGTTGAACTTTTAATTGCCAACGATAGCTATTTTTCACTGTCGCTAGAGTGATTGAATTATTATTATATAATCGTAAGTAACCGCTATATCTTTGCTGTTACACCATCAGCTTTACTTTTGGCAATTAATGTTGATTTCTGTGATACGATAGCCAGCAGTTAGTGGTCCAATCATTTCAAGAAATTATTTCTTAAAGTTATGATCAAGTTACGGTCCGATCTTACCTGATAAAATATTAAGTCAGTTGCCGAAGGAATATCAACAACGATTGGAGCACTGAATAAATAAATTGGATAGAATAATATTATTATAGAGCCATACTGTATTGAGTTGTTATGCTGAATAATATCTATACATAGCTATCTTAGAATAGTTGATATATTTGGTAATTCTAGTAATGTAATGTCGCAGTTATGACCATCGATCTCAAAATTTATAAAAAGGCAAAACTGTAAGAAATTAGTTTGAAATATAATTAATTTGAGAGAAAATTCGATTTTGTAGGTTTCACTCTTTTCGAAGTTATAATATGTCCCCAATTTAGCACAGTTTAGCTACCAAATTGATGACTTGTAGCCAATAGCGAAAAATCTCTAGAGTCGTAATCACGATCGAAGGAGAAATTTATACGTATCCATATCTCCTCTTTATTCTCAGCCGTCGCCCCTTTTAAAGCATCTAAGTGAGTTATATCAAAACTCAGAAAGGAAGAGAGATTTTTAAATTTACATAATTTCGTCACGTAAAGAACCCTTTTATTGATTATGGACAAAAAAATTAAAGTAAAAACTGCCATAATCACTTGGCAGTAATCCAGAAACGATGCTTCGTACTATTTATATAGAATAACCCGATCTTCTTAAGTCAAGAACAGGTTTAAATGCTACATAAAAAATTTTGAGTGATATATAGTTTCATTTCGCCCAGCCAACTTCGAATCATTTTTAACATTGCTTTCAATCTTGTTTTCTGTACTATTGGACTCATTTTTGTATCACAGTTATCTAGAAATGTGTACTACATGCTAAAAGTTTATGAACGATGTATTCATATTTGATTTTTTCTATTATTTAATAACAGGGAAAAGTAAATAAAGTGATGGAAAAAGTAAAATTCGACACTATCTGATAAATTTTAGTTGGGTCACCTTCCGGCTCAAATTCATGTAAATTGATATCTAATTTTTAATCTTACTGTATGGGAAGCTAGCCAGTGAGACTAAACCCAAGCAATTTATCCTTTCGACAGACCTTCATAGAATTCATTGGGCTAATTGGCAGGCAGAGTAAGCTCCATTACAGTCAACTCCATTATGGTAAACTCTGGTGGACTCCGGATAATAAGTTAGTCTTTTTGCAAACTCAAATTTACTACCCGTAGAAGGGCATTGTAAAGATGTAATCATTAAGAGATTCTACGGAAATTTAGAGCTCAAGTCCTTTTAAGTTTTCATTTTTCTCTACTGACCGAACACAGGGAATACTGGGCAAATTTTGCGGTAACTTCAGGTGATTACTATTGATCAAACTTGATAGCTTCCAAAGTAAACTAACAAATCTACTCATCTTAGCTGAATTCGATCATTTCAAGTTGAATGAACTGAAAGTACTGTGCTTATTAGCTATTACTACCGATTATGTATCGGCATATCATCAGTATTAATAAGAGAGCAAATGTACTTTTCCTGATTGAGCAAATAAATGATTTATTGCTGTCCTGTACTTCGTAATTTAAATCAATAGAGCGATCATGAAGTCAAAATACAAAGCCGAGAATAAACTCATTAATCTATTTTTAGCTGTTTAACCAAGATTTTCGTGATTGTTTTAAACGTCGATATCAAAGCTATTTATTGTCAGGTTGAGTAATACTATATGATTTTTATAACCATGATTCTATTTGATGACCAACTAAATTTTTAGACGTAATCGGAGAATCGTCATCAAGTAGAATAATAATCGTAATCCAGTCGTAATACGCACATACACGTATAATAATGTACTAGTCAGTAGTTATTAAAGTATGTATTTAAATTAAAATTTGCTATAAAAATAAATATCTATAGGCTTACTATTATCTTCTAAAGGCCTTGTCTAAATTAATACAAAATTAGTATTCTTTACTGTTATGATGAGCATAGTGGAATAAAAATTTTGAACTCCATTTTTACGTCTATTTATGTAATTATTTATTATTTATCAGGCACAGATATGCCGTATGGTCTAACTATAACGATGTGCATGAAGTTAACGCTCATCATTTTGATGTCGTCGTTATCATCGGTCCAAGCGAGCGTTCTTCTAAAACGAATAAGCAATCGTGATAGTACCGTAGTTATTCATGAATAACTGCTCTAAATCTACTATTCTAACTATAAACCTTGTTAAAAGTAGCAAACTACTTTCTTCTAACACTTTGTATTTCAAAATTTAATGATCATGAAATGAAGCGATTAATAAAGTATTTTTCGTCAGGAGTTGTTAGTTTTGTATAGTCATAAAATACTAATTATGATATCCTATGATGACTATCATAATCCGAAGTTCTTAGTCACTACATCTTTAGACTTTCGAAAGTAAGGAATTCTCAATCTTTAAGTTACTAACAAATGCCTATCTTCTTTAATGGATCATCCCCATATCGTACACTTACGCACGCTGTACTGTACACTATCAAACTCCTTGAAGGAATTAAAATTTACTTTCAGTCCTCTTATTAGTAACTAGACTCCTCATTATAATAACTGTTTAAACTGTATACAGATATTAGAATACTTTCTAATAAATTTCACTCTTCTATTTAATTTCGAGCATCTCATAAGGTTCATTTCTCCACTTTAAATAAATTACGTAACCAATAAACACGGATGGATCTATAAGTACATAAACCAAATCTGTATTTGATGCGAGATAAAACGGACAGTTAAAAAAAAAATATTAGTACTGATGAATGAATGACCGTAATTTAATAACGGTTCTACTTGCTGTAACCGCTTATAAAATCATGCTAATTTGTGCTCATGACTAGATTAAAATTGGATCGGCATGTAAAAATTCTCGTCGATTGATGGAACAAATCGGCTCTTTTAGACGTCATGACACGCTCTTGAATGATTGACCTTTTTAAAACATCGATACAATTCCACAAGGAGTAAGCTTGACTGAGATACTGCTCCTATGAAAACTATTGGCACTACATAATTGTGATAGATTTGATTTTTCACTACTAACTCGATCATAAATGAGTAAAAAATCTCTTGAGAGTTTTAATAAGTCCCTGGTAACGGCATCATTCGAAATTTTGGTGCGTACCAATATTTTATAACAAATACACAGCATGATGATAAATTTATGTGTTTTCTGCTTTCTAAAATAATGATTCCTGGTCTATTCTTGATCTTAAAGTTGCAATCACTATGGTAAATTACTTTCCTTACAGTTTTAAAGTCTACGGAATACTGCAATAACTACCAATCAAAGATCATCGAATTGTTCACTTATTGCAGTATACTTATTTTCAGTTATCGCTTACCGTTTTAGCCTGATCTTTAATATCTGCTGCAGGCTAATCAAACTCCTTGTTCAGTTTTTTGTGAATAACGTCGTATTAATTTCACGATCAAGTCAGATGAACTATCGAAAATTACTATCCACTACTGTACTTTTGTAGTAGGAGAAACCTCCTCATCTGTTATTGAAATCAATAAGTCATAATCGCCCCTTTATATTTGCAAGGCTAAATTATACAAAAAGACAATAGAAGTAGCCATTAGACTCGTAACAAGTAACTGCTGAAATAGTATAGTAGTTGTTACTAGGTAACACTTTAGCCATTGTAAGTCCAATAATAGACTGTTTGTATAATGGTTAATGAAGTAGTCAGATAAAATTGATTTAACGTCTCATTTAAATTCTTCTTGCATGTATTTCTACTGTTCTACGTGCAATTTCTGGATACCTCAGAGCTTGCAAGCTTACGGAGAGATCAATTTTTTAAAGCGTGGTAGTTACCAAGTATTCTTTCTAAGAGAAAATGTCTTGATTATATAAATTATTGAACGTTTTATCTCATTCCTTCGCTTCTCGATTTACCTGATATTTTGTGTTTACTGTTGTGCGATATCACAACAAAAAGATACCAAAAATAATTTCTAAATGTCATATGACTCGGGCATTTCTCAATTTACTTGTGATATCTTTCTTGATATTACAATATTCAATCATAACCATAACGTGTCTTAAAACCGGAACCAAATTTTTTAATATAATTACGATAATATTCCAACAACTAGGCTGGAATAAAAATTCTACAATATTTAGGCAAACTACGATAACCGGTAAATTTTTACTTGCATCTATTGTACAAGTATAAGTCACGTTCCTGGTTGAAATTCTTTGTCAAATAGACTATATATACGAATATCGTGCAAGCAATTGCTTTCCAGATTTTAGAGATATGATAAATTTGCAAATTGTGAAACTAGCAGAAACGATCTGATAAAAAAATATACCATTTGATCGTTGTAAACAATAGTTAGAATTTAGTAATGAATATTCTAATGGCTATCATGAAGGTAAAATAATGGCTACTTTTAGGAATACAAGTAAATATTAAAGACATAATAGTATATAATAACATTCAAACTAATAGTTTTACTGCATTACATTTTATCTACACCGTCAATGCCAAGTAAATGAAAAGATTTTTCCATAATCATAGCAGTTGCTTCACACAATATTAATCGATTCATATTAATCTTTAAAATTTCGCCCGTTTTCCTATCTTTCTCAATGCAATAGCAGGTATCATAGAATTCAGTAAAAGTACAAGATAACTCGTACATAAAATCGCATAGCGGATGTAACAATAAGTCATCTAAAATTTTCTCTAGAATCTCAGGAAATCGTAATATTAGTTTAGCTAATTTCCACTCTTTAGGATGATCAAATTCAATCGAAGCACTTTCAGCAACTTTCGTCAGTTCTGAAGAGCTAACATTAGCCAATCTTGCAATAGACCTATTAATATAGAGTCAATTACGAATTTATCACAAATGATGCTCACAAAAGATTTCATGCTATATCATTGCGATATAAAACCAGCGCGTGTAAGCATACTTACCTAATGCGGGTTAGAGCATATAACAGGTATACGGCCGTATTACCTTTGTCATCAAGCATCTGTAAGAGAGTTAGTAGCTGTTTGTAAAATTATGTGCGTAATAGTGGGAAAATATCATAAAAAAATACGACAGAGTTAATACCTTATCGAAGGAGAAAATATAGTCGCCTGTTCTGTTACGCGATAAATCAGCATATTTGATACACCCATAGGCGACAGCTTTAGCAGCAACTTCCAACTCTTCTTTCGATAAAACCTGCATCATCATTTAAACAATAAATTAAATAAATTTTTGTAAATTTTAATACATGCTATATGTGAAGGACATGCTGCAGTTATAAACTTTTAACCAAAAAACATGCCTCGAACCCACCTTATCTCTTCCTTTATCAATTAGCTTTGCTTTTGCTCTTCGAATTCCTTCATCTAATAGATCAACCAAGCGGACGGTATCAGTAGATCGAGTCTTAAATTTTTTCCTGATAAGTTGTATACAGGTATTAGGAATAGTCGAAGTGAGATCTATTATCAGTAATCTATCCGACTAACTTGTCTTCTCCTAAAACAACTCCAAAAGGAACATGAACTACGCGAACGTGTTTTCTGTTAACGTATCCAACAGCTTCGCTAGCTGAAAATATGATCTCGAAATGCAGGCCCTAGCATTAATAGACGCAAACTATCACTACACAAGTTTTTAAATAGTATCCTTCACAGTGACATACTAATAAAGTAACATGAGTATAAAAATCTGCGAACCTGTCCTCCATCAGTAATGTAAATCAGCCAATCTGCCTTTTCATCCATAACTCGTTGTCTCATCGCAGCCATATCGGAGGTATCATAAGTGAAGCCTCCATCTGATTTAACGATCGTTAATGGTACTTTTATATTAGGTACTTTCAATATTTTTCTTCCTTCATCAAGCTCAAGTAGACCTTTAAACGAATTGTAACCAAAGATCAGATGCTCACGAGTATATTGCAAAGTCATCGCCAAATAAACTGTCCATTATTACAATGTATCAGTTACCTCGTGTATCTAGATCTTTAACGACATCAATCATCATATCCTGATAAAAAGATTCACCACGATTGACTACTTTCACGCCAAGCCGCTGATAGATTTTTTCAAATTCTACGATAAATTCCAGATCAGGGATATACGAGTAAGTTACTTTTTAAACTTCAACGGTTATCAAATCAGATGTATTGATAGATTCCGAACAGTAAACCTATGATATTTGATAAAGATTTTAGGCCTACCGTTCTTTGATACATCACATATCATCTCCCACGCTTTAAAATAATCACTTTCACGGGCCTGTAGTTTCACAACAGCTTCATACGCTCTTTTTTTAAATACTGCATCTTCATCAAATCGCACTTTCGCAGCCTGTAAAATCAAGGGAATCGAAAATTTGTAATAAAAATAACGTAATGTAGTTGCTCAACTACGAAAGTCATATAAGGTGAATTATATATACAATATATGAAAACCTTATAGAAAGCCTGCAAGTCTGCGATTGGAGGTGATTGGTTTAAATATTTTGGGAAAGTGTCACGAAGATGAGCTATTAGCATTCCAAACTGGGTCCCCCAATCACCTAGGTGGCTGATTCTATATTTAAAATGAAGTTATCTCGTTTAGAGAATTTATTCTAATTAATGTACACAGATACATGACCATTACAAAATCAGTAGGCCAAAGTTAGTCTGTAAAATTACGCCTTACCGCACAACGTCATGTCCGACAAATTCCAACAGTCTAGAAATACTGTCCCCTATTATGGTAGATCTAAGATGTCCAACATGCATCTCTTTAGCAACATTTGGAGAAGAAAAATCGACAAGAACGCGCATTTTTCGATTCATGACCGGGGGTCTTACTCCATACATGATAATGTCGCTTAGTAACGATAAGATAAAATGCTTCTTGATAGTGATATTGATAAAACCAGGTCCAGCTATTTCAGTCTATTACGAAAAGAGATTTTTATCGTTTAAAATTTTGGGTTTTATTGTACAATATAAACACCTTTACACAAGTCTTATAGTCATATCAAAATCAAAATTATTCAACGATTGAAATAATTTAATATAAAGTGGTACCTTTTCCAATACGTCATTCGCTGGGAGATGCTGAATAATCTGTTCAGCAACACTACGTGGAGATAAAGATTTACCGTTTTCTTTCAACACCTGAAAGTTGGACATGTTAATTAGATGCGATTTAAGCTAAAATTATACTATTAATGGGATTGTATGAGCAAGACTACATTCTAATTTCACCTTTGAAAGGATCATAGCATTATTGCATTGGTAATCTCCAAATCTTTCTTGAGTAGAAGAGTGTACGATTGCAGAAATCGATACATCTGGAAATGCTTTTACGATTGCCTGTTCAAAAATTCCTTGTACGACCTTTTGAATATTTGGCATAGCTTTACGCTTTGAAGCTTGCAGAGCTTCCTCTTCCTTTTTGATACTCTATTTTATGTTACAAATCAGAGATTTAAAAGCGCAATTCCAACTGCGAAGTTTGACACTCGTTAAAACACGGTAAGCACAAGATGTAATGATTAGTAATGCAAGGGATTTAAAATCTGGGAACAAGGTATGCCATCCGAAGCTGCCATTGAGCACAGCTTATAAACCATTATATAGCAGTTATCATGACCACTTTACAGAGTACTATAGATCAAACGGTAACACACCAATAGATCATAATAGTACGAGTCTTACTCTGTATTACAGTCTGTCTATAGTAAATTTCTTTACTTGCATTTGAGTAAAATTAAAAATTAAATAAATTTTGCTATAGCAGTACTATTAGATTACAACGATATAAACAAATTTTTATTATTGTTATCCCTCATATTCTAATATTATATTGCACGACAATCAGAAGTTGGCCTGATCCGAATCACAATTATATAATTAAGTCAAGATTTTTATTCAATTGAATACGAAGAGATAGCATATATTATTTCAACTGCTAGATAATTACCAGATTCAAATGATAAATTCGATATCTTAATCTGTCATTCTGAGATTTTAGATCATTCACAATCATATCTGTAGCTTTGCCTTGGCTGCTTGGATCCGCATCCTTTTCCAACTGCTGGATTAACTTTTTTAATTCTTCGATTTCTGCTTCCTAAGATAGTTACAAGCATCAATTGTTATAATGGTTGACAATAGTTAGGCACTGTAATGTGACCCTTTTAAATTTAAATTTAGAGTTACAACTAATTAGCTTATTCTCATGTACCTATTACCGTATAATAAGTATAACATAAATACGACATGGTACGTATTTTCAAATAGGTACAGGCGGAACTAAAGGAATGACCTATTTGACCGTTGCTTTCATAAGATATATCCGAAAAATCACTACAGTATAAAGTGTATAACCATCTTTACTTACTGTAAAATATGCTGCGCTTTTGTTCAGCAAAGTGTACGAAAAACCTATACTAAGATGGTTTGCCAAAAATCTAGCAGTATACGTAATTAACTACCTGTAACTGTAAAAAGCTAAGAATTGGCCAATAACTATACTATACAAATATACGGCCTTTCATAGTTTAATGATGAGAAACGCAAGACAGCTTTACTGTAGCACTTTACTTTATCCGATAAAGAAATGAAGATTTTCATACTGTCTGATATTACTCATCAATAAAAGGTGAAGTTGTCCATACTGTGCTGAATCGGATAAAGGTTTAGAAAAGTTTGGCATTACACGAGAGCAAATTTCGTAAATTTCTATTCTTACAGATTCAATTCCCCTTTTTTTTATCTCTATGGTTAATTTATAATCTACAGTACATAACTGTACAAGTCTATCATTTACAGTGCAGTAAACTGGCAACATCCCTAATGGTGAATAAAACTCGCTAATAAAGCTGTATTGATGATTCAAGAAGCTAACGAGTTTTCAAAGCCACACAACAGTGTTGATTTACTACAGTACTGTTGGCAATTTCCTACTGGCAATAGGCAGAGATTCCAGATTTAGTCCTTCATACGGCATACAGTTCTATTATATCATCTATTTACATGCACAGTATAGTGCGTATATTGAAAATGTTCTAACCGTGTTGGACGTCCTTTTAAGTAGATCTTCCATTCTCTTCCTCATGCGCTAATTTACCGGGATGTCAAGGGAAAGTGAAGGGTCAACACGTTGTGGCTTAGTATGGATTATGCCACTACTATTAAAAGACCGTGATTACAGTCATTCATAGACCTCTCAGAAACGATCGTACCGTACAGTATTATTGCCCATTTATCTACAGTACTAATCAGGTACACGTTGCGACTTAGTACTGTACTGTATGGATTACGCCACCACTAAAAGACCGTGATTACAGTCATTCATGGACCTCTCAGAAACGATCGTACAGTACAAGTGTACAGTACAGTACAGTACTGTACTGTACTAATCAGGTACAGTACACGTTGCGACTTAGTATGAATTAGCCACCACTAATAAAAGACCGTGATTGCAGTCATTCAGGGACCTCTCAGAAACGATCATACAGTACAGTACTGTACACTCACAATGCACAGTACTTTATACTGTAGACAACGTACTGTACAGTGTACTGTACTGTACAGTACACTACATTTACTGTATATTATTATTTATTAATACACTGTATTATTGCCCATTTATCTGTACTAATCAGGTACCTGATAAATCATGATGATAATGCGTACAGTACTGAACACTAACGTACTACAACTAGAAGTAGAACCGTAATACAGTAGGTCACAATCTATTATACTGTGTACAGTACATCGATTGAGAATCCTTTCTCTGTGTAGCAGCATCTCTCTCTCTCTAATGAACCTTGAACCTGACGGACTTAGAGTAATAAAGTTCTCCTCTCTGAAACAGCTTTCTCTCGTCTCAGTCTAGAACTAGAGACATACTGTAGCTTAGCAGCAGTTTATAGCTAATTTGGATGCGAATAGTGGACAGTATTGTACACTTAAATGTACAGTACAGTACAGGAGAGTGTACCGCTGCCAACATACAGTACAGTATTCAAACTTGATGTTTCAACATCTCAAACCATGGCTTTTACTTACTAGAATTCATACACAAAATTTGGGCAATTCTATCAACATTTTATTCCGTAGCTCAAGTTTTAGATATCAACGAGCGACGGCAAAGTTAGCCGTGAATTTTTAACTCTAAATAAATAAATTCCATCGCGCGTATTCCAGCCATACATCATCCCTACCTCAGCAACGGTAATCTGCGATTACAGTAAATTGCAGATAGTTTTCAGACGACGCGGTAAACATGACGTAAAACATGCAGATAATGCGCTCCATCATGAACTGCTAAGATCTTTCAGTAATCTACGTTGTCTCAACTCCATAATTCATGTAATCAAGTGATCGAACCCGAGATTTATGTAAAACTGCCGCTGTAGGAAAATTCCTTTGTATAGTAATAACTTATTTATTGAGATCTTGGTCTATCATGACCCTTGTTAGTTTAATAATTATAATTATATACGTGTATAATTATCGTTGCTAGACAAAATACTCGTTCAATGGAACGATAAACTCGGCATTACAACTGCTTTTAACCCTATATGATTTAAATAAACTTGCATTGCTGATAATTAATAAAGAAAATTAATGTGCTAAATTACTGCAGTACTCGTTTATATATACAAATTTACTCTTACATACAGTACAGGTATAGTGATTACAATATAAATAATAAATAATGATAACTAGGCCATCAGAGCTTCTCTATTTTAGTTATTGTTAATAGCGCTACATAACTGGTATAAGGTAGTAAGGTAACAGTCTCTCATACGAGGATGTATATGAGCGCATACGATAGCAATGACTCAGGCTAGTTACAGCTGAAATCGCAGTTAAATATTAAACCATTAATCAGATATTCTATCTTTTGTTAGAATAAATTCAGAGTAACATTGGCCAAACTATTATGATGAATTGTATGACCATTGAAAGCCAGAACTAAACGATAAATAGTCACACTTGTTCCAGTGATACCACATAAGCAGCCCAAAATGATAATAATAATGTCTTTCAAGATCATCCATTTGGAAACAGGAGGACAATACGAATAATGTGTTCCAATCTCGATCAAAGCAGGGAAAACCAGGCACGCCATGCTGCCCAAAAAAGCTCCAATTAATGAAATAAATAAACCAAGCTTAGGAACTGCAATCGCTAGAGCAGCTAATTAGATTGATATAACCACGTTAATATCATTGATACATATTAAATTATCACTCTCGTATCTCGTACAGCACACTGTACTGCTGCTATAAGAGCTACTACTGTGCTTATGCTTAAGATCCTAAAATTAATAAAAACTAAGAACTACACTATTTACCTGTTACTATGACCATTATAGTTCGATATGCTAGATCAATTGATCCTTTTTTGATCTCACCAGCCTCAGCTAATGCATTACGTGACAAGTGTGTCAAAACCAGGTTCGCTGGGACGTAAAATTGCAGCAAATATGAGAGGAAGATGCTTATAGCATACAGACCACGAACACTTAGATATAGACTGAAATAAGCGGATAAATAAAATCATCAGATCCCTTTTGAGCAGTTATTTCGCAATGTGGGATTTACATTTGTTTGATAATTTGTCTTGGGAGTTGAAATGTATAATAAACACTATAGCAAAGCTAACAGGGAATAGAGTTAATATATTTAGAATAATTATACTAAAAGATCTAAGGCGATAAACAAACATAACACCAAAGTAGGAGTTGAATGCCATTCTGAGTTTAATAACAATTTTGGAAAAATGAAAAATATAGACTTATCAAAATTTTAGTCGGATGAAATACCGTATTATGTAATTCACTTACGGTGTTTTTGGTAAATTAAGTGTAATGCTACCCAGACTATAAGAGCCGTAACGAAGATAACCCCCAACAGCCATCAACATGTAGCAGATTGTAATAAAAGTCTGTGCTGCCCATAAAACTTTACTAAAATTCTTAGGCTTTTTCATCCTATTTTCTAGTGGAAGAACCTACAACAGAAGCAGTTATGTCTATAAACTCATAAAGTGACTCCATATTTATTACTAATTACGACAATCTACAACGAAATGTCTACTAAAGGGCTAGAATAATAAAAATCATAGTTCTATCCACTATAAAAAGATATTACTCACAGCACATATGCCTTCAAAAGCAAAAATGATACTTCCAAACGATAGGGGAATAGCATCAAGTGATGCAATTAGTGGTAGCTTTTCTATATGATGAATGCCTTGAAATATATACTGGTAAATAATGATTAAACCAGTAACCAAGCAAATATTTGCGAAAAATGACATGTAAGACAGGATGTCCAGTGAGCGGATGTAACTGAAAACTATAAGGGGAGGCACCAGTAGCAGCATCCATATTTTTACATCAAAATGACCAACTAACTATTATATAAAGAATAGAGCGATTTAAAATTGAATGCCTCCCGCACATACACCAAGTCACTTACTAACACATGTACTAAAGAGATCACATATAGGTAAACTACATTGAAATATCACATGGTAACATAAATCAATGAGATTTTTACAGAGTCAAATGTTGTTACATAAAATTTTTATTTACCTGCTTAAGATTTTCAGCCATAAAGAGTATATATGTTGCGCAAAAGCCATACTGCATCATCCAAATTACACAATTGACAAATTTTCTATCATTTGCGGACGTTTTCAAAATAGAAATTATAAGTTTAAAACTTTTCAAGTACAGTCCTACTTTCAAACCGTAGTCACAAATAATTTTTAAAGCATTTTCCTTTTGGCGTATAATAAAACAGCCTAAATATTAATAAATTTAAACGCGATACCTATTTATAAAAAAATGATCTAGTCTACAAATTAATTATTATAATACAGCTTGACTGTTCGTGCGTTTAACTTTTGACGCAAGCTTACTGGATTATTTTAAAGTATTTTGCACAGTAATTTACTCTCACAATGATTTTAACATTAAACACCTCTAGAAAGCCTTGACTCATTAACTCATCCGGAATGATTTTATGATAACTGATATAAGATACCGCAGTAAATAAAAAATTACTACAAAAAGGTTAAACTAGAATCATAGTGTTGTGTACTTTACCAGTAGCGCACTTTATCAACTCTATAATCATTTTGCTATGTAATGCATTCCAACACTCTTAACTAAAAAAGCCATAAGCCTACTTTGTCTTGAAAAATCTATATTTCTTTATACTATGGACTGTTTACAAGAATTATCTCAACGCAGTTAACAAATTATTGTAATGTAGTATAGTATAATGTAATACATGGTAATCGACTGTTTAACGACAGCATGTTACCTTATAGAATGGATTTTATCATGCCAATATTTTAAACTAACCTAGCATAAAAAGATTTCTTTGGAAAAATTTTAATAATGCTAAATTCAGCAGTTTTTCCGTAATCAACAGATGGTGCCTTAACACTAAATAGGAAAAACGACCGTTTCATAAGTTTAGTTGATATCATCAAAGGCACACTACCGCTTATGTAAATGTATGATTGTTATTATTATAAACCGTTAGTAAGATTTAAAATGATAAATTAGATAATATTTACTACACTCATATATATTCTTTGAAATACAGTAATACGACTGTATTTATGAAGGAGCATGTTTAGATAAATGTTCGATATAAGACTTACTTTTTGCTGATGATTTGACTACTTGTAACCAACATATGCATACAATGAGTGGATAAGACAGCCATAAACAAAAGGAGAATTGGTCCAAACTAGAAAAGCGGAAATACAGTACTGTAAGTAATATGGATACAGTGCATACGCTATACTGTATAGTGTACAATATCTGCAGTATTGTTCATTGTATTAATTTCCCATCACACAGGTTTACAGCGTAGTGGTCAATCGTAGTGTGTTGCTTAATGATAAATTATAAATCAGGCGACTATACACTGTATACAGTAATGAAGATAAAGTATAAAATTCTTGCAATCAAGATCGTAATGACAAGTGTAGAGAAAGCACAGTACAAGAACGCACCATATCAATTTACAGTGTACAGTATTACGGACATAAAAAGGAGAAAAATCAAAATAGTTATACGAATATACCGTATAGCGATATGCTTTCAAGGGATTTTCATTCTATCATATAACTAACTACAACAGTATGCTATGCTATTCGAAAATCTGACATTTGTCAAAAAGTTGTAAATCACAAATTTACAGCGAGTACTGCGGTCTAAGGTAATGTTCTGTACTGTACGTATGAGTATACAGTACTTACCAATAACCCGGAGTTTTTCATAGCAAACGGAAGACCCAATATACCGGTTCCGAGATTGACTTTTACTAAAGTCATAAATCCTTCCCAATCTCTAATTATATTAGGATTAAAATATGGCAATTACAGTCAGGTAATTTTTAATATTGTGTTGTTACAGTGCTATTAAGATAGTTACTATTATAATAATTACATCATATAATGTATGGGAAAACAATACTTTTACAGTAACGGAAAGTGAGATCTTTTTTAATGGACAATAATTTCGTATGAAGGAAACATATAATGCAGCGCAATCATTTCATCTTTTCAAAATTAAAAATGCTATTTCACATCAAAGATATATGGTGTATGGAACGAAGAGAAAATCAGTTCTAGCGTACTAATTTTGAAGGGTAATAAGAAAAATATTATAGCCAATTCCAATTTAAAACCGAGACTGTCAAGTGGTAAACGTAAAGTAGAGAGAGCTAGTGTAAAAACGGCGGTGTTTCGTATCAAGCTTTAATATTTTAACTTTTCTTTGATTTTATATACTGTACACTGTACAGTACTCGTATATCGACGAAACAATAAAATAGACATACTGACCTTAATAATTTGCCTTCATGAACGGTGTCAGTTCGTTCGTCTTCCGGCAGTAATTCTTCGCATTCTTCAGAGTTGATCTCTGAACCATATCCAACGTTATCCACTGGGTTTAATAAAGGTTTACCTAACTTGTTATCATCATTCATTTCGATAGTATCGAATGCCTTGCTAATACGTGTACAAGCACCATTAAATGATATGTGAACAAATACCAATTTATTACTTCAAACCGCGAAGTTTCGACTGCAAATTTTATCGCTAAAATTGAAGATGCGGGTTACACCCGTATTCTCACGATTAAACTAAGAATTTGAAGCCAAAAACTGTAAAGCAGCAGTGTAAAATGCTAATGAGATACAGTCCATAGATTTAACGATCACGATCATTAAACATAAACCAGAAGCGGATAAAATCCCTAAACTGCATCTAATCCACTTTAATTAATATCACTGTGTTATATATGGTGATACAATACAATATCTGTAATATGATTGATTGAAACTTGTGACATGTGACCCACAGCTAGTAAGATGTCGCGTATTGTGGTATCCAAGATGATTGATAGCTTGTCCTCCTTTTTAAACTTTCATTTGCGAAATCGAATCAGTTTATGAACCTAGCAGTAATACTTGATGCAGCATGTTTATGATCGCAAACATAGAGGATTATTAACTCTATTCCAGTACTGGGAGACTATGATAATAAAGTGTAGGTAATAGCAAGATTAATTTACTGGTTAATAGACGCACGTAGTAAATTTAGTTTACGGACGATGCCAAAGGCCACCCCTTGATGAGTGATAAATATCTATAAATAATTTAATTTAATTTAATACTCAGGAGACCCTAAATTAGAGTCGCTAGTAGAAAAGGCTTATAGTTGGCCCATACATGGACTACAAGAAATATTTGTAGTCTATGGTCCACGGTAAGGTACTGTAATCTATCCAGATCTTTTACACAGCATGGTCAGCGTGGTATATAGAGTACCGTTACAACCAGTCAATAACGAACTAACGCTACTCACTGGTAATACTGTCAACAAAGACAATAAGCAGACAGCGTACACGCCCAAAATATCAGTTTGCGAACTGTGATTGTATTTACTGAAAAATAAATGGCAATCAACGATGTAGTACATCGTAATTCTTGAGCTAATACGGACAGGAAAATAGAAAGTTGTATGTGTCGTTGTTATGTATTATATTGTGACACTAGGTCAATAATACTTGACAGAGTTAAACACGTTAAAGTAGCTTTAAACACAAAATCACTTTATTCTCGATTGCCTTCCCATAAATTACTTATGATAAGTATACTGCATCAGAGTCATATGCATAACAAGTCTTATACATAACATACGTGGTTAAAAATTAGCGTGAAAATATCAAAGCTGGCTGCATCTACCTGTATTCATTTTAAGGTTTTGATTGAAAACCTACTTTTATGCGTGTGTCACCTACAATTTGGAATTCAAATCTAACGTAAAGTGTACTAGCACAATATGCTATCACTTCGCTGACAGAGACGTTGGTACTTTGTACAGTATGCAGTTTTATATAGCAGCTAAGGTAGATAATCAAGTTAGATAATCGATACAGGATAGCAGAAGAGGTAATAAATTAGTTAAGCGTAGTAATATCCGCAGTTATAACGTAAACTACCCCGTTAATTTAATATATTTTATCAGATCTAAATTTATGCAACGTACACGATCGTATTAGATACTATAGAACATAACGTAAAAAATAAAATAGCTAGTATCGCATACTCACACAAATCGCTACTGCATAGTATATAAGTTTACAGTAATATATAACAACCAGGATCAGAAAACATTTCTTTGTATTTTTACCAAAATTTTTTGGTAGCCTTGTAATTACGAGTAATGATTTTATGCTAAATACAGTACTAATCTTTAAGTCAATTGTGAATTTTGCGCCGGCATCACCGTGCTGCTTCTCATTTTTATATTACCAACAATAAAGTCGAAAGCATCTTAAATGAGAAAAGGAAAATCTTCCATTCTGCTTAATAAGCTATTCGCATATGAAAGCAAGAACTTTTACATGTAAAAAGTCCGCGATTACATATTAAATCACTTAAAACTACACACTCTTATGTCAGATATACGACTAATGTTATTTTATATGATGTAATGTATTAGTAATTGTCATATCTAATGACACGTATTTTACTAGCGTGGAGAAGATATGTTATTGTAATGTTCAACTCATTAAATTACACATTAATACAATATTACAACAGATTATACTGTGATTATATCGCTGCTACTACAGCTTATCACCATTATTAGATTATTTCTAGTTTAAACTAGGCGCTGAAAGATAATATTACATTAAATAACCGTTATCAAATACTTTGAGAGTTAACCCTAATTCACATAACTTATAATTATATTAAAATTAAATTATTGCCAATTCATGAATCACGATACAAATTTTCAGTGAATTATTTAATGATGGTAAACAGTTGTTTTTATGAAAGAATTATCTGCAAAAAGCAATGATAAAAATACGCGTACGGGAATATAGGTGCAACGGATTAAAGGTGAGAATACGCATAGTAGTAATGGGCAGTAGGAACTCCAAAAGATACTATAGGAGCTAGTTTACATTATAAGTGAAGATCACTGCACGTAGTGCGAGAGAGGTGAGAAACAGAAAACACGCTATGGTATAAGCGTATATAAAGAGCTACTAAGATCTTCTAGTAGCCTATGGCTGTGTATATATTTATTCAACCAAGTAACCTACCAATCCGCAAAATAGACTTAATAGAGTGACAAAATTACCTTTTAACATTCACTTAGAATTGCATAAATAGAGAGTAATAATATGCTCGTAAATAGATAATTCCAACATTATCCGTATATACAGCAAAGAAAAAGAGTTAAAATCATAAATAGTGAATACTAGGCCGTCAGTATTACCTCATTTTTGCCATTATTAATTACAGCAATCAGAAAGTACTCTATATAATAGATTGTACAATAACAGTATCTCATACAAAGATGCATATAGAATCGAAACGATCTGTATACTGCTGTCGCCATAGTCGCAGTTAAATATTAAACCTTCAATCAGAAATTATATCTTGGTTATCAGAGTTTCAGTTCTGCGTAACGTTGGCAAAACCATGTTGATGATTTGTATGATTTCCGAAAGCGAGAACTAATTGATATACAGATAGCCCCGTTCCAGCGACGCAACATAAGCAACCAAAAATGCCAATAATAATATCTTTCGCAAGTATCCAATAGGAAATAGAAGAACGGTACGAGTAATCCGTTCCAATCTTAATTATAGCAGGAAAAATTATACACAACATACTGCCTAAGAATGCTCCCAGTAATGAAATAACTAGACCCAGCTTAGGAACTGCAATGGCCATAGCCGCTGAAAAAATATATACGAAACCATATTAATGTGAATTTACTCGCTAAAATTTTGATACTGAATTCATTGGCACTTCATAATAGCCGGGCGAGTATTGCTAATGTGATATTCTATGCAGTAATTAAAGTAATTACCGGTACCTCACAGAGTATATCGTGCACATATAATGTACCGCTAAAGTAGGATATTCTAAAGCTGTTTTATGCTTAAGATCTTATCGATTATAGAATCAAATTCAGAAATGCTCGTATGCTATTTACCTGTTACAATAACCATTAGAGTTCGATATGCTAGATCAATTGATGCTATTTTGATCTCGCTAGCTTCAGCTAATACAGTACGTTTCCAATATGTTATAAGGAGATTTGTTGGGACGTAGAATTGTAGTAGGTATGAGAAAAAAATACTGGTGGCATATAAACCCCGAACGCTCAGATATAGACTAAAAAATAGACAGAGAAATTGTTAGCATGATCATTCTTAAGCATCTACTTCATAAAGAAAAGTTGATTGCTGTTAAAAAACGATTTTTTTGCAATTAAGATATTCAAATATACTACCATGGTACAGTAAAACAAAGATTAGAAGTAACAATTCTATACTGATAACTTTGATACATGTACGATAATAAATAAAGACAGTAGTAATTTAGAGGTTGGATAGGTAATATAACCAAACTAATGATAAGTAATTTTAGAAAAATGAAGAATGCAAAGTGCGAACTTTTATAAAAATTTTCCCAGATGAAATACTGTCTTTGCAATTTACTTACGGTGTTCTTGGTAAATTAAGTGTAATGCTGCCCTTACTGTGGGAGCCGTAACGAAGATAACCTCCTACAGCCATCAACATGTAGCAGGTTGCTGTAAAAATCTGCGCTGCCCACAAAATTTTACCAAAATTTTGTGGCTTTTTCATTCTATTTTCTAGTGGAAGAACCTATGACAGAAACAATTCTGTCTATAAACTCATAAACAGGTTTCATGTTTACGTTACTTTTATCTAATCCGTATTGGAAAGTATCTGTAGAAGAGCTAGGACAATAAATATTATAATTCCATCTACAATAAAGAATAATACTCACCATACATATGCCTTCAAAAGCAAAAATGATAGCTCCAATCGACAAAGGAATAACATTAGGGGATGCAATTAATGGTAGCTTTTCTATATGATGGATACCTTGAAAGATGTACTGGTAAATAATGATTAAACCAATGACCAAGCAAATATTTGCGAAAAATGAAAAATAAGCCAGGATATCTAGTGAGCGGATGTAACTGAAAATTATAAGTGGAGGTACCAGTAGCAATATCCATATTCTTACGTCAAAATGACCAATTAACTAATTGTATAAAGAAATATATGATTGACTCAAGTTAAATGGTTCCTATACATGGAGTACATACAATATATCAGGTCTAACGTTAAAACTTTCGATATACTCTGACTTATCAACTTTACCAATCTTTTGTTTTATAACATTACATGATATTGTAAACCTATGGGATTGTTACTTAATTGAAGGCTGTTAAGTAAAATCTTTTTATACCTGTTTAAGATTTTCTGCAATGAAAAGTATATACGTGGTGGAAAAACTGTACTGTAGCAACCATATAGCACAGTTAACGAGTTTTCTATTAGGAAAGTTATAAAATAAGCATTGTAGGCTTAAAATTAGGTGGATATACGTAGTTCTACTTTTAAGTCATAGTTATAAAACTTTTATAAGGCATTATTAGTTAACTGCGTGACAATCCAAGTATTAGTTAAAATGAACATGATATTTATCTATAAATTTTATCAAAATTTACGCGAAAATTTCCATAAATACAGCATGATCATTCGATATCTTTATTATAATTATCAAGACTGGCAAAAATTTTTAGAGTACCTCACTCAATAAGTCATTTCCTTCATAATAGCTTTAGTAATGAACAGTTTGGAAAACCTTATGTAACTCGCTAACTTATCTCCGGTGAATAATATTTACATATCATCGATATAAGGTAATAGTAAAGAATGTTTTTAAAATGATTAAACTAGAATTTTTATTTACTTTGCAAACAGTACTTTCGACATTATAGCAATTTTATAGAATTATGATTTAAGCTCCTTAATATCTCTTTATTTAAAAATATCATAAAGTGTGTTTTAAAATCCTTAGCGCACAAAAAAGTCGGATTTTTATATTATGTAAAATTTGCGTCTTTCACTTTTAAAATGTTAGTTCAGATTGCAATTCTAAACATATAATAGTTTACAATTTAAATAATTCAGTAAAAGAAATACTATAATGTCCAGCTTTGCAGAAAGTATAAGATGCTATAAAACTGCGTTTATTATAATAACATTCTTAACTAACCTAAAATATTGGGATTTCTTTGGAAAAACCTTATCGATACTTAATTCAGCAGTTTTTCCATAATCGGCACATGGAGTCTTGATACTGAATTAGGTAAAATTATTGCATTAGTGGATAAATTACGTTCAATGATGTGGTTGTAGATGCATCATAATTATTTAAATTTTAAATAAGATCCAAAATGATAAACATTTAATATTTTCTGCCGCCATTTATATGCAGTAATAGTGTAATATTTGTAAATAAGCAATTGAATATGTTTAAATAAAGATTTTTAATGTAAAGACTTACTGTTTGCTGATAATTTGGCTACTAAGAACCAAGATATGCATGCAATGAGTGGATGTGATGGCCATAATCAGAAGGAGTGAAGGTCCAAACTAAAACACAAGAGAACATTTGTAGCATAGATCGTCAAGCAATGCTAGTGATGTGCTATTAATCTAATCTGAAATTAAACGTATATGTTACATTGGATGAGATATAAACAGGAAAATACTATATTGCCGTCAAGATTTACATTACCACAACAAAGATCAGTGAACTGAATATTTAAGCTTTTATCAAATATTGAATGCGATATCATAGATTTCAGGATAGAAGTTTGGAACTCATATATTAAAACATCAAAGAATTTGTAGTTTATTACTTTACTATAGGATTGAATGTGGTTGAATTAATTTTCAGCTAGAATTTAAATCGACAGGAAGCCGAAAAGGGGAAATTCGTTGTATATTAGTGATATTACCATCAATAGTGGTGACTGGTAGTATTCCTTATAATGAAAAATAATATTTTATTTGTCGTCGTAAATATTTTGTATGAAAGTCATATCATTCGATTCCAATGTAGCGTTATATATGATGATATCGAAATTAACTTTTATTGCATAAAACTTAACCGTTGGACAGATTTAGCAAATGCTCAGTAACAGTGGCAACACTCATAATTTAACAAATTATGCAATCGACTGGCGGATATTTTAATATCGATTATTGAATGCCTAAATAATAATGTGCTAATATACAGTATTGATAATCATGGATAGTACTGGTAAAATATGTATTACTTAACATTATCTGTTAAAGAAATTCATAAATTTAGCATTATGAATGAACTAACTACAACAATAAATTGATTACTATAAAAATTTAATCTATTTATACGCGATGCGATGGTATAACTGTCTAGTTAAAATAAAAAAAATTCGGTATTGGTAAATTAAATCGTATGTATTATTGGATGCACTGCAATAGGGAGCAAAGCAATTTGATCGCACCATCTTTACAGCTAATACTATATCTTATATTCAACTGGTTGCATCACTGTCAATCAATTATGCTGCTGTAGATAATCTATAGACAGCTTAATAATTTGTCAGTTATTATACTATTATGGAAGATAGGGCGACAGGTCCTTAGTGGTTACTATATGTATCGTGAAGGTGTTATCGGGTAAAATTATCATAACCAAGGAATAAAATGAGGAACTATTTCAGTGAATAGTATTTGTGTAGGTTTATCAATTAAACTATGTATCGCGGTGAAAAATATAAGTAAGATAAATAAGTTTATCGCAGTACCACAGCTCTGTACACAAACTACCGCATTTTTAGTTATACTAATGTCGTATAATGCTCAGTAATGTATATTACTTAAAACGGAAAAGCAAAGATTCGCATACAATGTTGTAGAATAGTAAGAAAGAGAAATATACCACTAATCCGGCGTGTTTCATAGCATAGGGCAGAGCCAATATACCGGTTCCGATATTGCCTTTTACCATACTCACAAATCCTTCCCAATCCCTAATAGAATATATATGTACAATAGATAGCGGGATTAACTATGGCAATCGCAGCAATCGTTATATATATATTACTTAATATTTTGATGTTACTATAACGGTTATTGTAATAATAGTTAACAATATCATACAAGATATAGAAGAATCACATATTATAATTTTTTATTTTACAATAACAGAAAGAGGGATTTTACGATTTACGTGCGCTACGATTACAGGAACAAATAATACAACAAGACAATTTTATTTACTGAAAAACCGTATTATATTAGAGTCCTTGCGCTTCTATTAAAATGTGGCATAGATAATATAGAGACAAAGTTAGTCTTATAGTCTATATGTTACGATAAATTGAACGATAGCACTACAACATTGCAACTAATTTCGTTGTTAATACTGCATTAACAAGTAGAGTTTGGCCGTAGTTCACTATATGATAGCAGTTAATTTGAGAAGCAAAGAACGAAACAACAGCGTTTGTAATCTTCTAAATTTATGAAATAGTGAAAATAGGAGTTTTATACCTCAAAAGATTGCCTTGATCAGCGTTACAACTTCGTTCATTCTCCGGCAATAATCCTTCGTTCTCATTGGTGTCTATATCTGAATATTGTCCCTCATCTTTATTGCTATCCTCTGGATTTGAAAGATATTTATTCAACTCGCCATCATTATTCATTTTAGTAGTATCGGACGCCATGATTATCTTCCGTAATTACAAGTAGTATTAATTGCGAGAAGGAATTTCAATCTATCATCAAAAGTTGAGTTGAGCCCTGAGGATTCGACTAATAATTTTAGTGCTAAAATTTCGATACAGATTACACTCATACATTCATAACTAACTAAAATTACTAATAATTAGAATTGAAAAGCAGGGTCCAGATGACCCTGTGTTACAATCTATGACTTTATCTGTCACTAGCTTCTAAACTTGTTATAGTACGATAAGGAGTGATTCTTCCAATCTAGCAGTTTCCACTTCAAATAGCGTTGTACATTAAGTAATTTACTGCTGATTCAATATACGTATTTGCATAGATTAATAACTAAAATAATTATAATTATATTATAATCACGTATGCGCAGTGCACTACTAACTGCGGCAATATGATGGTGATTATGATCTTTTTATGGACTAATCAAATAATGGCAATTATAGTACAATCGAAGTACAGTTCTGCAGACTGTAGTCTACAGTAATGGGTTGGCATGCATTATACATATATTGTTGTACTATACCGTCATATCGCTGTATCTATGCCCTTAGGGCTTAGGTTCTAAATACATCCAAAAGAATGAATCAGTCAAGAGTATAATTGCGACGTCGATTTGTAAGCAACGATGCGGGATAACTAGCGGTAAATAGGATAAGACAGGCGTGGACCTTAGCTACAAATCCCCAGAACTTTTGTAGTAAATGCACGACTAGCACAATTAAAAAGAATTGTTTAAAAAATTTGCTATTTGTTAACCTAACCGTCCGGTATACATCAGTGCAGTAATCTCAAGTGATGTTGGCAGAACCACTAAAATAATTAATTACTTTACAGTTTCTTATATATAGATACTTTTTCTTGCATAGGTCCTAGTGTTGACGGCCTAGCTTTTCTGTTCTACTCTACTATTCTTGTAATAAGCAGTGCAATAGACGTAATAAATCCATTAATAGGGAAAGAAACCAATTAGTTCGTATTACTTATAAGTACGAAAAGATTTTGGAAAAATTTCTTTTTAGTGTAAAGATGTTAAATGAGCACATTATCGTAAACCGTCAGTAAAGCGACGGGAGTTTGCACTAGTTTATTATGAATTATAATGATGTACCGTACACCTTTTCCGCCTTTGGAGTTATAATTTTTAATCCATATATCGATAGTAGCGTTAGACGATATTTTACGAGTACTATCTTAATAAAGTAGACGGCCTAATTTTCTACCGTGATTGCAAATGAAAAAATTTTACCACGATGAATTAATTGCAGGCCACTATACAGTAAAGTAGATTCCAATTTGAGCCTTAATTGAAGTCGGATCATATCTGATATGGCTGGTATCACACAATGACATATTTCTTTCCATGTTCTTACTTATCCAATGGCGAAGAATAATCTGCTATGAACTAGTGAAAATTCAGACTGCACGTTAATCCTGAAAATATACACTCCCTATCTCGTACTGAAAGTCACAATTCTAAACTAATTGCACCATTTATGATCTCCTTTTATTAATTATCGATACTAAATTATATTAATAGCATCTTGCACCAGGAAATGAATTTTCCTGACTGCATTCAATGAATCATGACGTCAGTATATATTACACAGGGACGTTTATCAAGAAACCTTATAAGATTGTATATATATACAAATGATACCATTGGATAAAAGCCATAATATATGTTAAGTATACAAATGATATTATTTTATACAAGATTATGTACGCGTATTCATAAAACTATCGTATTTGGCGACTTGCATCATTATAGGCGAGACAAAGTCATGTTATTCTAATAATATTTTGATCGTTAAATTAGTCGTTTGATAAACGATCGCGAAAGATTTTAACTGTAGATACTGTAGCACATCACTGACACTAAAGCTAATAATAAAGATCGCTACTATAAATTCGTTTTGAACTATTGTAGATATTGAAGAAATAAGAAGTTGAAGAATCGCGATCAGATATTTCGTGAGATAATTTTATTATGTCTCCACCTAACTTGCAGTCGAAATTAAATTGTTACAAACTTACAAATAATGACGAAGTGTCGCAAAATTTCAAATGAATTAACTTATAACCTTTTCATATTCGCTCTTATTTTAATGAGAATAAACAGTTATTCTTATGAAGAATTACCTATGGAAATAACTCCCAACATGGAAAGGGAAGTACTCGTATAACACATTTAGACTAAAATAGAAATATTTTTCTATCTAATAACGTAGTCTATCCGCCACTAGAAATACGATCATTTCTCAAATAATGGTCTTAGAATATATACCTTTCACTAGTCCTGCAATCTACTTTGCTACGGGCATATTCGATATTAGACATCGTAACGCTGTCAGCATATAGAAATATGCAAGAATTCACAGAAGTGTGGATGAAATCTTATACCAATAATCATTTAATCTGCCTCAATTATTAATAGCAAAAGTAATGTAAGGTATCAAGATATACGCCAGTCGCTAAATTATGCTATAATTTTCTAACTTTGACCATTATCTATCATAACGTAGCATTAGGTGAGCATTACATAAAGAACAGTAGAACAAGAGAGAATACGTGTATGTTTAAAATTAAATTTATGCTAGAAAAATGACTCATGCTACTATTATTGATATGAAATATCAACATTTTATAAATTAGTCACGCGAAATCGGCAAACTTGCTGTGTTACTAGGTCATTGCATGCTATGTAGTCGTCTACGTACAGTGTGACATACAAACACGCTGCGCCTGCTTACCTGCCTGAGGTATGCATTTAATAAAGCAAATCTTAGTAACTTTGCATATGCCTGAAAGTACGAAGAGAGCATTTTATTTCAATTTATTTCTAAAAGGAAATAATGCAAATCCTCAATTCTAAAAGGTAGTATTGAAATACTTTTGAAATAATTGACAACAAAATCATTAGGATCTTCTTTGATCATTAGTCTCAACGATCACATGAATAGACTGGCGCTTGCATTATTCGTAATACTGTAATTGTATAGGTGATATAGTGGTCTAAGTACATCAATTGATTCACATTACATCATCGCTCATATTAAGTTGAAAGTAGAGAATTTAATTTACGATATCTACATTCGTTTTTGTACAGCTGGGTGGTCGCGATGTCACGAAAGAAAAGAATAATCCAGAGTGACTGCCTAAAATAGTAATACTTTAATAAAAAATTACTAGCACTTGCTCCTACACGATTAACGCTTCTCAGGTTTTAAGGTTGGAGGTTTGAAAGCCGTCTTTTGATACTTTTCTTTATGTTTACTAACTCCTCCAGTTTTAAAATTCCTCCAATTATCAACTCTGTTCGTTCGAGATTTCTAAATATGCAATAAAGAGGAATTACAGTTACTATATGAAGAAAATCTATCAGCGTAGGGATGCAGTAAAATTTCGTTAGATAACTCAACGCTGGCAATTCATCTATACTATTTTCTTGTTTATACCGTATTTATGTAATAGTATAATCTTGAATTCATACATAGTTCACGCTATAATTGTTTATCGGTTGATACATAAATACGATAGGATATAGATATACAGTCAGTTACCTCCCAAGCATCTTTGAACTTTGCCTCCTTCTTTTTTCTTTCTTCTTCTACTATTTCTTCGTTCCTTTGACGCTTTCTACAAAGAGATTAAATTAACTAAACGTGCATCTATAAAAGATAACTTTGAAACATCTAATGCATATAAACAGGTAGTGCGCAATGATATCTTTAATAGATAAACTATTCCGATTTTAAGAGCTCCAAATTGATGTTTTTAAATTACTTTTCTTCGGTTTCTCTCCTTTCTAATTGCTTTCTTCTTAATTCGTAGTCGGCAAACAATTTAACTGTAGTGTTACGAACGAATTTCTTCATCTAGATATGTAAAAGAATTACTCCAATTTAATTTTAAAATAGCATACAATCTTGGCTAAATTTTCATATCTTTCTTCCGATATCAAACGTTGTTACCAATTCAGGGTCTTTATCTTCCTCTATAGGTAAGTTGCCTAACTTTTTCGCCTCCTTACGCTTATCAGATAACTAAAACAGCATGATAATGTGGTGGGTGAAAGGTGATCAGTATTGCTACTTAATATATATATACTAAAAATCTAAAATTGTATTTCTATCGCACAAATACATGTTCAGAATTGCATTATATCGTATGAATATGATAGGCATATGATTTTTACTTTTTTACTGGATAGGGCCTTGGCATCTTCTATAATTTGCAATATTTTCTTAGTTTCATCTTCATCTTCCAATAATTTATAAGCTTTACTAATAGCTATCAGGAAATAAATAACGTATCAATACATTGTATAGCTAACGAATCATTGTATGCTCGCATATTCATTTTGGCTAAAAATTAGGTCGAAAGACATTTTCATCATAAATAAGCATAATTGATAGTAACTGTTATATGTTGCAGATACAGTCAAAAATACTAGCACGGACTATCCTAATAATTATTTTAGGTTTCAACTCCGAAATTGATAAAATTTTTAGCTTGCCGAGACTACTGGCCTGCTGCAGTTTTAACAGCCATGTTACTAGGAAACTGGTAGGGATTATTGAATGACTTTTAAGAAATTGCCGAAATGTTTTCAAATCATTGGCTAAATTAACAAGAGTCTACTACTCATACAGTGTAATATTAATCATCTTGTGCTTAATCAAGTACCGTAGTATCCCTAGAAATACACAAGCACATGCAAAATTCTGCTGTATGAATAATGTAGGGTTATTTACATTTACTCATTTAGATTACACACATTAAGATCTCACCATCAAACGCTTTACGAGCTGATTCTTCTCGTTCTAGATTCTTGTCAGGATGTACCAGTATAGAGAGCTAATAAGAGAATAGGATTTTCCAAAATGATTACAATCGAATTAGCGTTGGTATGCGTCCATTGTACAGTATGGTGACAAATCGTATATAAAGAACATTTGTAAAATTAAGATGGGTACATGAACGCGATTTAAACTCTTTGTTACTGTAAAGTAAAATAAACTTTGTAGGAGGTAGTGTTATTATCATAATCAATTTATTACCGTTCGATATTTTTTCTTCAGTTCGGTTTTATCGGCTGAAGGATCAGCTTGCAATACCTGAAAATGTGTAAAATAAAGATAAGATTTCAACTTGATGGAATACGTTATCAAAGACGATATAGATTGCATATTGTAGTGCAATAGTAAGACACTACATCGGTGTCCAAAAAGTTCAAGCCGCAATTTTGTACACTGTATTTTGAAGTTGAGTAGTTGAAGCGGATTTAAAAATGATAACGTGCTGGCTTATAGACAGTATTATTGTCTTTATCAAATGCTGTATTCCAACATATTATCATAATACAGTAGTGGCAAAGGACGTAGAAATGATAGTACGCAGCACTAACTAGTTGAAAGCAGTGTGTTTGTCGCTAGCTATCTGGTGAATTAGACCATATCATGACGCATAATCAACGTTAATTATAATCCGAGTTAGCAGTGTATCATGTACATGTATATCAAGACTTTAGCTAAGCTTCCGATAATAATCAAATCATTAAAACTTTGAAAGTAAGATAACCCTACAGTATCTTGCACAATATTGTTTGAGGTAAGCTGAATTTTGTGAATAAGGTTTTAATGGTAGTATTGTACGCTTGAACATGATTAGCAATAACTCACTACAAAGGTGAAGGACAGTAAATTTTTTATATTATAAGATTAAGTACATATACATCCTATTTGCCGATGAACTAATGATTTGTATTGTTGATGAGTCAGTTGAAAGGAGAAGACTGCATGTAAGAGCCCTGGTAAGAATGTAAAGTACATGTCGACATGATCAAATGTAAGGATTTCCAAAATAGCGAGTGATTTTTTTGGATATGTTGTACACGTACATATATTGTATAGTCAAGGTAATGATCTAGGTATTTTACAGTTACAGTACAATACAATGATGAAAAATGATGATACGGCTAAGTTACAAACCTCGAAAGGGTTTAGATTAAGATAACTGGATCCAGGTTTAGTGAGGCGTTGAATTTGTTGCTCACTTGTTAGTACGGAATCGCGTTTTTCAATAGCTTTGACCTAAAATGGAATGGTAATGACAGAATTGGGTAGATTGAGCTTTGAGCCCTTTTCACCAGGCAACGAAAATACGAGTATGCCCATCGATGATTATGCAATCGTTTGGGAGAGATATTACCTCTGTCAGGAAATTCTTGAAACTATCATCTGGTGGATTTTGATTCGTTCCGCCACTTGCCATATTGAATGCTTGCAGTTGCTATCAACAGCAATTTTACACCTTCCAACGATTGGATCATTGATGGACAATTTCACCTTGATCCATTGGATTGGCGGGTACAGTGAAAAGCGCACCAAGATTGTGTGCGAACAGTTCAGTCCACTGTATACTGTAGCTGTCCTCGTACCGTACACTGTACTGTGTACGGTACGTACAGTACAGTACTGTGGCGGCTACAGTACGGTACGACGGATGGAAAACTGGGGTGACATTTTCAATTGAAAAGACTGTACAGTGTACAGTACTGTATTGTACAGTATACTGTACACTATACACTGTACTATATTGTCATTCAATGTACTGTACAGTACACTGTACTGTACAATAGTCAATACGCTACTTTACAGTACCGAGTACTGTGAACTGTACAGGGTACTGTAAGTATTATACTGTAAAGTCGCTCAGTTATACTGTATTTGTAAGGCACTGAAATATACTGTACATACTCTCGTTGTGCAACAAACCTCAAATTAAGAACTGTATCTCTAAAAAAGGACTACTCTACAGTACTGCATGTCTGCATACAGTAATCAGGATTAATCATGAAAACAAAGAAAACCTCTAGGGATATTTTCTTTCTTTTACCTCGATGGGAAAAACCCAGTTCACCTTTCAATTTTTAACTGAGGCACTAACTGAGATACAGTACTGAAAGCAACAGAGATTGTTTTCCTTCACTCAGGCACTAACTGAAATACCGTACTGAAAGCAACAGAGATTGTTGTTTTGGTTCGCTGAGGCGCTTACTGAAATACAGTACGGAAAGCAACAGAGATTGCTTTCCTTCGCTTGGGCACTTACTGAAATACAGTACTGAAAGCAACAGAGATTGTTGTTTTGGTTCGCTGAGGCACTTACTGAATACACTACTGAAAGTAACAGAGACTGTTGTTTTGGTTCGCTGAGGCACTTACTGAGGTACAGTACTGAAAGCAACAGAGATTGTTGTTTTGGTTCACTGAGGCACTTACTGAGATACAGTACTGAAAGCAACTGAGATTGTCGTTTTGGTTCACTAAGGCACTAACTGAAATACAGTACTGAAAGCAACAGAGATTGTGCTTTTCGCTCACTAAGGCACTAATTGAAATACAGTACTGAAAGCAACTGAGATTGTGCTTTTCGCTCACTAAGGCACTAATTGAAATACAGTACTGAAAGTAACAGAGATAGTTTTCGTTCGCTTGAAAAATATTGAACATTGTACAGTACACTAGTTGTAGTGGCAATTTGACACACAGTATTAAGTGCTACAGTACCATGAAATAATACCATCAAAACGCCCGCAAGCAGCAGTTGAAATGACAACAAAAAGCTTCTCCAATGAATGGACTGCTGTTGCCTTCACTATATAGTCGGTACAGTAGCGCATTAACCATCATGAATTGCTAGATTATATAGTCATCATCACGCTATTCATGATGGGATTATGACTATTACAAGTTAAGACTATGTCAAATGAAGATGATGCATCACCACTTTAGGGCATTGGAGGGCAAATTGAAGTATTTCAACTCTTCAATACGGTCCCAAACTAGACAGGCATGCTGGCAGGGATTACTAAAAGAATCCTGCTAATACGATACCGTCATAAAGTCCAAACAATATGATTGTAATGAAGTAGATGTCTTAGCATGTCGACTGCAGCTATGCTGTCCATTTTACTATATAGTAGGCCTACGAAAAGGAACCCCCATTGAAAGGGACTTATTGTCAAATTGTCGTGGTTATCATCAAGCTAGTTGCAATAACTTTGAAATTGACTATACAAGCGGTAAATGAAATTAACTCTAAATTACGGTATACTTAATTATTGTAAAATTTAATAATAATAATAGCAATAATAGATAGTCATATTAAAAATGAGATATCGGTCATAATAAATCATATTTCCAAACCAGTCTAATGATAATTATCATCAGGGATTGCTCAATTCGTTCCTTCATGCACGATCGGCACACTTACAAAATTATTGTTCATATCCATAGTCCGTCTACTCACACTCAATCTTGTACAAAGAATTGACTCTGCACTATCGTTTTAAAACAAGATAGTGAGAAATGCTGATTGAATAGGACAGGCTGTGACAACTATTCAACGGTGTTGTCTTGTTGTTTGCTATTTAATTTGCATAATATATCAAAAATCCACCACATGCGTATCTTGATTCAATATTGATCTTTTGTTTATTCGCATTAATTAATGATAAATACAAGGTATTATTAATATTATCCTCTTGTTGAACAGTTATAGACTATTGGTAATCTTACTTTACCAAACGTTGACAAAAAATAGATAATTTTGCAATTGCTATGATAATAAATGGAAGATTGATAAAGGGAATTCTGTTGGGTTACCACGCAGTCTCGCTATAGGGTGCGCACCATTCATTATTATTCTGATTATTATTTTTTGTTATTTTGATTTCCTTTATATTATATCATGAGAAAATTAGTAATCAAGCATTGGATCGATGCATACCCAGTATTTGACATTTGCTAAAACAACAAAGTAGTATCATATTATTATCAAAGAGTACGACAATGAGCTGCATCAACAGTACTACATCTATTGCACTCAAACACCTCTAAGGAACGAGTTAAAATTTCTCTTAGATACTTCTGGTCTAGAGAATACCATTCTATAGTATATACTATAAATTAATTTCCATCTCGGTGGAATTGGTCTAAATATTTTTTTCTGCTTTTCCAACATTTTTTCCGTACTTTATTCATTTTTTTTTCGGTGTCCTCTGCTTGTTTCATGCAAGGCAAATCTACTGTAGCTGTAACTTGGGTAAGTATCGAATAAATCATATTAATGTAATAGAATAGAATGCCTGCCATTTTGTGTACTTTTACCATTATGCGCACACTGTATCTTGCTAAGATATACTGTAGGATGTATTTTTTTTCTTGAAATTAAATTAAGTGCAGTGCAATACAAACATTGAACACAATTTTCTATCAATTTTTCATCATTAATACTTATTGTCTACTCGATACTTGTATCTTATTATTGCACTACTTTAGAGCTGAAATATTGATTAACTGCGATAATAAATTTTGAAGTTAGTATTATCTTCATTAATATTTCCTCTTTTCAATTTACCCTTACCATAATTTACACTCGTACTTTGTAATTGATCGCAGTTTTATGTTTTATCTCTATCGTTCGTTTCCTTTTTCTCTTTTTAGTTTACAAAATATCATTTTATGATTGTTGGTTATCGAGTATCTTATCTCTATTTTTGTCCATCTTAAATATTTTGAACAACAGTCTCATTTTGCAAACAAAGATCATTCCTATATCAATCAAGATACATGGCGGGTGGTGGTAATAATCGTCAACGCTTTTCAACAACGACCTCAATTGCTGAATATTTGAAACAGTTACTAAGGGATAAACACAATGTCTCTACTTGTGCTCCAAACACATTCCTTCACTGCGAACGCCTTCTCAATGAGGGTAAGTTTACTAAATTAAAAGTATTAATCAAAATTTCACTGCATCTTCTATCCTTGTACAGTAATCCGCTAAATTCTATTGTTACAAATCTACCCGCCATCAATCGTTGGAGATAATTGATAACAGAATTATTGCGACCTTTGCTAGTAAAAGTTAATTTTTCCCATGATTAAAAGCTAAATGAATATTTCAAATTAAGTTACCAACATCTTAGCACTTTCTTTCATCGCTATAATTATCGTTATTATCAATAGAATAAGATAATGAATAGAATATTTGTATATAATTATTGGATGTTTTGTTTCAACTTAGTCCAAAATTCTGTCAACTATTAACACCATTTTTATCCATCGTAATCTCTTCATGAACAGTAAAATATTACTTGAAGCCATCATAATAATATTGGCTATAGATCTAAGTGCATTATCTAACTTGTATGCTATCAGACTGATTTATCCTTATTATTATTTGTTGTCCATCATTTTTTTTTGGACAAGTGGGTAAGTGATTAATGAAATTTAGCAATTGCTTTGTTTCTAGATTCATTAACAATGTTAAGATAAGTTGATTAACCCGACTATCAGTCTCCATGAACAAATATCAGTTCGTATTTAAGTCATGACATGCCCGATAGAATATAGAATACCTATCTCTTTCCTATTGCTCTTTTTAAATAACGATCGCGTATTCTAAAATAAATCCGAATCCCCCTCCCTCTCAGAAAACGATGAGATCAAATTAAAATGAGTTGCATATTAAACTTGACAATTATATTTCTGTCAAGTACGTAATGGTCAAAAATTATGATAATTATAAGTAGCCGTACAGAAAATCGATCAAGTCTAGACGATACTCAAGTAGAAGCCATTTCATCCTTAAAGGCTATTATAGAATTTACAACCGAAGCAACATAACTATTATTGTCATACGTAATTCGTTGATGAAAAGTAATGTACCGTAGTATCGCTTTGCCATTTGCCATATACAGTATTTAGCATTGAGTACTCGGTATAAAAACAGCTTAAAATAGTGCTCGCATCGTTCATTCCATCTCAGGGATGAAGCTAGGGTAGTAGCATTTTAGTCATATTTATCTGCCGCTTATTTAGTATTATTACTTGCTACAAAGGATATTAGAAAAGGTATTATTATATATTATCGAAAGGATTCGCTAGAGTAAATTCTTTAATTACCTTGTGTTGAGTACTCGTACCAAAAAATAATTTTATGCAAAAAATGTAAGAAAAAGAGATAATAGTTGCATACACTTGGGCATAATATGTATTCATACAAATTTATTGTACGTTAATCCTACACAATGTTAGTACTATAATTTAAAGAATATTAAATCAATTTCGTCTCACCGTTATTACCGCAATCTGGTTGCAAATGACCCAACTAAAGAGAATAATAAAGTTACAGTTTCCTAAAGTAAAGTAATTGGCATTTTATCAATTGCTTGTCTGGTTACTAATCAATAGCGATAGTTAGTACTGTATTCCCATAAATTGAATTATAAACCACATTGTATAAACCAGCTTATGATTCCAATAAATCAGTTTAGCATCAGTCGATGCATAACAACAAGTCGCTCATTTACCTTCAATTTATTACACTAGTCTTCGATTATCTATTTCCATGTTTTGCATAGGATGCAACAGCTAAGGCTACCACGATACAACGTCGTTGATGTTGTATGACATGCGTTAATAATTTCCAATTTCCATCATTTATCATTATTTTATTTCAATGGTTATTTTAAGCGCAATAGTTACACTAGTTCCTTTGTAGATATAATAGCGTAGGTGATGATGTTGAATGATTGTACTGATTTTGGGCTATAAATCTACCAGTAAGCAAACCTATCCTGATCAATATAAAGGAGGTTTTTAATTCTATATAATCTTAAATTTTGTGTTACTAAATTAGAAAGTCAACAATACTTATATACTTAGAATCGAATCGACAAAGTCTAAATAACTTTGTAAATCTCAATTTTTCATTAATTTAAAATACTTGAACAGTCAGAAATGCAGTTGCTAATGAAGGCGCTATTCAATAAATGGAATAATAGCAAGATTTTTAACGTAAATTATTATATTTGATCGTATGAGTGTGCAAAATTTTAAATTAGTAGATATTGATCAAGCCTATACAAAAATCCTATAAAAAATTGATCGTTACTGTATTAATAAATTATATTATCTTTCTAACTACTGTAATTACTAGAGTTACATAATGCAAAGCTTAAAGTTTGATTCTGTAACATAACAACATGCTACAAGTTAGTGTACGATCGATTTCATTATAATCATGTTATCACATCAAGATCGATAATTTGTCGCTATATTAATCTATGGAGTGACATCTCACTAATGAATAAGCCATTAATTAGAAATAAAATACAAACTGCAAGTTGAAATAATAACTTTTCTTGCTTACTTTACTTTACGATGTTTAGTAATGATGGCGCATTGTTGCTAGTTGTATCATTCTACCTTTGCATATAAGTATGCGTAGGGAGTATTGATATTGGCTATCCTTATCATAATGGACAATAAACAGACTGATGCAATTTTTCTTTCAATTATTGTAATAATTAACATGTTATGATTAATTTTTAATTAAAATTCATAGATTGCTCAAACATATTCACAAACATTAATTTTATTAATTTGCCGTGAAATAACTGTATCGTTAGCACCATAGCTTAGATCGATACTTTAAGCTATAAATTAAAATATGATATACATATTTTAATTCTAAATTGGCAATCAGATTACAGATCATTCTGTGGTCATGTAGTAGCGGAAATGATATCAATAGTTCCGAATTTTATAGCTGTATATCCGTACTTCCTTGCGAGATCGAACCTTTAATTTTTATGGTAATTTGGTTTGATGTTGTAGAAATTGAAAGAGTTAGAATGGAAATGATCGGACTTAAAGCAGAAAGCCCAAATAGTTCATTTCTTGCTTCATTACCTGAACCTGAAGGCGACAAAGTTCAAATTATCGAGAAAGTCTTTATACCGGTTAATCGTTTTCCTAATGTGAGTAGCGATTTACTCTGTAGGCTAACATTACTACGTCAAATTTAAGATCAGTTTACTAGGCTTATGTTACAAATATGTAACATTATTTTTAATTCAAGCCGAATCAGTAATACCTTTCATCTGTTGATCCATTTATAATCGAGATGAAAACTAAATTTGATGTGTACTGAAGTCATGATATAGATTCTGGTTAAAAGCATGCGAAATTATAGCGCAAGAATCGAGTTGTCTTCTAGTTCAGTATTTCTAATTATAATTCTAAAACTTGTATTTAGTATAATTTTGTAGGTCGACTTTTAGGCCCAAGGGGAATGACAATGAGACAGTTAGAACTTAATATAGGTTGCAAGGTGAAAATTCGAGGAAAAGGATCTCTCAGAGATAGAAAAAGAGTAAGTACTAAGATAATCTAATGCTATATATAATCACTGAAAGGTAAAGAAAAGGACGTAATAGAAAAATTGTTAAACGCTAGAACTGATACGGCAAATACCTGAATCATTAAAACGTGTTTAATAAATTCAATGGAATTTGCAAATGTGCAAGGATTTTACATCTATATAAATGTGTGGATAGAAACGTAACTTTTTTTAAAGTTAACCAATCTGTGATGATTATTTTACAATGAACAAGTCATTGTGAGATATTACTGCTCCTATACTTAGTAGAACAGCGAATAAATTTTATTGTAGGCCTAATTTTGTCGTTGGGTCTATATGTGATACGTATTTGGTTTACCTAGCAATGTTGACATAACTTTAGATCATGTAGTAACTCATTAAACAAGCAAGCAGAGCACCTACAGTACCAAAATTATACTGCGGTAGATGTCCTTATATAGTATCTCATTCAATGACGAGAACTGCAGTCAGCAAATTCTTAACATATTTCACACATTGTCATTAGGAAGAACAACTAAGGGGCAAACAAAATTGGGAGCATTTACAAGAGGAATTGCATGTTGTTATCGAAGTGGAAGATACACCAACCAGGGCTCAAATCAAGTTAGAAAAAGCTAAGGATGAAATTAACAAACTATTAATTCCCGTGGTTAGTAATTTATCATCTTCATAATCATTTCATAACTTCTACACAACTAATAAATTATGAGAATAAATTATGGACTTATGCTCTTATCAAAATTTAACGGATGACTTGAAATATAAAGTCTGAAGAAGATGACGAACTGAAACGAAAACAATTGGAAGATTTAAGGCTCTTGAATGGGGTAGAAGGTATGAGCTTTCTTCAACGAGATATGATAGTACAGTTTGGCAGTATAGCTGGTAATACAGCAATTTACTCAAAATGTTTATTTATTATATTAATTTTCAACAGCTGCACAAAATATGGATCCTACCAACAATTACAATAATGTTTACGCTACCGTTATTCCTAGTCCAGTTGATACTGGATTAATGCAGTATACTACAACTGGATCACTAGTTAGTGCATTTCAACCGTCATTAACTCAGTTGCAAAGTGGAATTATTGCATCACGAACACCGACTACTTTAGTTCGACCTATGAGAATTCATGGTTAGCCTAATATACTGTACTAATATGCTTTAATAGTGTAAAAAATTTTATTGATGTTTATTTGTTAAAAGTGCTCTAAACCCTTGTACTAGGAGTAGTAACTGGAGACTACCTTAAACAGTATCGTGGACATCCATACAGACGATCTTAATACGGTAAGATTCGGAAAACAATTAAACATGATGATAAACATCGCTGCTACACGTTAAACATTAAATCATGAGAAATAATTTATAACCGGCCAGCTTTTAAAATTTTTAATACTCCTCGGGTTCATAAGCCTAAAGCTTAACTAATGCGTGATATAATAACCTTGTTATTTATATTAAGTAAAGGTACCAATAACATATATACTACAATGACCACCTTAAGCCAAACTGTGGCTTTCTAGGGCTAATGAATAACACAAAATAATATAAGAGTATTTTATGAAAATCTTTTGAAACTTTTTCTGTTTAGAAGTGTATGATAAAATACTGATAAAGCCTATCAATAAATAAGAGGCCTCATTTATAACTGCAATATTTATTTACTTATGTAGACTAAATAGCACTGATCTATTTCAATATTTTTTGACTAGATGATGTATAAAATCATAACTAACCTGAGCTCCTAACTCTACGATGGTGCAAGCCTAACAATACCATGCATACAGCAAAACCAATAATAATTTAAGATGAACAAAATTTTCCTTAAGGAGCCATTTACGAGAGATTCTGACTATTTATCACCATAATTGATTCCCAACATACGTACTATTTATCGCTACCAATGCTGCTAATACGGAATCTCATAAACAATTTGATCCACGTTCACAATAGCCGATTCATTGATTTAAGCAGATCACGTTACTAAATTAATCATGATCCGATTTAACAGGGCACTTACTAAGTAGCTCAGGCCTGCTTGTATAGACTTAACATTTAATCAGTTTAAAATGATTTTGCTAATTTTGCAGTATAGACATACATGCAAAGCTGATTTGTGATTTTTCGTCTTATCTATAATAAAATGTACATGATTGTTACAACGTCTCTTACAACTCTTAAGATTTGTAATAGCAAATACTGCACTTGGACATCAGCTAGCTTATAGTTGAGTATACAGTACGTATACATGTAAGAAATCATATCACATTTGACTAAGATGGCGTGACATTGATTGCCATAAAAGTAATAGAGTACGAAATTAGAAAGAAAATGTAATTTATTGTCGCAGATTGCTTACAGTACCTATAATTTTTTTAAGTGTTGCTACAATAATAGTCAATAAAGTAGGCCTCAGATGGAGTATTACTTAAAATGCTGCTGATAATTATTGAAGCCTTTCGATATACTGTACGAGTGTAAGTGTACGTTTGGCATGTAATTTAACAAAATATTATTTATTACAAATTAACTGATTGAGCTTCCCGCGAGACTTTGCACTCTAACCGGTCCCTTTTCAGTCTTGAAAACGTGGTTACTGTCTTTATAGACAGCAGTCAGGTCATCAGAAATTTTTAAATCGGCCTATTGGAAGATGATACAGCATATATTGTTAATACATAATCTAAAAATGCTGACTTTGTAACGAATTTAAATTATTTGTATTAGCTTCAAAACTACAATAAACAAACCAGGATAGTTTCTAGTAATTTCTTTTTAGGATTGATTTCTTTATCCGGTTCTATCAGGATAAAATCCATTATTAATACCAATAACCCTATTTTAGAAAGGTGTTACTCAATCTTAACAAGGCTGTCAAACCTCCACACGTGTCATGCTCAAACCCAGAGGTAAATATCTTTTCTCCAGGTTCACAGCTGGAAGGAGGATCAAGTGGCTCAATTGTTTTCGGATCTCCACTATAAGAACGAAATAACGGATAAATTTACAACTTATATTAGTATTCGGTAAGCCTTCTCATTACTGGTAAAAATTTAAGTAAAATAAATTGTAGGTTATTTTGATGTAAAACGTTCTAAAAGTAGTAGTGTTCCTTACAGAGCATCTATTTCTTACAGAGTAATAGATGCTGCTTTGGAAGCCAGCAATTGGTAATACTTACCTAGATGCAGCAAGCATCATTCCTTCCGAAACTACTCCTATAATATCAGATAGAAAAAACGATTACATGATTAATACTGGAGGCCACTAAACAATCGGTCACCAAATTGCAATTTCGAAAAATATCTACCGCGAATATTTTGAGGCTTTAGATTACATAATAAAGCTACTTTTCTCTTCTCCAGTTTTTCTACTGGGACATAATTAACCAGGCCACTGACGATAGTACGGTTTTCTACAACAAAAATCATGGAATAAAGATAGTTGTCCATGATTGATAAGGTATAAATTAATATGAAGACATTGAATTCATCAAAGATGGAAAGCTTCATACATGATTTACCTCCTGAACCAATATCCACTTCTTGAACATATAAGGAATCTGCATTAGGATGCTAAAGAAAGCCGCGAAAGTCAAGAGATACATACATTGATCGCTTTTGTTAGTGTTAAATTAAATTTTAGATAAACGCCTATAGCAATTGACAGACCTTTTTAACTGATACAATCTGGCCAACTCTGACATCCAGTCTTGATGGATCAGCAGCACGATTTGCTTTTTGTGAATCACTTTTCATTTTATCCACTGTAATAATGCATGAAGATATTTTTGTAACTAAATTATATCAGCGGAAGCTAGTTACATCTAGAATTCTACGAATATTGCGTACATTTAACAGTCTCCGGGTAGGCTAGGTGTTTTAATTTAGTAAATTCAGGATTGTCGAGTTCTTGTCGAATAGGATCAAGGAGCTAAGTATGCAATATATCGTTTACTTAAGGAAGGCTACATCATCAATTTACTCCAACAATCTTGCTTTCTTATTTAGTCAATTCCATTAAGTGCTACGCAGTGAATGAAGCTGAATGTACTATTTATATTTTATACCTGATTTAATGCATCCGCTACTGCCTGTTTAAGATCTGCCGGGTAAAGTTCCTATAACGGCCATATAAAAAAGTGTGCATTATAATACTATAAAACATAGTAATTATACGTTATTTTGTCAGCAGTAGCTTAAATAGTCAATTTTAAATTCATTTTTTGCTTACATTCTTAGCAAATGCGGCTTCCAGGTCCTCATAATTTGTATAAACTACGCGCCCACCATATTTTTTGTCCCGATTAACAACAAATTCTGCATAATGAAATGGCAGGGAATTAATAGTTTATAGCTTTTCCAAAAAAATTTTCTTTAATTTTTATCTAAATACATATGCTGTACGTGCAAGAAATGTATCTCATTCTATTTGGAACTTTACCTTCAGTTTTCGATAACGGCAGCAACACATATTTAACAAAGGATAATACCCCATTCTCCTTAATATTGCCAGGTTCGCAGAAGGCCTATACAAAACCAATACATGAAGTTAAATCCTCTATATACCAAATATCATATCAAGTTTAAGCTAAAACTAAAAAAAATTGCTTTACTTTACGAAGTTTCTTCTCAACAACTTCTTTAGAATCAATTAAATCAATCTTAGAGTCCTAAAATAAGAGTGTATGTAGAATGCTTAGTATCGAAATAAACTTATCACCGTTTAGACTATAAATTTTTTAAATAATTTTTAAGGGTTGCTAAACCTCTACAGATGAACTCATTTTTCCACCAGTAAGTCCTGGAACTATAGTCAAAGTAAAAATACGAATGCAAGTAAAATAACAGCAAAATGTGCAAATTTGGTACGCTACAATCAATACTCACTTCCGTGACAACTGATGCCAATCGATAGACATCCAAGGTATATTCCCTGATATTGAAAATGAAACGTGCATAAGCTGAGTCAAACATTTAAAATTTTAAGCATTAAAATTAAGTAACTAAGCTTAACTTTGTAATTTACCTAGACAATTGGTAATCAGTCCCCCTAACAAACGTTAGTTTTTCTATTGAAACTCCAATAGATTGTAGCATAGCCTATAAGCATAATTGTTTTCGCCCATTATGTCACAATATCATTATAAACATTTTACCATTAAATTCTCTACAATGAAATTTCAGATATGATCGTACTTTAATAACGAACGAGTAGTATTTCACACGTTGCGCAAGTAACTCCCACGGCGCTTTCATATTATCCAGGTAGCCATGTAAATCAGCAAATAATATGATGACCTAAGTAGTAGTAATAATCACAAAGTTCACTGGTTGTGTCTATCATTGAGCATAGTTGTTAAGATCTCATATTTTTACTACTGTAAGACCGTGCAGTATCATTAACTTTTATCTAATAATTATGAACAAGTAATCATAACTGATCCCAGATGGAACGAGAACTACTTCTAGCCTTTTGTATGATTCTTACTTAATACGGTATAAGGTACTTCCAATTAAATTAATATATGAATATTAGAACAATTTGATACCGATTCGATTATTACGCATGATCTAACATTCCGTTTCTGTACAAGTTAATGGATAAGATATTTGAATAAAGGCTACTAAGAGTTGGCAAAGAAACTGCCAAGAGGCTAGTTTGACATGGTTAATAAACTGCTAGTAACTAACGAAATTTTAACAAAGTATAGTCTAGCCCAGACTATTTTAAGTTCATTCGTGTATCATAAATTAACTAGGATAACCCAAAAGTTCTCATGTGCAGTACTAACATAAATAAAGGAAGAGCACTTCCTTTTGTAATTCATCGTTGTATAGATAGATATTCTACGGTATATTATCTTACGTGGCATCCTGCCTTTAAGAAATCAGCAATTTTACTAATAGGAACAAAGTAGCCCACATGGGGACGGCCTGTGGTCGCAGTTCCCCAATACAGTGAGATATCCTTTTCCTTCAGAGTTTTCAAGAGTCTTTCTTCACCAATCACCTCCTAACAGATAAAATATGATATTACATGGTAATATCTGCATCTACATTGTCATTGATACCCCAATAAATTAATTGGATACTATAGGTTATAAAATTTAGTTGCAATTAGCTCCTAGAAAAATCTTAACATATAGTAACTTTGAAATATTTTTGAATCGTGCGTCACTAAAACAATGATAGAATTCATTGATTAATTTAATTACAAAATTGTACAAATATACTGTTTGCCATGCAACACAAACTTGTTGCGCTACGAATTACAAGTATTTCAGTCATCAACAATGGCAAGGACACTCAACATTAGTGCATCTGAATCGGATCAATATAGATATTTTATGTGATGTAATAGCATTCATTATAATTACAGCTACAACATTCTACATATAGCTGCATTATCGACATTGGAAGCAACACATATCTATAATATCAAGTAACAATATACAGTACGTCCTGTTTTATAATTATCAACAAATTGATCTCAACTGTACGTTGTAAGACAGGTATATTTTCAATACTTCATTACAACCCTTGCTGTTAACTGAAATTACTGCACATTTTGAATTCTTTATTCGTTGTAATAAAATTCTAGAGTGAATGTAATAACACTACACATACTGGCTAGCTCACTGTGTTGCAAGCGGAATATCAGGACAATCCATCGTATTTTTGATACGTATTGCATGATCAAGTACGTAAAAATGGAATGCAGAGAAAGGATGAAAAATGAAAAATTCCTATAGCAAAGTAATGACCAATCGAATTTTATTCTATTTCTTACACTGTTGTACTATATAGAATATAATCTATTTATGAAATCAACCACGAAGTAAATTTAAATTTATGTGGTCAGTCTCATATCCTCGGACACCATGATGCTCAAGTTGTAATCCTTGCTGATGATGCACCAACTTGAACTCCTTACAAATCATACATACCACAGTAGTACACCATAGCATGACTGCGTGTTACATCATCGTTTAACTTATCCAATATTGATTATACCTGTAAGTTACGCGTAATCAATTGAAATTTTCCTTCAGCGGACAAAGTAGAGCCCGATGCCATTTTCCTAGTGTTTAGTATGACTTCAATGCTGTCCTGGCGGAATTATTAATAAAATAAGCGAAATGCAACTGGAGTTTCAAAGGGCCAACTTGGATTTGCTTTCAAGTTTAAAGGGAAGTGTGCGTTTTGATTGTCGTCTTATGCCTAAAACGGTATCCAGTTTTGATGCACAGTAACAAGCTGTGCATAAAAAGTGTCCCACACACCCAGGCGACAGTAGCGTAAAATTCAGACCATACAGGACTAGAGACGGTGTGTTAGTGTCATGGGTGTACAGTATACAGTATACACTGGGTGTGCACTGTGCGGTAAAAGCTGGGAGTTGACACTCTCGACTGGAGTACAGTACTGTACTGTAGCTACATGGACTAAAGTACTGTACTGGATGCCCTATGGCATCTACTGTACAAAGTACTGTAACTGATGGCTAATATACTGTATACAGTGCTGTAAGGACCTTTTCTAAAATGATGTCACCCCGTTAGGGTAAGATAGATATTGTACTGGCTGACTATACAACCTTAATTAATTAAAACAAAATAAAGAGAAACGAAGTAAAAAATAACTTTTTCAGCTTATAAACAAACACGGGTTGTTGAAGGAGTTCGATAAAGCATATTAGTATTGGGTAATCTATGGATACGTTCCCTTATTAATGAAAGTACAGTACTACCAATCAACATTCCTTCTTATCCTTTCAACTTTAATTCATTCTAAAATGATAGATAGCTTAGTCTAAACGAGTTATGAAATCTTTAAACTGAGCTACTGTAGATAAAAGTCATTTCACAGTCGGTAATACGTAAAAATACCTCAAATATATATTGTTGTATTATATAGAGACTGTACTACTATCCTATCACAGATTGCATAATTTATACTGAAATTTGCAATAGCATATTGGTAAATATGAAATTATACAGTGGTAATTTTCTCTTAAAACAATCAGCGTCTTCTCAAGAGAATGGCATCGGTTGCACTCACTCAAGTAGATAGGTGATCGAAGACAATCCAGTCCAGTACAGTACTGTATTTGCCAATCAACGTCAATTTGCAGTATACGAGCGTACAGTAGAGTAACACTTAGTACTACTGCATATTTACTGATAATTGCGACCAGCATTCTGCAAAATTATTTAACGCGTAATTTTATCTATCTAACAGTTTTGTAGCACAGTACAGTAATTTCAACTGAATAATTACAACATTTGTACAGGATATGAAAATATGCGATCAAATATTTGATGCTTTCTGTAATTATAATTACACAATATTATTACACTTAAGTTATAATGCTATCACATATTGCACTTTTGCTTTCTACAGATTACTGTACATATCATAATAAAGCATATACTAATCAATTTTAGCCAGGCATGACTATTACAAGTCATTCCCATGTACTGTAAATACCAATCAGTAATATTAGTATACTAGTATATGGTACTATCGATGATAGTGACGGATTTTTACTAGTTTCCTCTTAAAATTAGAAGTTCCTGGTATACTTCTGTAGCGTATAGAACGGTTTTAGAGCACCACTTACGATGAGAATTTGATCCGCACACACATCTCGTCTGTTCATTGAGCGTTGCAATTTCTGGACTAAAGCAGCAACTGTAAACTTATTTAATATGCACACCCAATGAAAAGATCAGGATTACATAAGAAATAAGCTTGACATAAATCCCTGTTTGCAGTAATACACGGCACAAGTAGAGACGCAGTAAAATATTTAGTTATAAGGGAAATGCAGTGTACAAACGTACCGGCGGTATGTGTCCGTATAGTATAATACCACAAGTGGAAAATCTCTTCTGCATTGTATACATAGTAATTTTATCAAATGTTACAGATGTATTACTTTTCAAAAATTTTATTGTTCGACGTTCCTAATAGTCATTGAACACATTGCTTTATCAAAGTTTACTTAACAGCAAAAATAGCTTTTGTAACACTAATCCAACATGAAGGTAATTGTACATCAAACAGCAGCATTTTATACGAATTAGGATCATAATCAATTCGTATTTTCAGTTTATAGCGCAAGGCATGCATTAAATAATAAAAATACAATAATGTCGAAACCAGGATCTAAACAGTACCTCCATTAGGTCTCAGACGTTGAAAGAGATTTAGATTGACATAGGTCAAATCAAATAGAGAGATCAAATTACTTAAATGCATCCATCTCAATCGAAGCAAAACGTTGATTACAGTTTCTTCTTATTATTCTTCACACCATATAAACTACTTTTCTCCGACATTGTAAAATTACGCGCTATCAATCCACCTATAATAACTATAAATTAAAAATGCAATGTTATCAATCCTTTCTCTAAAATAGTTGAAACAACATAGCGCAAATACTAACATTCAAATGATAAAACAATAAGAAACTCAATCGTTACACAATACTAAGATCAAAGATACTTACTCAATAAGGAAAATACACCAGACGAGACTAATGCAACTCTAGATCCACTAATAATGGCAGGAATTAAATAAAATACTAACGAAACTAAAACAATTGTCCACCAAATTGTAGTTAATAGGAAAGTAGTACGGTTACGATGGGCGTAACACCTAGGCCAACCAACAGTGCCTTTTTGCAAATATTCATCCATCAATTGATCCTACAAGCATCATTCTTAATTAGATACAACGATTATATGTATATTATGTTAAATCATTCAGGTATCATACCTTTGTCACGTATAATTCCCTTAAAAATTTTGTGCAAGCTTGTTCGTCATCTTCACCTCGTATCACAGAGATCGGAAGGCGCCTAAATTCAGGCAAAAAATAGTATTTAAGATCTTCATTACTTGAATTAACGAGGATCAAAACTAATATTTTTGTATCTGGACCAGTAGAAATGCTTTGATATCGTGTATCTAAGCGAGAATATAAAGGACGGTAGGTTCTTATACATAATTATAGTTACCTTACAAGAAGAACTATTTTACAAGGTTTGCAGAACAACAAGTGCATTAGGCTAGGCAACGTATCGGGAAATATGAAAGTGGTATCGTAGATTGCATCACCTGGTGGTTTGGCAGCCAAATCGTAAAGAAATTTTTATGAATAATTCAATATATCTAAAGAATGATATACAGTTTTATATAATGGAGTTATTGCTAACATTTTTCCTTTAGACAACTATATGCAAGTGTAAAGCCCTTAACACGAGGCTGCATGTGGTGTTTAAGAACTGGAAGGCCATTTTTTTTTGCAAATTCAACACTTTTTAGGTATTTTTCTTTCGTGTACCTTGTACCTTCTGCAAATATTGTTAACTTTAAAATAAAATTTACAATCAGACTAGCAACGTGGGAAAAGACGAGTAACACCAAGATGATTTATAAATGCGGTAAATACTTATAGTATTACCCATAAAGGAAAAGGCCCTTCTTTCAAACTTTTTAACTGCCGTTCCAGAGATATAGAATCTTTAGCCCAGTCCCTCTTAACAAAGAGATGTTCTAAGTTCCAGAAAGAGAAACCGAGTAGGGGGACGTACTTTATTGCTGATTTCAAATAGCATTTTGTAGCCTTCAATTCAAATATATTTCAAATATGTTTCAAATGTAAGTATTTACCGTAATAAATAAATAGATGCTGATTTTTCATGTACTTCTTTCGAGTTATTGAGTGAAAAATGCAACTTTTTTCATTGCGTTTTAAACATTATAACATGTGAGACATGAAGAAATAGTACTTTCGTATGATAAATGTGCACGTGATAAAGTAAGGTTATAGATTATAATATATTAATTATACTGTAAATCCGAATATTTACCGGCACCATATTAAACCTATCAGCGAACGTCAGGCCAATCAGCCAGTCAACATCGCTACGATGATTTGCGACAATCAGTGCATTTTCCTTTCCGAAATATTTATCATCATCATTCGGGCAATAAACTTCCCATTCTAAGCCACTCCAGAATTCAGGCAATGCCGTTAAATCTATACAAATAAGTTATCATTTTTATTATAGAGCACAACATATGCGTTTTGTAGGTTGTAAAGAGATGCAACTCTTTGATATCGTATGTGTATGTAGTCAATAGTTTATATAATCTGCAGTAAAAAATACTAGAACAGCACATAAGATAGACAACAGAAGGTACGATATTGTAGAGCTGTACATTCTTACATGATGCAGCACCATAACTCTTTCACTGCATGAATAGAGAAAATATAATTGATTCATCTGCAGTATAAAGTAATAGCATCACTGTATTAATGATTACAATACTACTGTACATAAGATACTGTACTTACTTGCAAGCCATAGGCGACCTATTGCCATAGATACGTGTCTATAATATACTTTAGATATTGGCCAAAGAACTAACGAAAGGATATGAAAAATGCATGCAAACGTTCCGCTAACAAAAAAGACGGTTGCATACAAGAACCAAGCCAATGGTGATTTCTTAAAAGCCGTAAGCGCCATTATTTCAATCCACTGAATCGGCACTGTGAAAAGCAATGAGTGTGCAAAATAAGTACATTTTATGTACGCCTGTAATAGAGATTTAATTGGTACTCGCCCCACTCTTGAATCATGATAACTCTCAGGACATACGAGTAACAGTAATGGAAAGCAGCTACATCAACAATCACGAACAAATCAAATGTCTATGTTTAACTATGCAAATCACAAACCAAAATTAATTGTAACTCCATTTAAGCACTGATCCTTAAATAGCTTATAGTATCGTAGAACGAGCATCTAAAGTTACTTCATTTCAAAATCAGCGAAATATCTGACTATCACAATTCAGTCACTCATGCAAAATGACATTATTCCTATAAACACAACTTAAGGGTATGCATACATAATTGCTGTAGATAGCACGATCAGCACGAAGTTAACAAAAGAAGACTCAAAGCCTAGCACATATGCTGTTTACTATCTGCCTTGATACATATACCCATACTGTACAGTTCTCAACATTATAACATGGTGCAATTTTAGTTGAAGAATCTGTTGTGCGCTGATTTTCGTTGTTTTATCTCACTCGTACTAATGAAGCTTACGCACAGTAGCGATGATTATCTTAACCTATCATACAGAGTACTTTTGCACCTGAGATGCAATTACCGCAGTTTAGCATGCAAATAAATAAATAAATACGTCAAATCATAGTTGAAATGAGGCGTTGTACTATACACGTATGAGTGAGTATGGTGCAGACGGCAGTGTTTACTATTTAATGTTAAGGTTTTTCTCGCGTTGTAAAAGGCAGTTGCCCGATTGGACGCATCCGCAGGTAAATACCAGGCTTCTGAATACAGTAAGTAGTAGTGTCCTGCATTTGACTAAATGTTGATTCCAACATTTGCGCAGTCACGCCTCATGCATACGTTAAATCAAATAAATTAAATTAAAAAAAAAAATTAAATTTATTTTGCGATAGATTATAGAATATACATGTTAGACACTAAAGAATTACCATAGAGGTTTTACGTCCATGAATCAGTCGACTCAGAAAAAGTTCAAAAATATATTAGTACTTTGCGCATAACACATGCATGTCAATATTGAATGGTGTACTATTAATGGCATAGTTTAGCTCATAATGAATTGATGCAAAGATATACTGCTCTAGATCCAGTATGCACTATTGCAGATTTCACTATTAGCACGTCGAGTAACCAATAATTCATATTATGCGACTCAGGCGAATTGCAATATTGTAACACTGTGAATAATGATCAAGCTAGCTTTCATATCGACGTTTGGGAAATAAAATTCGATGCATCCAATGTTTATTAAGGAATATAACACCATTGAGCAAATGCTTGCCAGCAAGTATACATCAACCGTTTCAAAGTGCTGTCGGTATTGCTTTAAACTAAACTACAGCACTGTATTTATTTACAGTTGAATGCTAAACAAATAAATGTTCAGTCTTCTACAGCAGAATCGATCATTCTGCAATCGCGGTCCGGTCGATATTGAGCTAATTTATTCTATAGCAAAAGATTCTGCTTGATTGACTCCCACCCTGCTACCTATAACGATGGATAGATCAGTTATTCGATAATGTGCGGTGCAATAGGAGTATAGTATTGCATTGCCTTTAGACACTTTGCCATATTGTTTTGAAGTACCTTACTGCTAGTGAAAAATTGTATGCGTAGGTGCAGTAAGTTAAAAATTGGTGAAAGCGTAGCAGCAGGGACTTTCTTAAACCATCAATATACAGTACAGTACAGTACTGTACTGTACAGGAGGATAAAGTGACCTCGATGCAAGTGTAGGTGTCGTGTAGTGTGATCAATGCTATTGCACTCGACATACTGTAATACAGTGCGACCACTGTCGTTAGCCTTTGTACTACTGTATATTGGCATAGGAGGGTATATCTACAGTAGTAGTCCATAAAGGGACTAGCCAGATCCCCCAAAATAGTAAATTGCAGCGGATGCTATCAATATTATCTGCACATGTGTTCATGTTCCTATTGCATTGATGTAGGCTATAAAAATCACTTTCTCAACGATGCCAATGCTTGTATATACAGATGACATCAATAACAAGAAGAAAGGATCTTAACTCACCTCAAGTTGTGGATGTTACAGTAATCTTCAAACGCTCATCCAAACATGCAGACTTGCAAAATGTTAATCGCAATACTCGTGCATTCGCTTCCAGACAGTTGCAAGTGTTGAGCTTTTAAATCATCCGACCTCAGTTGATATACGATAGTTGTTGATATATACGTGACAGATACAGTACTGTGATGCACCGTGTTGTGACTTGTGACCCCTCGTGACCTCTGAATCTGATTCACGCAGCAGAGTTCATGTACACTGATACGAGACTCTGAACCACATAGAGTACGTTGCTACAATGCACAGTACAATGTGGTAATCTGTACTGTGCACTGTACACTGTACAGTTCTTTTATCAGTCCGCGCAGATGTCGACCAAAAGCTGCTGACGTGTGATTGATTGCTAGGCGAAGTACTGTACTGTACAGTACATTGTACAGTACATAGTCATTAACAGTACTGTACTGTACAGTGTACAGTACTGTACGTACAGTATTAGAAAAGATACCGGTAATTTTTCGACTAGCCTATTAGGTTATACTGTACTGTACAGTCATATAATGAAACTACAGGAATTACTGTACAGTAAAGTAATTAATAATAACTATTGAACCACGGCAGGCTAAACGAATCAATCAACGAACGAACCAACCAACGCACGATCGACTGGAAAACGGAATCCCAGTGACTATCGCTGCTCAATCCTGGTTCAAGAACAAGATGTCAGGTATCTACTAGTAGAGCTTCATATAAAATCTCTCTCAGTCTCTCTGCTTTCCTTAAACCCTGCTAAAATAGACGCTGTGCAAATAGGGTACAACCCTAAAACCAATTTGTTAAGAATGTGAATGAATTGAAAAGGTTGTTTCCAAAATTATTCCTGGGAATTAAATTTCCCTTTAATGCTCGCATAAGTACAGCACTGCTGTACTTATGAATGATGCAGTGATACGTGTATGTATATATACAGTATACACGTACGCGTATATATCTATATAAAGTATAATTAGAATAATTATAATTAATGTAACATTAGTCGGAATAGCATAAACATCAATATAAACTATGACAAAATATGTGTATAAAGGCGATATTGAGTTCAATAAAGTTAAAGTATATTCTAGATAATAATTAGTAAGAATTAAATTGAGCTTGTATTATTATATGGGATGTTATGCTAATATCATGGATTGTCAGATATGGTTTAAGACAAGTTCCGTCGAATTACTTCGTGTGATCAATCCCGATACGTATAGTATACATCGCATAAAACTATGGAGAGAAATTCCATACTTATGACTAACAAATATCATTTTATGTAATGGAAGTGTGCCTATGTTGTGCTATATCCCTGCTACATCGTGTGTATGGACGAATGCAAGAGAACATGCCTCTATTTTTTAGTTCCTGGCGCCATCACCAATAACACTTCCATTATGTCTACTCCATGCAAATTTCGATCGTTTCTTTGAAGGCTAAATGTTGACATATACTCGTCCAACCTATTTGCTTTGCTACTCTATTAAATTTGAGTACAGGCGGTAGATGCTTTAAGGGGTATCATGCAATACTCTGGTTACTGATTCTTATCATTCCACCTATACCGTATTGGCCAAAGATATCTTATCTAAAGTATAATTTGAATATGCCATTGCAATTATTATTTTGACTCTACTGCAGACTACAGTCTGTGGATGAAAAACTGTGCTATGCAATGCTGTCAATTTGGAAACTGGTAGGGAACTTCATCGCCTTTATAAATCATTATACGTTTACTCTTATAAAGTTCCATTAATACAGGCATGGTGATAATCATCAGTAAAAAATATAGACAGCATAAAAGAAACAGCTTTTCCTTTTACTTCTATAACGCATATTATCATTAGACTTGCCGTCAGCCAATAATCCTTACTTAAGTTCTAGTTTGTAATGTCTTCGTCACCAATCTTAATTTGTAACACTTAGGGAGACCGACAGTGCGAATTACTATAGCTAGCTCATAAGAACATTCACGAATACCCTATCCTATTATATAATTATAGGCCAGGAACCGTTTGTTATAGCAACCATTTCAAAGGACGTGAATATGGAAGCAGAATCTCGATATTCAGCTATTTTATAAGAATCATTTCAATGCGTCTACGTAGAAATCAATTCGAGTACAAATGGAACAGAGACTACTATGAAAGCCCTAGCTAAGCTATAACAACAAAAACACCACGAAACCCATTTTCGTGATAGTCAGCTTACAGTGGCCATTCATAAAGAAAAACTCTTATATATACGGTTCACGATACGGTAGATAAACGAAAATACTATATCAAGTTCTAGAATTTATACTTTTATCTTGACTGCTCGTAGAATGCAATATATTCGAAAATGAGTTTCATTTTTTATGGATACGCATATTTATTTAGGCTTTAAAGCAACTATCCCATAATATCAAATCTAAACTATACTATAGCAACATGATTGTACTTGTAATTACGAACTTCAATTGATAATAAGTCTTTAATCAATATTATTATTAATAATGGTAACAGAACGAGGATGGAATGATCCGCCTGATTTTTTATTCCAAAATAACAAACCTACAAGTGATGTACCACGACTATACCGCTTATATGGCAAAAGGCAAACGCCTTCGGGTGCGATTCCTGCCAATAACCGTAAGTTGAAATCGATATAATCTTAAGTCAAAAATATTATGAATATATGGAATCACTTTTCGATACTTTTTTAAATTCTATATCTGACAGTCACCACAAATTTCTTAAACAAAGACAATGGACCCCCAATTTCCGTAGCTCCTCCTATCGTTCATACAGATAAATCGAAAGAAAACAATCTCGCCGACGATACTAGTCATCAATCCTTGTCCTCAACTACTAGTGTAAGCCTCACTGTTGATGAAATGACCGGATGCCTTAAAAATATGTTGGATAAATGTAAAGAATCGTTGGATGTAAGCGATTATGTTCTAATTCATGTCTTAAATAACTCAAATAACACACTGTATAACATTACCTAGTTATGCCAGTGCTATAGTTACAGTATACGAGTATATATACAAAGATTATAATTTGATGCACCAGTGTGCTAGAATATTGTTTACAGCAATTGACTCACAGGTTGTATACCGCTTTAAAATTTTCATGTTGTCATTTGACGCGATACTTTTTATCATTAGGTGGAGGCGATAGCTGATATTGAGAAAAGATTGCAGGAAATGGAGTCCAAATGGCGTTCAAATCTACTATCAAAATCTACCATTGATGCATTATCGACAATTTATGATGGTGAGACTAAGAAATTCCGGCAATTTTCACTTTATGTCTAGCAGGATTATTTACTTTTATTGTAAAAGTAAATCTTTCTGATGCAAAAGTGCAGCTGCTCTTGTTAATAACTGTAATCATTCTAAATTTATAGCAATAAAGGATGGTAGCAATTATGAGAAAGCTAGCGAAGTCTGTACTGCTTTGGCTAAGAACAATGTTGAAGAAGTAATTTTTAATTAGTAGTACTGTATTTAATATCAAACAATCGAGTCTATAAAATTATGTTCCTACAACTCGAAAATGACCTCGCTTTGATTCTTTCAATAATAATTTTTTATCATGGAAAGGTTGGTCCTTGGATACCTGGAATACACCGACTGATACAACAACGTCTTTGAGTCTCATCGCCTTTCTACTATGACTTTTATGTGGAACATTTATGAGACATATATATGTATTTTTCATACTAGGAGATTTCGTCATATAGTACAAAAGATATGACTGTTATACAATGTAATGCATCGAAGTGATATTATAAGCCATACGAGTGTTAAATCAAAAATAAGCAGGTTTTGAATTTCATCTAATATATAACATAATTACTTCACTGCTTCTGTTACCTCCCTTACTCGAAATAATGTTATATTATATTATTACCTCTAAAGACTCGATAGTTGTATTTCTTACAGTAGATATGACTTTACTGTAACTATGAAGTATGACTGTATACCTATGAACGACTTCAGCACCTTCTTTGCCATTGTATAAGACATTGATTTGGTCAGCCATTATAACATTTTATTATATCTATTATTGCAACCTGAAAGCTAACACCATATCTATCATTAATACAGTAGAAAACTAGTTCCATGTATTGTGTTCACATTTCATTAGGTTTCAGTGATGAAGTTGTACTCGTATTTTCATCCTCATTATCTTCCATTCGGATTTCTTCGTTTTCTTCGCAGCCGGAAAATCCAGCATTCTCTCCAGTTTCTTTACCATTCTTTTGCGGAGAAGTATCATCGATAATGATATCTTCAGGATCAGGAGGAGAAGGAATAAACTCTTCATTAGGACAAATGTTATGGTACATATTTTCTGCCTAAATAAGCATAGTAAATACACGAATGGTGTCAAAAAATAACTTTTGCAGAACAACGTCATTTAAAACTAGTCTGCTATAACACCTAGATTCATAGACCAGCTAAAGTATATTAGACGTAATATATGATTACTCAAGAACTAATCACCAATCAAATCAATCACTAAAGTGATTGATCTTGAGAGTATTAGATAACACAAGACATGTACCTTTGCTACGATAGATTTAAAACTCATTTCGCTATCTATTGGATCTACGGTTAAAATGTTTGATGGCAGTCTCTCCTTCACATTGTAACCAATTTGATTAAAATAAGTACACCATAAGACTTTTGGCTTTTTGTTACCATCTTTACCTAATAAGATTAACAAATTTGTTACCAAAGCTGCTAAAACACTCAATATATTTAAATATAGTATTCCACCAACAGCGATTCTAACTAATTAGCAATACATATTATGTCTAGTTTTACATTCTAATGCTTAGTATTGTGTGGAAATTTTCCATACCAACTTTAAATTTAATAAGTCAGTAAAAGTATTACGCACCACTTTTGTTTCATTATGTATATGAAGAGTTACCTGAATTTTCTTCAAAATTAAATAAAGAGTCGGTAACTTCTTGTAGATCATCTTTAGCATTCGATTTCATTAAGCAGGTTAGGTGCACGATATCTATAGATTGAATATAAATTTTAAGCTGTAAGATATCGAATAAGGTAGCAAGTTACTACTAGCAACAGATTAATGACCATGTTGATTTCCTTTCACTCGAGTTGCCTGCTGATTCTTATGACAGTAATAATAATTACAATATATTATATAATCAAGTGTACTTCAATATACATTGTAAACTTACACAATCCCTCAGGACATGCCATAGAGCCAGCAGAAATTTCTAGTCCACGTATTAAATAACTAAGATCACTGGAAGGTAGGGAGAATAAAATCACCTAAGTAAATGAAAAATAGATAAGTTACATTTTTCTTATCGTAATACTTATATAGTGAAGGCTCAATTAATTATCTTATACCAATTTATATTTCGAAGTTACAGTCATGCCTACCTCATCTGTTTCAGTAGGGTAAATTGATTTGTTGGTAATAAATATAGCTCGAGATATTGATTTTTCTTTATCGGGTTCATCAGATAAAAGGGCAGACGGTAAATAACTACTGTCAATGATGACATTACTGCAAAAGAGTACAACTATATTAGTGCGCATAATTACATAAGTAAAGCTATTAAACTTAATGAATTTGCACCAGATCTCCTTACATTACCTGCAGGATATTTTCTGCCCTTCATCAGTAATAATTCCTGTACATCTGTATTCGTACATACATTAAATTATCAATGGTGGATGCTTTAATTTATAATTAGTCAACACTTATCTCTACTTTCTTTACGGCATACCTATTCGAAGTCTCATCAATAATTAACGAAGGTACTGTCATCCGTAAGCAATAGATGCCACCAAAGACAGCGCAAAGTCTATGCATTTTGATCGATTTACATAGGGATTAATAACGGTGTATACACACGTAAACACTGTCGATAGCCTGATGTTAGTACGGAGATTATTTTACGACACCATCTTACCGACAGAAAGCTTGCGGCAACTCTGCAACCCCATATAATGGCCACAGAAAAGGGGTTTCTCCAAATCGGCCGAGAGACTGCAAAAAACATTGTGCAGCAGCTAATCCCTAAGTAAAAATTAGTTATTATTGAATTTAGACCAAAGTACTATAGCAACATTTCCCATAACCATATAAGAACAATATGACAAAATTATACAGTGTAGTGTTCTGATATAAAACTAAACACAATAAGTATCAGACACAATTTCTATAATTATTTGCTGAATTTGGTAGCAGTAATCGTATAAATTTGCCATCGTGTAAAGTGAAACAATACTAAGATGAATCAATTCAATTTCATTCGGCCTCAAATACCTCAATAGTTGTAACGTTTTTTTCCACCATTGCTATACAATGAATAATAAAATGTTGTAAATCCTCACTGAGACGCCAAGACTTGAGATAATCAGAAAAAGGTCGCTGTTCATATTCTGTTTAAAATCAGAAATCATTAATATAGCCACTACAATATAATAATACTTTGTCAGTTATACGATTTACGAGATTAATCGACGATATTCAATAATGTAAGTGTGGATATCAATAAGTATTCTCTAGGCTGAATTACGAGATATCATTGATGTAATTAATTTTTAAGACCTTTAAATTTATCTTCGTGCTTTTCATACTCTATGCAAAAGCTCAAAAATTTCATCAGCATTCTTTTTTCTAACATTGACATTAAATTGGTGGAAAAGACTTCAGATCTCGAACAAGGTACCTAGAACGTGAAGTACGCCTTAAAGGTTTATCATTTACGGAAAACGTATAGGCTATTAGATGATTTCAATTTCGATCAAAAAAAGTAGAGGCTAATATCGAATTTTTAATACCTGGACGAGTCGATTGCCTCTATAAGTTAAAATTTTTGTTACACATTTGAATTCGACATAGCGAGCAACTTTGGACTTAATTAATAATTCCACAAGAGGTCCCCGGCACAACAATAACTTAACGAAGAAATAAAATGAATAAATATACAATTAAAGAGAGCATACAGTGTGAACAAAATTACTAGACTAATTATATAGGATATTTCAAGCGAGAAATCCATCAAGAAATAATCATATGAAAAACCTTCGGCAATAAATCTATACTAAAGCGCCTCCATAGATCTTTTAAATCTTGATACGTAAATTCTTTTGCTGTCCTATCTCTAATTGCTTGGTTTGAACCGACTTGATCAGCTACGCCAGAGGACGGAGCTTGTAATTGGGGTGATTTAGAATTTTCACTCTTATCTGCGTCATGTTGATTTGGTGTCTTTTCAACATCTTCTACGATACAAAAGGAATAATAAATTATGTATATTAATCTATACTAAGGGGTATCTATAGTTCTTTTAAATATTTGATAAGCAAATTCTTTGACCGTTTATGTCTAATTGCTCGACTCTGAATCGACTTGAGCTGCTGTACCTGAAGATGGATCTTGGGATTGCGGCGATTCAGAACTTTCATCGTTATCAGCATCACGTTGACTTTGGGCCATTTCAATTTCTTCTATATTATATATTTCATCACCGTCAGTACTCCTATCATCTTTCATTATCTCTGGAGCTTTATCACAGTAGCATTCCACTTCAAGATTTAATGTAGTTAATACATCATTGGATAATAGTAGGCGTTTCTGATTTGTATCGGTATCCTGAATATATGGCGGTAGCTTTTCACCAGACTTTAAATTCTATCAATGTGATTATAACGTATCGAATTTTATTTCGATAATACTATAAGAAGTATTTGATATCGAATTCTTGTACTATAGCTACTAGGTTATACCCTTGCTTTTTCAATCCATGCTAACAACTTATCAAACGTAAATGCAGCCCACTGTCCGCCATAGTAATCGTTCCTAATCGTGAAATAAATAATTAATATAGTATGTTGGCTGTTTCTGAAAGATGTAAACGCCTACATAGGTGATTCTAACAAGATAATTTTAAAAGTAAAAGAGTAAGGAAGTTACTTCGTGCAGTTGTATGCACGGGATAATACAGTATAAGTAATATATTCTGGCAGTGTTTATGAATCATTAAAATATATCTTACACCTAATTATTTAAGTCATTGTAAGTATTGGCTATAGTAGTGCTTAAAGAACTAGTTATATTCAGCCTCTAGTCATTCAATTTCCGAATTATTTTATATTATATTAGTGACTGTTTTTGCTATGCCTATGAGCACGCTCATATACTGTACAAGCAAAATTTTAACAGAAGATAATACTTTGATGAGATCTATGAGTATTAGTATCGAATTTTGAATGCAGTACAAATCGCCAAAACTTGTTTCGTTGGGTAAAAACATAAATACACAAATCTCTAACTTTCGATGCATACGTAGTTAATTGCACAGTTGTACAATGGTATAAAAAGAATAATACATATCTAAAATAATAATTATTATATATTAATTACAGCTGTTATCTATGTGAGTATTTCTTAATCAATTTGCGAATATTAAGCATCTTTATACAATCATTATGTTTATTATTAAAGTATAATAATAATTATTATAGAGTCTTACTTATCGACATGAAGTACTTTTTTACCAATTCGGGTTAAAGCTGCAGCAGTAATTGCTTCGCTTAATCCTAGTTAATAACCAAATATAGAATTAGTATTGAAAGGTCTTACCTTCAAGGTTAGAATATGGTATTACAAACATGTAGCTCAGATTGATCACCAAAACTTATTTGCACATTCAAATGATTTCAAGATGCAAACACGACGATGATTTGTGTAGATTATCATCCGTGAATGTGTTTAGTACGGTACAGGAAGTCAGCTTACCTACGGATAAATTCGATTTACAATGAATAGCGATTACTATCACCTAAATTTCGAACTACAGTGTAAGGTTGGGTGATACTATTAATCCATGATTGGCCGCTGCATTATAATTGTATGAATATATCATGCAATTATTAATCTACTGTTGCTCCATAGAATGAGTTATCCGTATTACAGGTATACTGTACTGGTATAGTAGTAAGAAAACCTATTTGGTCAATCAATCAATCGATCAATTGGATATTTTATCAAAATTGAGAAGTGACATGCTGTAAATTCTTTTCTATACTGTTTGCTGTCTCAATCCCCATGGACTAGTACGTTTACTGTAGGTAGAACACATTCACCGCGAACGATTGTAGATGATTAACATCATAAGCTTCCTAGGGTTATCGATTGTTATGATTAATGTTATTGTAGTATTATTTATTATATGGGTTCTCTCTTCTTTAGTGATTCTTGACGCCATGAATGAAATACGAAAGGTCAACTAGTTGGATATCATATCGTTCCGTATAAAATATATAGTTTGGCTTTATCATTTCAAGAAATCAATCAGTTCAATACTGAATATCTAGGCTAAAAATGTTACTTTTACCTGTGCCTATAACGATTACGTCAAATTCGGTAGGTAGATCATCGGCCATTGTGTCTGCTACTCGCAATGGTACGAATGAAATGATGTCACAACTGCGGTTGTGCTCACCACTTGATTTCATAGGAATACTATACAGTCCAGTACACACAGTGTACAGTGTACAATGCACGGTACATTCTACGGTACATGTACTGGATATGTACTGTACAGTATGATACCGTACAGTGTACAGTGTACAGTACAGCACAACAGATCTCTGCAAACGATGTTGAAATGTACTGTAAGCAAAGGACTGTACTACAGTAGTACTGTACTGTACTGTACTGTACAGTCCTACTGCGAGTACCGTACTGCGCGAAGTTAGGGCCAAAACGCTGAAATCAGACTGCCTACTAAGCATTTCAAATAACTTTCCTGCTGGCACATTGGTGCACTGGCGGCAAAATGAAGCTGTAAAATTGAAGTCCTTGTGCTGTGATAACGAAAAACTGTGTGATTTAACAGTTGACTTGGTTTGAAAAAGCCGTTGGAAAAGAATTCTAAAATCTTATTAACAGCTATGTTCGGATCAACAAATGCAAGTACTCCCTTTGGCGGTAATCAAAGCGGATTTACTGCTACCTCTGGTAAATAACTATACTACATATCGTTCACTTCTAGTTTAGAAGCTATTGTATGTGTACCGATGTACTGTATTGGAGTATGATACACTGTACTATATTTGCGTTGGAGCGAAATTCGCTGTCAAATTCTTGAATAACTTTTGCCGAAAACGATAAATTACCAATAAAAATCCACTTGATAATTAATATAGGATCAGTGACCAACTCAAAGTATGATTTGTATACAATATTAACTCATAATAGCTGTCTTCTAGTTGATTTTCATACCAATCATAATGTACACTAGTAAACTGACTTCAGTGACTGAGAGATCCATGACCCAAGCATTCTCGCGTTAACCGAACTCAATCCCACAAGTAAAGATAAAATCAACATTCTGCTTGAAAATGACAATATAATTGAGCATTGATCGATATATCATTATGATTTTGAAGTGCAGCTGACTTAAAAGTCCTCAATTTTTGTAAGACAGCTATCGATTCATCCATCATACACTACCGTAAACCGTCAGGTAAAGTGAATATGCGCAGCTACTTATTAATTTGAAAATGACTTACCGGCTGATGCAAATTGTGGCTACAGCTGTTTTTCACTTGCTGATACTGTTATACTCTATAGTACTCGGCTTTCAATAGACAAAAAATACGTAGAACAATCTATAAAGTGTACGGATGCCATTCCTAGTCCTTTTCTCATTCTCTTGATGATGAAATAGATCAATATCCTATATAAGTCTACACCTGAACTAAAAATAATCATGTTATTCTTGCTTTTTATAGGTGGTCTATTTGGTCAGTCAAGTACTAATACATTTGGTGCGTAACTAAGACATCACCTACTAGTCGGATAAAATTAATTGCCCTACAATAGTGAAAAACCTACTGAGTAAGAGGTTGCAAACGGTCTTAGCAGTTGCACTGATATCAACCTGATTTCATCTAATATTGATTATAAAATAATGAACTGAAGCGCGTACTACTGTAGTATTTGGCGATAATCAACAGTAACTTCATGCTGGAAAAATTTGACCCAGTTTCTTACCATTCCTTAAAACTGAGCGTCATATTTACGACTTAGCGCACTACAAAAGTGATAATGCCATCTATTACATTTCACCTTTTATCGGAGTAGTACAAAGGGAAGGGATACTAGCATCGAGTTTACATCTGTGAACGCTTCTCCCAATCGGCTCCTTTTTGTCCGAATAATGGACCATACCAGATTTGATTTACTCAAATAAGATTTACTAAGCAATTAAGCTGTAGTAACTGTTACATCTACTATTTGGTATGCCTGATTACTTTCTAAATTAAATTATGATCTTGGATATTAAATGTAATATACACAAGTTACTATTCAATAATCTCGTCAGACTAGATCAGATAGTATACATACAGTATAGACGCGTATACATTATATATATGTACTTTTCAGCTATAATAGTTAATCTTGGTATACACAGTATTGTATGATGGTTAAGCTATTAGGATTATTAAATAACTACTACCGTAATAGTCTAGAAGATAGTTATTGCTTTACAGTTAATCAGAATAACAGTCTTTTAAATGGTATTATCTAGCTTAAAATCTCCTCGAGGATGAGGACAATGATGGTATAGCACAACTTTTATTCTGTTATTTCCGTATGGTAAATAATTAAGTTTCAGATCATCACTGTATATTCTGTGATTGGAAGTTTGGAATACTAGATTTTAGCTTCATAGTTAAATAAATTCCATCAGTCTAAAAGGTCTGAATGATTGTTTTCAAGAATACAAATGATTGGAGTTCAGATTACTGTATACGGTAGCAGGCTTACCAACAGTGTAGTGTATAGCAGGTTGCAAGCCTCGGACCTGACGGTGTAATGTGTGCAAATTACCTATTTAAGGCACAGCTGGGCGTGTGAGTTCGGCATTTTGGTTCAATACAATCATTAAATTAAGGTCGATCCTGACCAACTATACAGTACACTTCTTACTGCTATGGAAGTGTTATTGAAAATACTGTACTGCGAAAGCTAGTAGCTGTTGCTTATTTCATATTGACTGGATTACTTAAGATTTATGCCTTGATTTGAACAGGCTCTGGTAGCACTGGTTTTGGTACTTCTACAACAAGTGGCTTTGGCAATACTGGTGGTGGATTTGGCACACAATCGAAGTCGTTGTTTGGTAATACGGCTACTACGAGTGCAAGTGGAGGACTGTTTGGTACATCTGGTAATCAAGTAAATCCTAGTACCAGTTTCGGTGGTAGTGGATTTGGTGGATTTGGTAACATGACGAATACTAGCAACTCCGGTAGCAATTTCTTCTCAAATACTAATACAAATACATCACAATCTAGCAATTTATTTGGAAACAATACGAATAATACATTTGGAGGTTAGAAATTGCAATTATGTCAACTTTATGATAAACGACCTATGGCTTTAATGAGATATCGTTGCTTTTATGGACGCAATATCAGCAATATATTTAAATCTGCTAAAGTAATTATGTTGCATTAATAGTATTCATTATCCACTGGCTGAATTGACATGATAATTCTATTAAATCTAGATACATCATTACTATAATTACAAATCATTGTCCGATCTAAAAATCTCGATGGAGCCACGAATAAGGCGCATTTGCTTTAATTTGATGTTTCGCACCTTGCTATGTAATCATCTGTACACGCAAAATACCCTATTAGCATCTTTCCTAAAGTACAATAAACGCGTATATCTGGAGTTACAGACTTACAGTGATCACTCGCAATGGGTGATGTAGTCAATTTTGAGCGTTTAAGAATAAATAATGGATGGTTTGTCATGACGTCATTGCCACCCATATAGCTTAAATACTTTAATACTGCACCATAGCATTGTTTAATGCAGGACGCAGGCAACCGACCTTGAAACTTTAAATTACACTCTTTAAAGACATGACTATTTTTTAGGTACCGCCATTAGATCTTTTCGGATAGAACGAATGTGGATACGCACGTAGCACTTTAAGTTAAATTATAACTACAGTACATTAGAGTAATTAAGTTGCGTAACAGAAATGCAAATACTGTACAATAATGCTATGTAATTGGATATTTTTAAAATGTTGAAAACTGTGTTTATAATAAATGGTTATTATATGTAGAATAGAATAGAGCAATGAAAGAAACTTCACTTCCGACGATCCATAATGTAGTGATATACTCGTAGTTCTTCGAAAAATCTATGATATGTGGATTTCTCATAAAGCAAAGTAATCCTTTTAACTCTCTTCCAGGATTCGGTAATATGTCTCAGGCTCAAACAGGATCCACAATCAAATATAATGTAATTTTAAGTTGCGCTTTTATCTTATTCTCATAATTTTCTTTGACGAAAATTAAAAATTACATTTTATTCTATGTCAAATTATTGCCTCGATAATTTTGTTATAATTAATTATTACACGTTGTATGTGGCGCTATTACGATCAGCCTCCATCTGCTACGGATACAGTTACACGAAATGGACGTACTGAAAATGTATCTGCAAGAATCCAATGTATTTCTGCTATGAATGAATACATCAAAAAAAGCCCAGAGGTAAGTTTGTCTGAAGGCATTTCTCATCATTACATAGAAGGCTTCTGATAAGAGTAGTCATCTGTAAGTGTAGTACAGGATTACGGTATCCTGAATTGACAACCCTTAACGTCTGGCTGTCCATCTCTTTCAATACTATCATAATGTCCTTCTCTCAGGAATTGAGATACGAAGATTACATGCAAAATCGTAAGGGTCCATCATCAGGATCCTTTACTGGTGGAGGCATCAAAAATTTTGGAAATACAAGCACTAGCACTAGCGGTTTCGGAGGTAGTTCAGGCTTTGGTCAAGGTAAAGTCTTCATATTAATATTTTGAGTTAATGTTATCAAATATCTCAAAGTAAATTTATATAATTTACATCCTTGTAGGCACTACTAGTGTTTTTGGCCAGACACCAACTAGTTCGGTCAACACTGGATCCCTTTTCGGGCAATCACAACAAACTGGATTCGGTCAAAATGCCAAAAATAATTTTTTTAACAACACATCAACGTCTACGTCTAACGCTTTCGGCGGTGTTAGTCAATCACAAGGTTTCGGACAGGTAATATGAGAATAAAATATATTATTAATACTAATAATTTAATATTTGAAACCTTTAAATTTTTTTAAAACATGAAGAATTCATCACTCTCTTTTGGTCAGTCAAATCAGCAAAAGCCCCTATTTGGAAATTTATCGTCTAGCAATCCTGCCAGTTTCGGAGCCAATACTTCTACCTTCGGTCAAAGTCAATCTTTTGGTCAAAGCTTCGGTCAACCGAATACAAGCACTAACTTATTTGGAAATAATAATAAACCTAGTAAGTTGAGATGTCTTTAGCATATGAACATTAATTTGAAGATTATAACCTAATTATTTCATGTCAAGCTTTTGGGCAAACCAGTACTGCTCCTACCAGCTTCTCTTCTGGCTTTGGATTTCCTTCTAATAATACTACTAATACTACCAGTTCTGCGCCTTCGACTGGGCTTTTTGGAACAAACACGTTTGGAACATCTAGCACCAGTTAGTTAATGAAGAATGTAATATATTTTATTAAATATTACGATTAATGGCTTACTATTGCTCAATGTTTTCTTTTTAGACACAGGATTCAATGCTAGTAATTCGCTTTTCGGAAATAAGGGTGGATTCGGGACAGGTTTTGGAAACACCAGCAATTCTGCTTTTTCAAGCACGGCCAATAAAGGCTCTCTGCCTAATTCAAGTCAATCGTTTAACCTTAAACCTGGATCAAATACTTCCTTTGGAACAGGAGGTACTAATTTTAACCTTGGCTTTGGTAGTGCGCAGCCACAACTTCAACTCATCGCTGGTAACTCGATGATTGGTCTTAACAAGTATGTTCAACGTTATAATAAGTGTATTAACCATTGGCATTATTATGATACGCAATGCATCTCACCCTATCAATATCTGAATGACTAACTATTATATAGTCCTCATTCTGCTGGAATCAACAATAACGCAATGATGTTGCAAGGTCAAATCAAGGCAATGATAAATTCGCCCTACGGTGATACACCGTTATTTCGCAATGCCGTTAGGGTAAATTAATTATTAGCTTACTATAAAGTTAACGTTTGCAGGTGCAGTTACTGAATTAAGTAATAATTAATTTTTTATTGTTAGGATTCCCGCCATGACTATACCAACAGCATTGTTTCTACAGAATCTGTTCTTAATAATTCTAGTTATGCATACAGCAAATACAGGGTATAATTTTATTAATCACTCTGTCTTAGATAGACTTAATATATCCTCAATTATATAATATTCGTTTATTTCCTCTGAATAATAATGTAATTTATTTTATTATTTCCTTAAAAGGTATCTTCACGATTAGGAGGGAAGATCAGACTTAGCCGACCAAAAAAATTTGATCAGGTACATCTGTCACTACTTTGAATGCAGCTCTTAGACATGGACTATATATATATAATACTAATTAATTTCGTAAACACACTATGAAATGAAATCTGCTATGGTTGCTACCTGATCAAAGCTATCTGACGATCTCAACGATGAATTACCGTCTGAGGTTACTTTAAAAGCTAAGAAAAATTGGAAAAAATTAACTCTTGTTGACACTCCCGATAAGAAGGTAAGGTCATTCATTCATTTGAGAAAAAACTAGTTCCCTATTGTATACTTTTTAATACGTTATCCACCCTAGGATAACAAGAACAATTCAGAAACTAAAAGTACCACTGCAGTAAATTACTTGGAGTGGGAAAAGGGTTATAGTTATGCACGATTTGGATCAGATTCGCATGATAACCGTTCAGAAACTTCCATTCCGTCTCAACCTCCAGAAAGTAGCCCGAAAATTTTAGTCAACAACTGCAACACTGGTGACGACGTTAATGACGTATTTCCTTCTGAGGCAGATAACACTAGGTAAATGTTAGAAACAACCAACCTTCTACGTTTTTTAATATTCTATGCACGATAATAAATGGATTGTACTACCTAAATGGCTTGATATATTCTTAGTGCATCTTTAGTATTACCACAATCAAAGTTGGATGAAAACAGTATCATTACTAAACCAATGCCTGTTAGACCAAAGGACCCGTAAGTATTGAAATTATATGATTATTAATTTGTCTAGTTTTTGATGCGTGTATAAGCTTAAAGGTTTTTTTCATTACATTTTTTTTAATTTGTTCGATTGTAATTCTTAATAGTCAAGTTTTCGCGTCTACTCCGGCTGTTGAACAATTCCTAAATAAGGGACCTGATCAGGATCTATCCAATTTTACTCCTGAAGGGAATGATGCTACTCCTAAAACGTAACTATATTTTATTAGTTGTTACCCTGCCACGATTAACCACCTTGTAGATGTATGTAAGATGTGTTCATCTATTGCAATTTAACACTAATTGACTAATTTTAATCTATAAGCAATGGTTCTAGGCATATTTCGGAAGCTACCTTGGTTCATTTATCTAAAGAAGGATATTACACAGTACCTCATATAGATGAGATTAATGAAATTGCAAGGACTAAGGAACGAGTTATATTGCCTACCTTCACCGTAGGACGCGAAGGTTTTGGAAGTGTATACTACGATACTCCAACAGATGTTACTGGTTTGGATCTGGATGATATCGGTATTTCTAGAATCGATTTAGGTTATGTACAATAGAAGTATTGATGGAGAAACTTATTATCTAATAAACTATCGTTACCCCGTAGTTGAATTCCGCTTTCAAGAAGTTTCTATCTATCCGGATGAAAGTTTAAAACCTCCAAACGGCACTCGCCTTAATAAGCCAGCAATTGTAACACTGCTAGCGGTTTGGCCAGGAGATAAGAAAAATCGTGATCCTATAATAGATCCGAAAAGGCTACAATTAATGGGATACGCTAAGAGGTTACGTAGGATAACATCAAGAATGGGAGCAACATTTATCGATTACAAGCCTGATAATGGAGCTTGGCAGTTCCGGGTATGAAATTCACTGGCAATAACAAATAATTATTGAGAATTAGACCTAATTCTCTTTTAACTAATTATGTCTACTTTGTAATAGGTTGAACATTTTTCGAAGTATGGTCTCAAAACGGACGAAGATGAAGATTCTTCTCCTTCACAAAACTCAAATACGCAGAAGACACAGCATCTAAAAACAGTACTTTCATATTACAATCTAATTATAAAATACTTAAATACCGTTATTTTTAAAACATGATTTCTATAATGTAGTTTTACATGTACCTTGAACGTTGTTACTGTAGAACAACTCATACTGGTTTTGATATGATGTTTTAAATAATTGGCTGATTTGGATGAACTTGCTTGATAAAAGCAGTTATCGTACTACTACATAACAAACTAGATGTAATACCCGTGATTGTAATGACTATTGTGCATAGCTAATAAATAAATTAATCTTCTTCCGTTTTAGCAAAAACTCTTGGAAGCGGAGCATCGGAAGTTATGGTCCACAGCTGACACCGATGAAGACAGCCCTATGGAAATTAACGATGATGAAGCTATGTCAGATAGTGAAGAATTGAATTCTAATAATGATCTCGATAGCATTGACAGCCAAAGTACACGAAATCAGGTAAATGAGAGTAAATGAGATTTTAAGTACATTTTTCATTTAATTAATGATGCATCCATAACTCTCAAGTGCAGTGTCTTTTTCTCACGATTAACGCTTTTCTTTCTGTTCCTTTTAAATAATATATAATCAATAGGACGAAGACGCTGTTTACTCAAATTTAACGCTAGATACCAGACGTATACAAGTAATGAAAGCTTCTTTTTTCCGCGAAAACGTAGAGGAGAATAAAGATGATTATAAAGGACAACCGGTTTCTGGCAAGCGTATCAAATCTTCAGCTACCGATAACGTTGACTTACTTCGTATTAAGCGCTTTCATAAAGGTGATTTCCTTCGCATTTTACCTAGACATTTATAAACATACGTAGCTTTTGCAGGTATTGATATTTGCGAAGCATTTTGCAAAATTAGTAACAGTATTGTACTTTTTGTTAGCAGTCTCTTCAAAATCCACTACTATGCCAATTAGTGGATCAAATGAATTAGTGCTGACGCCTAGAAAATCTATGATTAGAGTTGGTAACAATGCAACCAATCTTCTTGGTGTATCGTCTGTAGAAAAATCTGCAACCTTAGGTATCGACGATTACAATGTATATAGAAATTATCATCAACACTGTTTCTACAAAGTAATTCTTTGATTCTCATTGATGCTGTTTTTGTACCCTCTATTACTAAAGATGAAGGCAATAACCGAACCAATATTGCCTCAACAGTGCTTTCTCGGTCAAGAATTGAAGCTGCTCAAGAATTTGATCAAGATAACGCCGAGAAACGATTATTATTGCTTCCAGTTAATCAACCAAAGTTAATTTCACATAATGAATCAGTTGCTCACGGAAAGGGCCATTGCGTTATTGATGCTGCTTTATTCCACGGACGTTCTTTTCGTGTTGGATGGGGTCCGAATTGGATGTTTGCATCCATTAATTACTGTTCACAATCTGGCAAAGACAGCAGTGAAGTCCGTGAGAGCCAGCGTATGTCGGTCGGAGCAAAAGTCCCAAACTTTAGTGAAAATTCTTCGTTTTCCGTAAATATTAAGAAATTTGAAGACGAAAAACCAAAAGTATGACCAAAGTTTCCATGGAGTATAGTTTTGGAAAATATCTATGTTTTTAACTATGTACATAGTTACATACTATATATCCTAACATTTTGTGATTTCGTATCGATTTGTTAATAGGTTGCCGTTGATCGCTTAGATATTGAATTTAATCATAGTATTTGCAATTTGGAACATGGCTGTCTTCCGTTGTTTTCGCCATCCCGAGGTAAAGATGTGGCGCATGAATATGCCCGTCAATCTGCCACGGTTGTTGCACAAGGTATCTGATCAAAAGAGGATTAGCTCCTTTTTGTTATATATGAATATGTGAACGCAGATTCCTTATCTTATCTATAGGTGCAGAAGATAAGCAGTTACAACACGCGTCTCAAGTATGGGACTTAGTAGTTGCCTTATGGGGATTCCCCTCGAAAGCCACCCCTGATGGGAATGAATCCAGCAGTGATGAAAGTGATACTGAGATGGGTAAGAAAGTATTTTTGCCCGCTGTTTTGCATAAGTTTTAATATTTATTCGATTTTACTTAACAGAAGCAAAGAATTTGAATTCGTACGAAGAACAAAATGAAAGAAGACATGCTCTTTCCAATTGGTTTAGGCGTTCAGTTATTAATTCAAATAGTACCAAAGCTACTGCTAATGTATGATATGCCTTCATTATTAAATTGAAAATTAGTGTTAGTGCTAATTATTATTTCACTATTTCATTATATTTAGTCACCTAATACCAGTATGATCTTCGATCACTTAACTACAAAATCCATCAATGAAGCATGTAATATCTGTCATGAAATTGGAGATTATCGTCTTGCTTTACTGATTTCGCAATTGTCTGGTTCAAGAAACGTTACTGCACTTGTGTCTCGACAGTTAGACGACTGGTATAAAAATAAGGTAAATACTGTTCTACTCTTGGAATTAGTTTAGATTTAAGAGATTTACAAATTGCTGCATAGTTGATTTATTTATTGTCTTTCCTGCAGGCCGATCAATTTATCGACCATAATAGATTAAAGATCTACGCCTTACTTGCTGGTAAAAAGCTATGGGAGACGTCGAATAAAATAAGAATATGTCCGTGTGAGGATCTAAATTGGAAGAAGGCTATGGCTCTACATATGTGGTATAATTATTTTCATTCGATTCAAATTATAAGGTTGTGCTTGTTTTCTGAGCCGATTTCTTTTTATTACGTAGGTACATACTTCCAACCACCAAATCTATTAGAGACGTTATCTCAAATTATAAAGCCGCTTATCAAGTAAGTTGTTTGCATTTTTTAAAATAAGCGTCAAAAATCTTATGATATCCATATCGGCTTCTAGGGAGGGAATGGCTATGAAAAATACGCGAATCCTCCATTACCATTTTACATGCAAGAAAAGTTAAAGACAGATGACAATCACAAATCCATTGAGGACCTGTGCTATCATCTATTATGTTTGTATTGTGACAGGTCTCATAAACTTCAGCAAATGCTTGCCAGCAATACATTTACTCCTTTCCAGTTAGATTGCAGCCTTAGGTAAGTTTTTATGCTGTTGATAAATTTTAATTGGGTTTACTCTTAGATCAATCTAACATCTATTCCAGTTGGCACTTATATCAGTGTTTGGTATCGTTGGAATATCATCATCTATCAGCTAAATTTGTGGCCAATCTGCATACGAATTATGCAGCGCAGCTAGAATCGTGTGGAAACTGGCATTGGGCAGTATTTGTAATGTTATTTCTAAAAGATGATCAAAGGTCTGTATCTAATACTTTCTTAAACTTTTCAACGACCTGAAACGTAAAATAATAATTTTAACGCCCTGGCAGACGAGAAAGAGCTGTCCGCGACCTACTGAACAGGCATTGTAAATTAACCACCGTCGATGTTGCAAAAGAGAAATTTATCGAAGACAAGTTGTTAATACCGCCAGCTTGGATCCATGAAGCGAAAGCACTTCGTGCTAAGTATAATGGACTTCTAAAGGAAGAGGCTTTTCATTTGCTAAAGGCGAAGCAGTGGCAAGCAGCCCATAATGTCATTATAAATGACTTAGCTGCAGATTGTATTCTGGAAGGTAATGTACAAGTTTGTTAGCTGATCTGCTGTTATAGACTCAGCTGTACAAAGGATGATTAAATTTAGGTGACACAAAGTATCTACGTAAAATCTTGGAAGAAATCCAAGCAGAGGGTGCTGACGGTTATATTGAAAACTGGATTAATGGAGGACAAGTAATTGCAAATTTTTATCACACCTAGTCTTTAATAGGTTATCAGCCGCGATAGTCTGTAACCTTGAACTTTAATCTTCGTTAGTTATATTTAGATTATATTTTACTAAAAGAAACTGTTAATACACTCAATCTTCAGGTTAGTACAGTAGTAAGCAGGTGAAGTTGGACTTTTGAAATTAGTATTCGTATACAACTACCTAACTGTAAACTTAGAGCATAAGTTCGATCTATATTTATATGCAGAAAAATGTACAGCAGCTGTTACGAGATTGTTCGGAGATACAATTGAAATTAAATTCGCTTAAACCCGAAAATAACAAACGAAAGTAAGTACTATATTTCCTCATTCAAATTGACTTGGCATTCTATTAAGCCTAATTTTACGCTATATTTCTATACTCTATTTTTGAAGAGCATGCAAATTTTTTATGTCCAGTCACGTTCTAAATATTATCAATAAATACTCCATACGCCAGGTGAGGCATCTTTAGCTCGTAGCAATCATTTTATTGTTTAATTTATCTAACCTATTTCTTTAAATTCATTAAAGCTACGTATTAATGAATTAAAGGCAGAAGTTACAGCACCTCCATTAGTCAAGGAAGGTAATTTCTGTTGCGACTCTGACATAGCTTATTTCAGAAATATCATGAAATCTGTTGTAAGCAACTAGAGAATTTAAAAATTCTTAGCTGACGCCATTTATACAAATAAAACTTCTTTCTTGAGTGAATGGCGCAAGCTATGTGGACAATATTGTAAATCAAATATAAAAAATAAATTGTGCAATCTAGTCATCACCTATAGTAAGATTGTCTTTTCTACGATGTACAGATCTTGCAGTGCAATCAATTTCAAATTTATTTATAGACCAGTCCTGTAAAATATTTTCGTTTTATCACTATGAAATTCATCTTCCAGGATTCTTTAAAAGAGTTTAAAAATAATATCGACATAAGTATTTAGGATTTTCAGCAATTTTTTGATCAAATTGTCTACATTGGCTGTATTATTATAAATCTCGTGATTAACATTCTTAAGAACAATTTGCTTTGCTTAATTTCATTTTATGATAATTAACTACTACATTAATCATGTCGAAATCATTTATGCATAGGTATACATGATTTTATATATTAATAATAAATTCTCTTGATACAATGATGTTCATTCGGTTTGTTCGATTACATTCTGTACCTCAGTTCACACTAGCTCAGATGGTAATGTTGGCTAATAACCTAGTGTAAAACATTGATACCAAAACTAACTCAAAAAGCATCAAACGTTACATACAAACGCAGAAATCTCTCAGTCAAAGATGCTCCATATTATACATTGTAAATGGTGTCCGGAAAATCCCCTATTGAGGGATTTTCCGGTATCAGGCAGATGCCCAAACTCTATAGTACGTGTACGTATAACTAGCCTGTACAGTAAACACAGGAGTAAAAGTTTCCTTACTTTGTGTCTACGTCCTGTATAGTAGTATTATGTAAAACTTTCTAGAAACTTACACCCTGTGCTGAAGGTTAGCTGAAGGTCCTAACTGCTGTAAATACAGTAAAAATCATCACTTTACATGGTTTTTAAGGCACCGTAATGTACAGTACAGTACTGTAGACTCCTTATGATTGACCCGCAATAGCACAGTACTGTACAGTGTACTGTGCGGTACAGTCTGTACCGGCACCATTGCAATAATTAATTAATATTCCCTTAATACTAATTAATACAAGCTAACCATTTAAAAATAGTCTATTCATTCAAGTAGTAATTTAGAGCTTGTTACGATGATATGTCAGGATGGCCGAGCGGTCTAAGGCGCTGCGTTCAGGTCGCAGTCTACTCTGTAGGCGTGGGTTCGAATCCCACTTCTGACATTCATTATTTTTTTTACGGGTATCGTACCGTACAGTACTACTTAGCCCTGCTGCACTGTAACCTCAAGCTTAATTAACCCTAACTTGACCACCAATACTCAATATTACTTTCGATACTTACAGTTGCAGATATCTACGCCATAGAGGTTAGAAAAAAATCTAGAGCGCTAACTTACCCTACTCATTATATATACAGTATATATAATTTTCAAATTGGACAAAAAATTATAATAACTAATCAGTAACTCTAAAAAAATTATCTCAATTTCAGTGGATAGTGGTGACCCTGTAGCCACTTAAATAATAATTGTAACTAATCGTAAACGCTATTTTATGGATTTTTTTACAGTATACGTACCTTAAGAATCGTGATATAATATAATTTATTAAAAACTCGAACAGAACTCTACTCCGATATTTACTGTATATCATGGAAAACTCTCACGTGTATCAGTATTTAGTGTCCAGATAGATACTATATTTTATACTTACAATCTATAAATCACAAGCCGTTGTATCAAAATGTGCAGTACACGCATCACATGAGATAGAATTTATAAATTTATCAGCATTTATTAAACTTATTAATGCCATTTTATTTCCGTTATACAGACGTAGTACCTATCATTATTGAACAAAACACTGGTAAGCTAAGTGGGTCAAGCAAGCTAATCCAAAAATGGGTGTAATTCAAACTTAACTAATGCATCATAAATTAACTATTTAGCCCTTGTTCCTTCCTTTCCTGACAACAAATAGATATCTTACTAAACAATCGTTTACGAAATAGTGTTTGACATACACCTTTGCAACTGTATAACATCAATACCTTGAGCAATGATCAAAATTTTACGTATCAACAAAGTACTAAGATAGGTATAACGTAATAATTCGTTTTATGAATATCTTTTATGAGTATTTCGGTGAGATAGCTCTGCAACTACGTCAATCCCTTCTAATTTTGCTTTCCATATTTGCTTGCAAGTTTGTTTATAATGTTCATTACCTTCGAATTATTTTGATATTTAGAAACATTTTGTGGATTCATGCTCACATCCTGGAACGCGGCCATAATCTCTGGATCCTGATAGTAAAATATACGAGTATTGATTACTTTATTTGCATGTAATCGAGTATAAGTATGAATACTGTCTGAATATTTTAAGAGCTAAGTTAGAAATAATACGTTTCGAGAAGTATAATGATTTACCTGAAATGCAGCGATAATCTCGGGATCATTCAACATGGCATTAATATCAGGCATCTGACCTAATTTTTTTATGAATATTCAGTTCATTAGCTAAATTGCAAGGTATATAAATCCCATACAAATCAGTAAGGCTTAAATCAGCTGTAGTAGCGAAGACTTGCACCCGCAAACGATTACAACACAACCAACAGTAGATTATTTTGTAAACATATTGATGTTATACTATCGGACTGCAACAGTTATAAAATTCAAGATGTCATACCGGCACCAGCACCTGGCATTCCACCAGCCCCTGGAAATCCTCCAGCACCTAATAAATTTCGAATAAAACCTTAAATTTATGTAGCTACTTAATGACTACATCGTCAAATACTGCAACAGTAATAAAATCCAAGGCGTCGTACCGGCACCTGCACCTGGGAATCCACCAGCACCTAATAAATTTTAAAGAAATTCTAAAGTTTATGCAGCCACTTAATGAATAAATCATGAAATACTATAACAGTAACAAAATCCAAGCATCGTACTGGCACCTGCACCTGGGAATCCACCAGCCCCTGGAAATCCTCCTGCACCTAATAATTGCGAATAAAGTCCTAAATTTATGTGGCTACTCGACGGTTAAATAATGAAATATTAAGCCGAGCCTGCACCTGCTGCACCAGGGAATCCACCTACCAAAATTACAGTAAAATAATTACTATTGGAATATCCATGATGTAGATTAATATAATTTTCAGCCTTACATACCTGCTCCAGGAAATCCACCTGCACGCGAAAAGTCCGCATTAATCATTAAATGAGAATTAATAATAATCAAATTAGAAAATTATAACAATTCTACTTTACATACCAGCTCCGGGAAATCCACCAGCTCCTTAGAATTTAGAATTAATCATTAATATAGATATCTAAATAAGAGCCAAATCATCGACACCGGAGGACTAGGTGCCAAGCAAGAATAAGCAATATCTGTATCAAACTTTAATTACCTGCTCCAGGAAATCCGCCTGGAGTCCCTGATTCTTCTTCCTTTCTTGCTCTTTCTTCCTCTTCTTTCCTAGCCTTTTCTTTAGCCTCTTGAGCCAGTCGTCTACACGATAACGACACACCAAGCGATAAATTAAAGCATATTAGACTCTCGCATAGTTGCTCAGAGACCGAAATCGTTACATAACACGACATTTAATCACATACACTCTTTCCCTTCGTTCTTTTATTTCCTTTTCCGCCTTTCGACGTTCTATTTTACGTTGGTGCTCTTGAATGCGCTGAGCCTAGTCAATGTAAAATATTTATTTTATTCTAGTGCAACCAAATTATTTACATGTATGCATTGTTATAGTGAATCTGTTACCACAAGTTATCAATTTACCCTTGGTTGAACATAGTTTAAGACTTCTTGAGCATCTTCACTGAAATCTATCTTGACAGAAAGTCTTAAATCTGAAGCCGATTTGTCCCATTTACCTAACATTCTGCGATGTTATGAATTATATCATATCACTTACTAGCTTTATCGCATAATTCGTGGTTGTGAAGAAACTACAATCATTTATGTTAATAAACTACTATTTGCATAACTTACACGTATACGAAGAGCAGTTTACCTGTAAGCGATACCTCTCCACTTGTATGCCTGGGCTGAGTCAGGATTCAATTGAATTGCTTTGTCACAATCACGAATAGCTGCGTTTGGCTTTTTCGCTTTTATATATCCTCTAAGATTGAGAGGATAAAGCTATTTGTTACCATGTTATTTCATTACTTTGCCCAGCAACACAATTTGACATATAATTCTTACCCTGCACGCTTTGCAAATAAAGGCGCTGATTGTGGATTTAGCATTATAGCTTCTGCATAAAGTTTAATGCCTTCGTCGATATTTCCTAATTGTGAGATTTAAGAGTATAAATGATCAATTAACTGAGCATGTTATGTTAAATATCTTAACTCTAGTTAATCTACTAGCACAACATTATAGTACTAAAGATTGTGTAAGTCAGGAGATACCGTCAGCTAATGCAATATTTGCATTCTGTCTCTTCTCTGACGCTTCTTCTAGCATTTCCTCTGTGACCTATAATAAAATTAGCGAAGAGTATATGCCCATATACTTGTTAAGCAAACGCTAAAATTAGCCAAGCATACATCTGCATAACCTAGTATGCCTGCACAGTGCACTATACTGCGTATTATAAAGTACTTCAGAATTGTCCGTTAACCTCTTTAGAACCATCTCCCATAGGTTGAGGAGCATCATCGTCACCTTCAATGACACCTTCCGCTTCAATATCTAAGTCACTTTCTTCACTCTCTTCTGCCGGGGCCTCCGGAGGATTCTCTGGCGGACTATTTTCTTGGCTTGACTGCGTTAACAGAATCGACAATGATCACGGTTAATCCATAAAACAATGTCTTCCATTAAATTATCATAATAATGGTACAGCAAGTTTTTTAATCATAGAAATTACTCTCGACGCGCGTAATGCTTCAACTATTACAACTCATATTAGGCAAAAAATTTGGCATCAATCGTTTTAAAGACCATAATTGCACAAACAGTGGCAATTTCGAAACTACTGTTTATGGAAGGTAGTATTCATTCGCGACTACTTTTCTTTCAAACTTTCTGGGCATAAAATAATGTAATTTGCTGATCCAACCTGGCTTTCCGATTCATCATTTATGCTTTCCTCGACTTTCTCTTCTTCCGGTTCAGCCGCTTCAGGAATCTTACCACCCAAGCTACAGACGTATACCAAGCATAAAGTATAGATTTAGAAACATTCACTTACTGTTAAATAGTATTACTTACAAACGTATGCACGATGAGAAATGACCGTATGAGATTACAGTGACAGTTCCATTCTATTTTAACATAACATAATGGAATCTGACTGTCTGACATCGCATACAGCTGCACAGTTGCACATTATTACTATACAGCTTCAAGTGACTACATAAAATAAAATTAATATTATCGAGGGCTAAAATGTTTTCATTTCTATAATGTACGTAGTCCTATGTTTCCGTTTAAGGGACCTGCTGGTATCACTTCCGATCTCTTCAACTGAACTCTGGAGATGTTTACACTCGATATTGGACAACTGTATAATGTATATGTATGCCTCCACCGTAATCGAAAGTATCGACTTTTACTATACTGCATTTACTCCAGATAAGCTGTATTGTTAATGTGTAACATCTATTTTACTACCTTATTTGAAATAAAATTAATCAAGTGTATTCATTGCAGATGTGCTTCATTATTTCTCACCTAACAATAAAATCAGCAAAAAATTTCAATTCTGGAAGGCGCAACATCGCGGGATTATTTTTGCAATGGTCAATAAATTGCTCCAAAAGTCTGAGATGTTGGATCGAAGTTGCCATTTTGCTGATAATATCTGATTTGGATTATATTTAATAAACCTGTCGAAGAGTAGTTTCAGCGTTAAATCCAACGGAAGAAAGTCACTAACGAAGATTTTACTTACTTGTGAGAAGTTGAAATCGTGGAAGGATTGCTCGGCACAGCGGCGATTGCAATTGGTCCTCAGGTGCCACTACTCTTGCCTTTTAAGTTACTTTCGCAGTACTGTACACTGTACACTGTACACTGTACTGTACAGTATAATGTACTAAATCACTAAAATCGAATACAGTACTGTATGGTTCAATAGCACACTCTTAACGTGAATTTGCTCAAAGTGGCCTATCGCCTTTTTTCAATAACTGATCCAACGCCATTTTTTGCCACTTTTAAATGCATCAGTCTTTAAAATGGCCCTAGTTGACTTGACGTAAATAGAATTTCTTCATCAATATCCCGTGAAGTTGTTGGGAGTTTATTTTCCTTATTTATTTATTTTATTTTAAATTCTACATTACTGGAAGTTAAAATCCAGATTTTTGAATATACAGTACAGTGTACAGTACGTACTGTACAGTACACCACACTGTAGAACACGAACTGTACACTCTGAGTGTACAGTACGCATAGTTTAGTAATGTCATCCATGGGCGTGTTGTACGGTCTACGGGTATAACATGGTCTGTATGGTACTACAACATCATTGGCACTCAACATTAAGAGAAGGCTCCGATAAGTGGTCGAGTTACACTGTTGCTGTATGACCTGGTTCAAGACGACATCTACCTATGGTCCGCAATCTATGCTTTGAAGTTGGTATATTTTGAAGGCAGAATAAAGGAGCCATTTCTTGCAACGAAATCAGTTGGTTAATCCAGTGGCAGAAAGGCTTATTCCCTGCTTGTGACTAGGCCTGTTATACAAAGTTGAGCTATCTTGCCATTTAGTGTCAATGAAATCCTTGTAAGTATCATATAAAAAAAGTGATTTTATAGTTTACAATCATTCAAATTGTTCAAGCAATCACTGCACAAAGTGATAGTGTAAAAATAGAAAATACATACAGCAAAAGTACATAGTGAATGGAATCATCTCCATTACTGAAATATTCAAATTTCCACTCCAGGAACAATTGAAAGTTGTTCCAAGTCGTTCAAAAAATGGCACTTCTATCGTAATATACGCGTAGAAGATTTGGCAAAGTGCGACCAAGTACAGTCGATTCGATTCTTACTGAATCCTATAAATTAGTATTGGCTTACTTGTAGAGCAATGGTAATTGACAGCTTTTTCATGGGTTAGTAGTTTTGGAACCTGTTACGAATATTGAGTGTATCTTTTGACAGCGACTAGTTTGATATGTAAATACTCTTACGTGAGCATTATGTCCATCTCCAGTACAGCAACATTATTTTCGTATCAGATATTTTAATAGATAGTAGTATAAACTACTGTATTCGCACTTTAATTTTTAGTTACATTTTTTCCCAATGAAAGTATCTAAAACGAAATTGAAGACGCTGTATATTGTACAGTATATCACTGTAATGGTAAAGCTACGTAGATTCCACAGTACTATACAGTATACAGTTACACCTCTGATTCTCTCATGACTCATGTAACCGTCAATAAACATGGGATTTTAGGTTAAGAGTTCGAAAATTTCTACATTGTAGAATTAGTCAATACTTGAAAGTATACAAGCATGAAGTTATAATAAGATCACAACACACCTCTAACACCAATGAGATTCTTTGTACTATTGATATTTTTACTAGGGAGTCCTCCGACTCTCTGCTACGATACAGTTGTCGCCAATTTCGATACCACTGCGCAATTTTCAAAGCTTATTTTCTACTATTACAATTATTCGTAATACGAATCTATCGCCTTCATGCCAGTATCATTAAGTTAAAATTACGACAGTGTTCTCCATAACAAAGAAAACAACCCATAATAATATAGACGTTCAATACAGAATCAACTACAAATTGCGGACAAATGTATTATTATAGATTGTGATGGAAAACGTATAATAAACATTGCATTCTTTAATTTAATTCAATGCTGTGCATACACTTTACAGTATAAGGTATGTACATTATATAAACTAAATAACCTGAAGTATCCGTCCTTCGTAGAAAATTTAAAATACTACTCAATAATTCATACGGTAGAATATATCAATTGAACACTTATGTATATATTGTAATGGAGTGAATTAGCGGTAAAATAATCACAATTCTCCTATAAATGGTTTATTTACAGTATTACTATATTACTCTATACGTGAACAGAGCAAAGTTTGATGCCTTTTCTTCCAACAAATGTAAAATTACAGTAATACACGTTTAATGCACTTGGTGTGCAGTATTATAATGGACTATTAAAACACCTTTCTTCCAGTTCAAGAGCTGATACTACCTGTGTGAACCTTAGTGGTCTAATTAATTATTTAGCAATCTTGTATTATTATTAAATGATACATTAAACGTGCGTGTCTCTTTTCTTGTTTAGGTGTAAGAAGCACTTTATGAATATCTCTTAATTATGTCTAAAAGGTAAGGTCACTGTCCCAAAGAAGGGGTTTCGATAAGGTAGCTCCATAATGTTTCCGTTCCATTATCAAATATGTGTATAACAATGTATCATCAATAATATAGCCATTTATAACATCATGCGATAGTATTCCATAGCTAACTATCATGCTTAAGTAAAGAAATAATAAGCAATAACACAGTATCTTAAAGATGTCCATGTTCTTTAGAATATCGTAACTGAAATTATATCATGTCACGCTTTAAACTTGTACTATTCCGCCACAACAAGCCGAAAGCGATCTTCTAAAACATGTGCTTATTTAGACCAGAAATAACAATTGTTTCGGCAACGCCGATGGATGTATCTGCAATTGATTTTAAACAAAGTAATCACTCCAGACCTCCTCCGCCGGTGCCAAATGTTCCTCCTCCGAGTTCTACCGTACCCCCGGCTCCGCGTCGCCCGCCCCCTGTACCCAAACCTCCGACTAATAAGCCTCCTTTACCCAAGCCTCCGACTAATAAGCCTCCTTTACCCAAGCCTCCTTTACCCAAGCCTCCTTTACCCAAGCCCCCGACTAGCAAGCCTCCTGAAGCAACTACGCCTGCTATAGGAGAAAAGCCTACTATAAAACCAAGGCCGATCATAGCTCCAAAGCCTACTATCAACCCGGATCCAATACCGAAAGCTGAAGTGAAACCTGAGTTAAGCGATCAAAGAATTGAACCAACAGTATGTTATAAACTGCTCTCCATCCGTTTATTTATTAAATGAAACCACTTTTTGTAGTTTTCGGTTAAAGATAATCTCACTCCTTTTGCAGTCTAATGAGTCACCTCACAGTATTGAAGCACGTGAAAATAGTTTTCGGATGTCAAATACAGACTTAAATGAAGATACTACAACCTCCCCAAGTTCTCATCATAAAGTATTGCCTCCAAGGCCCAACAGTCGAGTCCTACCACCTCCACCTTCAAAGACTTTACCTCCACGGCCTACATCGAAACAAATAGATAGCCCTCATAAAGACAAAGATGAAGTTTCAAATGGCATCAAAGCAGATAAATCTAGTAAAGAAACTCCAACAGTTCCTAGCCCAGAGTCAGTAGTGTCAAGACCCACGAGTAGACCACCGACAGTGCCGGTACAATCTTCAGCCCAGAAGCCAAACTTTGGCATAACTAGAAATGAAACGAATCAGCCACCTTCACCTACCCGAAGACCTCCAGTGCCACAACAACCACCATCTCGATTACCACCACAGATTCCACAGCAAGATATCCGTAACTCCATGCCACCGCCTCCTCAAGCTCTACCTCAACGGCAATTGCGACAAGTTTCTCCGGACTCATCACCAAAGGCTGCTTTAATGATGGATAACGTTATGTCTAAGCAGCTAAACAGCTTTCAAAATCCTAACGATAAACCTCTAAATGCTCAAACCGATAACAAACCATCGAAACCTTTGCCGCCTAAAAGGCCACCACCGACAAGACAGTCAGTTATAAAATCACCTGAATCACCCGAAAACCCCTCACCGAATTTACTAGCGGATGCCACTGATTCAATGAGTGCTATATCAGGAAATAAAGATACGCGTACAGTTTCGCAAGATGATACAATTAAATTAAGTAAACCTCCGCCACCTGTTAAGCCGAAACCAAGGCCGTCAGTGCCCTTCAATTCGCAAGATCTTATTAAACTACCAGGTGCATTTACAGCGTGAGCACCGTATTAAAATACTATAACTGCAAAATATTTTAAAGGGCATAAAAATATTAGCATACATTCATGCAGCAGAATCTACTAGTAGTATCTCAGATTATACAGAATCTTTATCCCTGCACAAATTTTACATACGTACAATGGTATGCTGAATAAATGTTTAAGTACCGGTGATTACGCTATTTCTCGTACCCTAGGTCGATCGGAAGCAATCCCGCAGCAAGAATCTATAGTCAATGCAAACATAAATCCTTCACTACAAAGTTCTGAAACAGTAAAAGAAATCTCCAATTCAAAGAAAAAAGCACCACCTCGTCCGCCCATGTTTCAAGTCAAGCCTGGAGACAGTAAACAACAAAGTAAAACCGAACGAAGTAACTCACAATAAAATACCTATTTTGTGTTACACAATATCTGTTATACTAACCTGTATCTTTATATGAGATCAAGAATTATTTCGAAAGTTACGCAGTTGTACTTCTTCAGCTGCTGTTCATATTTTAAAGCCATGTTTAATGTAAGAAAATTATGTTATAGTAGATGGCGTTCCATTACAACAAAGTTCAAAAATGCCACCATCGAAGCCTCCAAGATCTCTGGCTATCATATCAAAAACAGGTTTCTCAAAACATTGAATCTTTGGTTTGAGAAGGAAATACTGTGATGTATATCTTTTCACTATGCGTATAATCAACGACCTATTATACTGTAGGAATACCGCCCTTACCAAAACGTCCTGGACCAGGACATCCCTTGTATCACTATGTGGTAAATACGTATATCGCATGATAACATGCTTTTGATTGAAAATGTTTGTTAGGTACCATTGAAATTGACACAATCATGCGCTATTATCCAACTCCCTTATAGGTTACAGAGCCTCATGCTATAGCAACATTCGATTTTTCAGCCCAGGATAACGACGAGCTGTCACTTCAAAAAGGAGATGTTATCATTTTACTGCAAAAAATAGACGATACGTGGTATATAGGCCGAAATGATCAAAAGAAAGGCATATTTCCTTCGAATTTTGTTCGAATTGTTAAGGACATTGGAACAAGACAAGCACAAAGCGATGTACCAGAAAAAGTTAGTAGCTAAACTAAAACATTGTAAATCATTTTAACGAAGTCAAACTTACTTTTCACCTTATGTTAAAAAATTAGATGAATGCCGAATTCGATAAACCATGTGCTGTAGCACGATTTGATTTTGACGCCGGTAACTAGTCTTCGAACTATTACTATACAAGCAAGATCTCAGCTAATTAATAATCAACTTTGTGATGATTCGATTAGTAATAATTTATCGTTTATTTAACTAAATTGTCTAGTAACAAAAACTTTTTTGATAATGTGTATACAATAACTGCATCTTCAACTTTTATATCACCATAATAACGTAGAAAATGAGAACGAGCTAGCATTTACAGAAGGTGACCATATTACGCTATTAAACTATGTTGGAGAGGAATGGCTGAAAGGACAACTTAATGGAAAGATTGGAATTTTTCCGATCGATTTTGTTCATATTCTTGTAAATATCACATCTAAATGTCTCTTACCTTGTAAGTTTTTTCTCTCTTCATACGTTTTCTTTCAATTTCTCTTTCATGAATTTGTAGAAAGACTTGTCTGAGCCACATGATGCAGCATCAGCGAAGTATGATAACTTTATAGTTGATCAAAAATAATAGCATTTGTCGTTTTCAAATTGTTACTGATGTCTTTCGACAGTATCGAACTTAAAACATACGTATGTTTTCTTTTCAGTGTTGACAGCACTGATTCTAACCCAATAAATAGCCAATTCGCTAATCCTAATAATCCGTCCATGTCAGGTACCTATAAAATTTATATCGATTTCTTATTCAATAATCTTAGTAGTTATGCAGCCATAAAATTAACGACCCAAATAAGAACCTAGATCTTCTACCTTAAATAAACACGTTCTAATTTACAGATAAAAGTCTTTGCAAAGCAATGTTTGACTTCGAAGGGAGTGATGACAGAGAATTATCGTTTAAGGTATCTGAAAATGATTTTTAATACGGACCACGATATATACTGATTTCTCTATAAATTAAAATAGCTGTAGAATGTTACATTTATGAGGGTAACTTCAAAGCTGCATATAGTCCTATTCTTTATACTTTCTATTGTTCAATGTACTAGGCGGGAGATATGCTTGAAGTTACTGGAAAAATCGATAATGAATGGGCAACTGGAAAGTTAAATCAAAAAGACGGAATGTTTCCAATTGCATTCGTTGACAAAATTCCTGATACATTATTGCTTGTTGCCAATAAAGAGGTATACGCAACTTAGGAAATTTGACGTGGTTGTAACAGTGCATTAAATTATATAGTAATAGCTTAATTTAGAGTTTATTCTAAAATTAACACCGCTTGAAAAGCAATCCTTTCATAACTATAAAAAGTAGTAAGCATACAATAGGGAATTCCCTCCAATAGACGTAGGCACTTTATTGTTACTAAGACATTCTGGATAATAATATTAGTACTACTAATGATTAATTACTGTCATATTTATACCGTATAGGTTAATCATCAGTTTCCGCGAGATGCTACAGCATTAGTACATAAGTTACATGTTTTAATGTAGCGTTACTGTATTAAGGCCTTTAAGTCTAAAAATCTTCATACTGTATTGATATTACAGGTTGGCGTTCCTCATTGCAAAGCAGTATATGATTTTAATGCTGAAGCTGATAATGAGCTATCATTCCGTAAAGGCGATATAATTACGATCGTAGCAAAAATAAACGACGAATGGTTAGAAGGCAAATTAAATAATCGCAATGGAATATTTCCTACCCAGTTCGTGGAAATTATTCAGGATCTGGGGGATAATGCAAAATCTGCCGGTAAAGTAGCAGGCAATTGATTTATGTAGTACTTTGCGATTAAAAATTGCTGTACTAGTGAATTACGAGAGTAGTTACTGCATTAAACGTAATGAAGTGCGTGCTCTAACGTTTATTGCAAAGCACTCATATTTTACCTTTAACTTCATTTCGTAATTGTGGCTAAAGGTTCTATTTATTTTTCACTTTAGCATCTAATAGTAACTTTAATGTTAAAGCTATCTACGACTTCGATGGCCAAGATAGTACTGAATTATCATTTAAGGTCAGTAAATGCAAGTTTTTTAATATTTTAAAATGTTATCATTAGTTAATTTATTTTATCAATGAGAGCCTTAACGTAAGTTTTATGACTGTAGATCCATCTTAATTGCATATCGTAGTTTCCTAGTTTGTAATATCACATAAAGACTCGTAATATTTTTATGAATAAATGCATATATATGCCTACTTGAGAAACTGAACTTTAAAAAATACTATTGTAGTTAAAACAATGTAACCTGGCGCATATTGTCTCCAATAGGAAGGTGAATACATTACTGTTATAGAAAAAGTAAACGACGAATGGTTACTAGGAGAAATCAATGGACAAAAAGGCCAATTTCCTATTGCTTTCGTGAAAATATTTAATAGACAATGAAATTCAGGACTGAAACGTGGATTATTCATGTAAAATTTGATCCTTATGAATAGAAATCGTCTTATTGATATCGTTACTGAAGGTTAATTATATCATTACTGGAAAAGTGACGTAAAGTGATTCAGTGGATGTCATGATGATGTTTAAAATCGGCATCTCTTTAATACTGCCTCTCTAATTTATTGATATTATTTTTATATTAGCTACTGTACACTCATGCATATTTTGCATTAAATTTAGTATTCCCCTTTAGCATTGTACATACATATATGGTAGCCATACTAACAAGGGAAATGATATACTATCTTGTAAACTTGATAAATATTTTTTTTACTGACAGTTTATTATTGTTATATTAACTATTTTTTATTTTATCTTTGCCTGAACTAAAAGTTTGATATTTGCTGTAATGCAAGTCGTGTTTAGAATAATTCCTGGGTAGTAAGAATATTATTATATGTCGTCAATTTTCATACCTGAACTAATGAAAATTTTGCTATCGTAGTGACGACCTAAAAATCGAAGTAATTGAGGCTAAGTATGATAAACATTTTTATTGAAGATAATATGAAATTATCACAGCTTTTTATATCACCCGGGCGTAATTATAGATGGAGTGAACTAATACATCATTTGAATACTAGGTATACTAATTCACTGTTGGTTAATTAATAATTAATATATGTAACATCATTGTATCTTATCACTGTTTAACGGAGCTATACTGTATGGAAATCTCAGTAAATTAACTCCAATGAATAATGCGATAATTCAACATACTTGTAATCCATAAATTTTGCTGCCGTATTACGACATTAACAAAATATTGCTATATCATAAGTATGTGTACTAAGATTGTACTAAATGCTATGTATAAGTAGCATTTATTAAAAGAGTTCTAGTTAAAACTTAAATTTATCAAAAGGTGTAAAATGGTTATCATATAAATTATGTAAAATATATGGTAAAAGATATCGACTTGAGAAAGCTATTATTGTTTCGTAAGTCTACGGCACCCAATTCATAAGCTTAAATCTTGATAAAAAGAGAAATTTACTGCAACAATCTATTGGTGAACAATATTTCACCTAAGAGTGATAGAAAAAATAAGATGAATTTTTCGACAGTATTGATCTCACAGCGTACAGTTAGTGTTAAATTTACGAATTAATCAACTTATAATGAGTAATTATATATACAAGAAAATGAGAAATGTATATGGGTCTTGCTAGTATAGCTTTTATAATATATAATCGGCAACGGTTTCAGACCTTGCAACCGTCTAGACCTGAATACAATAATAAATCTACCGATTAAATATTAGAAATCAGTTTACCACTAACGCATTAAATTATTATCTCCGTGGATAGAAAAAGTTCACGCTGTCAATTTTATTCGTAAATGCATTATTGATGAAGAATCTAACACCTGTTACAAATATATTTATTAGTAACATGTTTACTTCATACATGTACCAGCTGTAAAATTGTTCCGTTGTTAAGAAGCTAACATTTCAATAGCTATTTAAACCAGCATTTGAACATTTTTAAGCATATTTCAGTCCACTTTGTGGTGATTGATAATCAACAAATATTTACATTTGGTACAACCTACGTTATTAAGATGAAGATTGCTTTTATATTTCTTATTGTTTTAGCTTTAAGTTATCATATATTTGGTAACCCTATCAAAGACCATGATTCCTACAGTGGAGGTAAATAATAGCAATTATCTGTACACAAATAGTCCACGCATAGTTCGAAGTCCTTTTTAAGATTTTAATTTAATCCAATTTTATTACGAAAGGTATATTTCTATTTACTGAAGAATAAGATTTTGAATCGCGTCACATACATTGGTTATTGCCTATCGTAAAAATTTCTATGATTGAATAATATAATATGTTACTATTTTATCTCAATTCCAAGGTTACGGCAATGATAGGCATAAATCCAAAACGAAAGGAATAGTTTATAAAGAAGTACGTAAATACGTTAAGAATGATCACGCCAGGCCATACTACAACGTAGGCTACAAAGGAAAGAAAGGTTATGACGACTACTATTATATTGGTAAGAAAGATTACGACGATTATTACTATGGAAAGAAAGGTTACGACGATTATTATTACGGAAAGAAAATGTATAATGATTATGATAAAAAAGGAGGCTATAGTAATAATTATTATGGGAGAAAGGGTCATGATGACTACTATGGAGGGAAAAAAGACTACAATGATTACGGAAAGAAAGATTACGGCCAAGAAGGATACTACTATGGTTATTACAAACAAGGACAAGACTCCCATGGTAAGGGTAAATCTGGGCGTAATTATGGCTACCAAGATATTTATGGAGATAAAAAGCATGATTATGATTACTATACTGAATATTAATCGTTCTATTACTTAAATGACTCTAATTAACCTAGAATTTAGACAAAAATAAAAACAAGATTTATTCACAACAATTGACGAGTAAATTTTTTACTCATTTATAGCAATACGTATAGTCACGGACATTTGACGATAGTGAAATACAGTATAAGCATATCTTTACTTCTGTTGTAATGCATCTGATATATGGACGAATGATGCTACTTCATGATTTGATATATAGTTACGCTTTCAGCAACAACTAAATTGTGATGGAATAATAAACACAAACTTTTCATAAAGTCAAACTACTCTCTCTTTTGGTCATACTATTTCACAATATCAAAAAGTACAAGTGTATTTTCAAGGTATTATCTCTAACTACAGTAGTTCAAAAACGACTTTTCAAGCCATAAAAGGTGTATTAATGGCTGAATACATGTATACTATTTGTATACGTTTCACAATCGAAAACATTACATAACTAAACTCTTATATGAATCAGGTACACGCATAGGTTCCATAGGTTAAGATTTTCAGACGATGTCAATTGCCTTGATATAAAGTTTGACAATAGTTCTGAAAAACTAGACGATATTTACATTGTAATTAAATAAGGCAAAAGTACTGTATACCTATATGGAAATTGCAAATGTGGTTTCTGTAGTTTATCACAACACGTACTTTGGGAAACTTATCAAACATCTGATAATAAAATAATTATAATATATTGAATACTATATTTTCTCGTAGCCAACAGAGTCTAGCTATACCTATATATTTTCAGTATGTATTTACCGCAGATTGAAGCAATAAGAAGATAAATTGCTAACAGAACTCTTAGATTAAGTAAAAGTTTGCAAAGTTTAAGAACTCACTTTTTTATTGAAACTTTTATCTCGTTATTGAGTACAGTTTAGTTGCATAACGATATCAGGTAACAGAAGTCCCTAACGATGTACACAAATAATATGACTAACCATGCAATATGAGTTATATAGCTGCAACGTTCCTGTTAGTCAACTGTTGGTTCATTAAATGATCAATTCATTTCCTTGATTGACGCAGTACATGATAAAAGTTGGTAAATGTTTTTACAATAAGAGTTTCATACATTTTTAAGCAATCATATTCTGATAGATAGACAGATACACTATAGCATCGCATCTCAAAGCTCCTGAAATAGCAATCGCGATATGGAAGCTGAAAACTTGATTAAAATGCCTTTACATTAAGTAATCTTTAAAGCGCATGAACGCAATCGTGTATAGTACTATGTATTTATCCTTTAAGGTTACGAGCTGGCACATCAACCTAAGTATCTAAAGTTATAGTCAACATGATATTTCAAACCTCACGCTAAGGCCAGGTAATGACTTTAGCTTTGGATAATTTTTTCGGCGGTGCCTCATCCTGTAAAGAAGAGTTGATAAAACAATTCCTAGTTTAATATAGTGGCCAAAATTACCTTTTCTAAAGAAGTTTTCATCACATCATTAGAACTTAGCGCCATTTATACGTATTTATAGGCATAATAGCAATCTGGCACTCTGCAATTACATTGCTATCGCGGTTCAATACCACAAACCCTCAAGATTAGCATAAACATACTGGAGTAAGCGCTTTCCTCTTCGCATGTACACTTGAAGGCCCGTCAAGATTCATATTATTATTAGGACTAGAGGTTGATGGAAATTGTTGAGAGGTGCTAGTTCGATTTATTGTAATATTAGTGTTATCTGCCATCCTCACAATCTTAGCTTCTTTTGGATTGTCGTCAGGGCTAGAAATGGTTTGATTTTACAAGTCGAAACATTATATAAGAGATTAACCATGTCTGATACGTATTAGGAATTTTAGAATAGAATATACGATCTTAAATCTTGCAGAATATGAGATTATTACATATCAATGCACAAAAACCCAACCAGAATTTATCATACCAAATTACAATCGTTATTCAATATGATTTTAAACTTTTAATATAGCGCATATACATACTGTACTAAATATAACTGAAATAATCTTTAGGTTGTACGTAAATCTGGTACCAGCGATAGTAGTAAAAACGCAATGAAACAGTAATACACAATTACTGAACCATTAGCCCTAGCCATTTTGCATAAATTACCGTACTTTGTACACTTCGTTTACTGTAAGCTGTCTTATTGATACATTCATTAGACATTACTGTACTGTATACCTCGTATTATGTAGTAATATTAATTGTACGCTAGCGCAACTTACGCCATTGTTCCCTGTTGCACGACTTTCAGTGCCCTCTTGCGTTGACTATTGATTTGATGATTAGGTTTACTTGTATTGTCAATAAAATCACTTGTTAGATCGCCATTATGAACATCATGACGATTGGAAGTTCTACCAAGCGTAGAATCCTCATCATTGATCCAGTTGGCAGTCGCTTCACCTGTCGTAAATAGCTGAGAGTTGCATAAATTATCCGCTTGATTTGTGGATGGCGTAGTAAGTGAATGATCAGATTGATTTCTAGCTTGCAATTGCATCGATAATGGACGCTCTGATCGTTTAGCTCGAGGCATAATATATTGTTGGTACAGTTTAAGAAGAGCAATCTTATCCAGACTACGATCAACGCTAATTCCTCTCTGATCAAAGATTGTTAGCAAATGCTGCCTTGATAAAATGTGTGGGTAGACGAGGAGTGATGCAGAATTGAAATTGCTACATTTTTGTACATCGGTATCATTATTATGATCACTGTCCATCCTCTCAGCTAAATTGGAATATTCCTTTTTGGCACAAAGCCTACCTGGATAGATGGTATGGCTAGACTTAGTGGCAGCATCCTCTGCCTTTGTACATTGACCACTGTTGGTATTTTTGCAAAATTCAACGCCACTGCTAGATGGAAGGTGGGTTCTGTCAATTTTGAACATTCCATTATTTGCCATTGCTATCTTATTATTCTATTATACTGTACAGTACTGTACAGTACGGTGTACAGTACAAGCGTGATTATTTTCGATGGCACCCTGAAAACATACAAGCTAAATCAGGCCCAAACTAGATAAGTTCTAAGTTCTATATTTGGTTGTAGCCTAATAGTTCATGTTATCATGATAATCTATCTTGGGAGATATCCTTCTATGGGTATATATAAATACTATACAGGAATTTCAACGGAATACAACTTGGATTTTTGAACGAAGAATAGACATCGAAAATAATCAGATTGTACTGTAGAGTATAATAGCACACTACAGTACTCTACTGTACTGTACTGTACATACAGTACAGCAGACTCTGGAAAACGTCAGAGCCAACCCTAATCAAGCTAAGCAGTTCAGTTCAACTATTATAGCGTTTGTTTTTAATTCTATTTTTAGCTTAGATACTTTTTATTGGTTTATTCTACTGTAATTCTATTGTACTGTACAGTACATACTGTACGGTGTACGGTACAGTATAATAGCCGTACTGTGCGTCAGAGCCAACCCTAATCAAGTAAGCAGCTCAGTTCAACTATTGTAGGTCGAGTCAGACACTAAGCTAGCTTATAATAACCTGCTGTGCTGACGTGTTGAACTACTCACCAAGAGGCAAGAGGTGACAGTGAGGAGATTGCCAATATTGCATCTGCCATTGATTCAATTTTCACCAAATTTCGCCTAAGAACTTCAAAGGTATCTCTCGAATCAATTCTCTTCTTCTTCATCATTGATTGAATAAATTTCTACAACAGTCCAGTAAATGCTGTACTAGAAGATAGTAAATTGAATTTTTGTTTTTGTTCTATACTTGGAGACTTGTTAAATTGAACTTTCAGTTTTCCCATTTTCATCTACTGCACATTGTACAATACGGTATACCTACTGTACTGTACAACTGTCCACTTGTATGCAGCATCTGCTTCTCGTCATCATTCACTTCATTTCATTGATTGTGGTAGCGATTCTATGAAATGGTTTACTAGTCAAATAAGTAGTAAAAACAAATCCATAAATTAACTACACTATTTCCTTAATGTTTTACTTCCATCATTTGAAGAATTTGCTGTTATCCAAATTATCTTTATTGCTGTACCCGAAGAAGAACAATAATAATAATAATAATAATAATAATAGTAATATAGCAATAATTGTACGATCTGCATAGAAATGATAAATAACATGGTATTGATCATGGATAATACAAGATTTATGGATAACAGTCGTGAAAAAGAAAGAGTAATGAATTATAATCTATTAATTCCTTTATCCAAGACGACTCGAGTAGAGACTTTTTGCCAATTTTTGAGTACTTTTGAAAATCAACAAATTCAGTACCATGTCATACCTAACAGATCTATCCATCAAGTAACTAGGAAAACAACAAATCGATCGATTTCGATCCTACTGTACAGTACTGTATTTATAGAATTTATTTAATAGAGACTAGAGGCCTCTTCACTCTCTATAATAATTATTATTATTGCACACAAACAAGCTTGTCTAATATGACAGTAGCGAATCTCATCGCTATATTAACGTTGCATATGGTTTAATTATAATTTCCCCTTTTCAAATACGTAAATCACGTAAAAATTCCATCTTACGTATTCTTCTTCACTCTTGCTGATGTAGACAGTCGCGGTTTTATCGGAGCTATTACGAAATTTTTTTTTGGGGGGGGGAACATTTAAATGGCTGTCTCGTCTCGAAACCTTCTTTTGATATATTATTTGTCCAATTTCTTTTTATCAAAATAAATATTCAGTACATACAGTACTGTACTTTGACCATGGTTGCCTGAATGAAGTTGACAAGTTGACTGAAAGACAATCCTCAAGAAAAGTATGCACACAGCAATTATCGTGCTTGACAGTATTACTACTCGTATGTATTGAGGTGTATTAGCAGAATCAGAAACTACCCACTGATTGTTAACATAAAAGTGTTTTCTCTGAGAAATTTCCCTCACAGAGATCGATGAATTGACGTACTTTCGGTCATAAAAATTATACTGTGCAGTACACAGTGTACGAGCCGAAAGTATATAAAAGTTAAATTTAAATACTTAATACGCTTCTACTACTGAAGTTAAATATTCTAACATACACACATAACATAGATACGAGTACAGTTTACCACAGACTGGTTGGTTCTTGTGTAATTTAACATCGTAAAATCGCTCACATTCGTTCGTTATTCAGATAATGAACTGTAACGTAAACATGGTAGCTTATTGTGGTCAATAGGAGATTGCGTTGAATATTTATCGTGAGGATAAAATAGAATACTAGTGCAGTATTCACCAACTGTATTTTCTCCTTTTACTGGCATGCATAATAATGGGCGCTATACATGCAATGTCGCATGTCACTATAAGACACATTAAAATGACCTGTTTTAGTAATCTTAAAGTATTATCAGCTGCGTTACATTACAAGCTATAACCCTACTAATGATTTTACTCTTAGCCATTACAACGAATCAGTAATATTGTACTAATTTTACTTACATTAATTAATTATTATAATGAATCAATAAAGTTGATCCTACTAGGATATCCTTTTATTTTCCTTCCTAACAATCATTTCTAAAGATATCTGATAGATCTTATTGTTCTTAACCTGATCACATCTTTTTTGCTAGGTAAATTATGGATGGAGGTCGTCTAGTATGGGCTCCGGATGAAAAAGAGGGATTTACTCTAGGAACGATTGTCGATGTCGGTACGGAAACATTGACGATACAGCCTAGATCCTCTTCTTCGCAGGTAATTGCTATAGGGTATTATTTTAAATAAGAATACCGTGTTCTAATTGCCAAATACTAAAAATTTCCATTTGGCAACTGAAAAGTAACTAATTCACTAGTTTTATATATTGTAACTGAATATCGGATGAAAATTTTTTTATGGCCGCTTAAGTTCTATTATTATTGACCGTGCTCTAGCTATTAACATTATACTAGAGCAGTTTCTCTTTGAAGTGCAGTAGTAAAATATGCCTATGCTAACGACCTTGAAAATTAAATTATAGACCATCCAGGTACCGTATAACCGTTTATTCTTAGCCGATGAAGACGATTCTCGAACTGCAGATGACAATTGTAAGTGTCAATACACGTAACGGTGTAGGATCCCCGACTGTCATAATACATCAATACAATCCTTACTGTACAGTACTGTAGTTATATTAATATTTACAAACTTGATATCTTGACTTTACATGTACATTCAAATTCTGCAAAAGATTCAATAATTCTTTGTTACGTTATGCTTTCCTGCTTAAACTTTTAAATACTAGCTACTACTGTTTTTATTTAGCGACTATAAGCGTTAATGTTATATTATAGCTACATATAAATTAAGGCTTTGATTTTCTGACAAATTTCATTCCAATTTTCTCTTACATATTTCCTTAACTCGGAATACGTATAGTTAGTCCGGTTAATTGTCTATAATTCAATTCGTATTGTTGTAATCTTTAGTCTTTTAAATTCAAAAGGAATTTCGGTCACATGAACCTAAATCGCCTTCAATTCTCAATACAAACAGTCGTATTATAGTCCTACATTTCTATTCTATCAAAATTAGGCAAAAATATATTAACTGCTTTTCTTCATTAAAATTTAAACCTCGTATGTCGTATTCTCTCATACATTACGTCTTTAGTACACTAGTCAATCGGGAAGGAAAAATTGATATTCCTATGATATTCCCATAAGAATTGAACGATGTTCTTGATTGTCATCAAAAGACATTTAATGTATTGATATAACGTCAAACATTGCTTTCTCACTTGCAGACTGGTAACTCGTATATAAGACAGGTTGCTATCCTCGATTGCGTAAATAATATAATTATCCTATACCAACTGGCTCATCTAATAGCTCTGATGAACTATTAGTTACTAACAACTAAAAGTACATTGCAGCTACTACTATTGTAAATATTAATTTCTGTAAGAAATCTGTTTAAATGAAATTTATCATTCCATACTCCCTGAGTACGATTGAATTAAGTTTTTACCTATCATCACATAAAATATCTCATATGCACATATTTTGATTGATCTAACAATACAACATTACGCTTATGTTGTTGATACAATTAATCATGTACGAATATCTAATTATCTATTCATTGAGCGGGTACACTAGAGACCTTAGAGGGTTTCTAGGGTACACCCTATAGTACCTGCATATAGTGCTTTAATAGCTGTACTGTATAGCTATAGTAATTCCCTAACTAGCCTAAGATCCAAATATAGTATTTCATGCATCGGCGAGCAAACGCTATGATAATAATGAATAGCTTCTGTGGTCGGCTGAAAATATAAACTAGCTGAAATAATTAGCCCATAGTATTATAGCATGTAGCACAGAGCTTAAAGTTCGCTTCCGCTACCATCGCTGTTACTCCTTGAATTAGTTAGATATCAATAGTTGAAGAGGAGTAGAGAATCACAAATTTACCTGTATCAAAATTAATTCACTAGCCGCATCTTACTAATTTCGCTTTGTTCTCTTACTTCAGGTTCGCTAATGTATCTAAACGAAGCTACTCTGTTGCATAATTTGCGATTAAGATACCATACCGATATTATTTATGTAAGTTCTACGTATTTATATAAAAAATAAAATTTTCCAACCTTTATCGGTAACGTTTGAGTAACTAATTAATTAATAACAATGCACAATTTTAAGATGATTAATGATAAAAGTAATTCTTTATTTTTTAGACATTTGTTGCAAACATCTTGCTAGCTGTTAACCCCTATCATGAACTAAAAATTTATGATGCCGAACATGTCAAACGGTACCATAATAAATCATTAGGGCAACTTCCGCCTCATATCTATAGTATCGGTAAGTTTCTTTTTCTAGTCGGGCTACTTGAGTTGAAAGTGATCGTATAGATAATCGCTTGCAAACTCTAAACGTAACTTTACTTCGCATTTATACAGCACAATACTAAACTAACCTTCTTAACAATTAAAAATACAGCCGATAAAGCGTATCGTGATATGAGAATATCCAAGCAGAGTCAATCAATTATTGTTAGCGGTAAGTTACTCATTTTGATTGTTTTACTAACGTAACAACTCTAATATAATCGATTATTCCACTCTTTACTAATATTAAAGGTGAAAGTGGAGCCGGGAAAACTGAATCGACTAAATATATAATTAGGTATACAATCTACAGGCAATAATAAATAGAGGCCTATCGGTTAAGTTCTCTGTATTCTGAAAAGAATTTAGCGTACTCGCACTGCATCTACATACGTAGTGTGTAATTTATAACTTTCTAAAATTACTTGTTTAATTATATTTAATTATTGTCTGTCGCTCATCTTTATAGATATTTAACTGAGTCATGGGGTCAAGGCGCTGGAACCATCGAGCAGCGTATTGTGGAAGGTAGTCATATTTCGACGCTGATTTATGCTAGATGATGCTATGAACTACTTACTGTTCGCTACTTCAAAATTTCAAGGAAATAATTATTTGATTAATAATTATAATTCAATATACCAGATTAATAGTTATCCGTACAGACATATAGGCATGAGCATCACACTGAATCACCTAAACATATTTGAACGGTATATTATAACGTTTTATTGCCCTTTCATAGCAAACCCTCTTCTGGAAGCCTTTGGAAATGCCAAAACTGTACGAAACGACAACAGTAGCAGATTTGGCAAATTCGTTGAAATTCACTTTGATAGTCAGGTTTGATATTGCTTTTTTAAACGAACTTATCGTACGTGCGGAGCGTATTCTCAACGTTAACAAAAACAATTTCTAAAATGGATTATAATAAATTATATCATACTATAGTCAAGCGTAGTAGGTGGCTTTATTTCGCATTATTTACTCGAAAAATCGCGTATATGCGTCCAGAGCAAATATGAGAGAAACTATCACATCTTTTACGCTCTTTGTGGAAGCTTGCCAGATGAACAGAAAAAGAAGCTGTACTTGAAAAATATCAGTGATTACAAGGTTGATAGCTCAAACGTTTTCATTTCGCTTAAACTACAGCAGTGATAGTAAAAGGAATTACTACTCTTTACCGTTACGCCATATCAACATTACAAATAGAATTTATCTCATCTCCATCATTAGCCAATTCGTATCTTTTCGTTAATATCAAATTTGAGCCGAGATAATCCTCACAAACTTATTTTTTGTTTTATAGTATTTAAATCACGGTGATGTCGATATCACTACTAGGGATAATGTCGGAGACTTCAAGCGCATGGAAGCTTCTATGAACAAGTTAAACATTGACATAACTGAACGATTCAATATCTACCGTCTGGTATCAGCCGTTTTACAATTAGGGAATATAACATTTGAGGAGGATCTTTCCGATAGCAGAGGTACAATAGAGTTGCCTTTAAACAAATTTTGATTATAATTTGGTACTAGTACTCACAACGTGATCGATTGGTCATCGTTTGAATTTTTTTAGGTGGTAGTAACGTATGTGATGAATCAAAATGTTATCTTCAAAATGCAAGTCGTCTTCTCTGTCTTGATGAATCTGATTTAGCAAATAGTCTAACTACTCGTGTTATGACTACTGCTAGAGGTGGTACGAAAGGGACTGTTTACATGTATGTTTCATAATATTATCCACATTTTATTAACTCTTTATAGTTTTTCATTTATTTATTTAAAGCGGTAACCTCCTATGATTACCTAATTGCACTTATATAATAGGGTTCCGCTAAAACCTGAGCAATGCACAAATGCCCGTGATGCTCTCGCTAAGGCAATTTATTCCCGTCTATTTGATGCGGTTGTTGGTAGAATCAATTCATGCATTCCATTCAAAAGTACCTCTAATTATATAGGAGTACTAGATATCGCAGGATTTGGTAAATATGCATTGTTACCATTGCTTGTCGTAAACAGCCGGCTACATGTTAAGATTCGGTTAAATATTTATTATTTTACAGAATATTTTCGCTACAACAGCTTTGAACAATTCTGTATTAACTACTGCAATGAAAAACTGCAGCAGTATTTCAACAATAGAGTCCTAATCGAGGTTCGAAATAACGCACTTCATACTTAATTCCCGTAGCACTGAAAACGTTCAACCATTTTGTACAGATTATGAAATTCGGATATGTTCGCATTAAGTACAAAGATTTTATATAACATTAGGAACAGAAACTCTATGAAGTGGAAGGGCTCGGAATCTCGCCTGTTTCATTTACGGACAACCAAGACTGTATAGGTAACAATAATTCGAAATACGATCTTCAAACGTTCCTTGCTGTAACTATATTAAACCTCTAGGAAGTCCACTAACTTACTAAATATAATATAGAGTACTGTTAATTAACCAGCAGTAGCTCTTAGCATTTCCATTGCTTAATTAAATATCTTTAATATTGCAATAGATATTATCGAGGCTAAACCGAACGGTATATTTAATTTATTGGATGAAGAAAGCAAACTACCTAAAAGCAGCTGTGAACATTTTACTTTAGCAGTACACGAACGTTATGATGGACACTTTCGGCTGATGGTATTGCACTATTTTAGTCCTTAAGAAATGCCTACAACAATATATCTTAATTAATATAACTACTTCGAACTAGGCACCAAGAAAATCAGCTGTATCTACTTATAGAACATTACGTAATGAAGAAGGATTCATAATTCGTCATTTTGCTGGCGCTGTTTGTTATGCAACTGTAAAGATTTTCTCCTTTTATCATATCATATAGAATTCAATAGATAAAATACTAATTTGCCTATAATAATGGTACAATATGCAGTATTAAAATGCTTTAATTTTATGGCAACTTAGAGACAATTTATAGAAAAAAATAACGATGCTCTTCACACCAGTTTGGAAATGTTAATTCATGAAAGTAAAGACTTATTCTTGAAGGGCGTATTTTGTCGCGAAGTTGAAAGTGATAAACCAAAGTCGAAAAAAAGTAATACGTCAAAACTTGCGCTAGTTAGTGTTGGCAATAAATTTAAGGTAAAATTTAGCAAATTTTTGTATACTTTGCTGTAAAGCATGTTTCTTCGTCCTTCTAATATACAATCATTTTACATCACGCTATTTTATCGTTCCTGTAGACACAACTAAAGGAATTAATGAGCAAGTTAGAAAGCACGGTAAAAATGTTTTTACGATCTGTATCAAATGCTTAGAACTCTAAGCTGTTGGAACAATTTGCTACCAATTTATGCCTGCTATCGAAATATGTTCAAGCTAATCTAAACTCACATTGCAGGGATCATCCTTCATACGATGTATCAAACCTAATGGAACTATGTCAAGTAATGTATTTGAAGGCGGCAGTGTATTAAGTCAACTTCAATGCGCAGGTAAATTTTTATGTACTCTGATATTAACATTAGATAAGGCTTTTACGAACGTTCCTAAGCTATTTATTGCTAGATAAAAAAGGCTAAAGAATAGTAATTTATTTCTGATACGCATAATTATTATACAGGGATGGTTTCTGTTCTAAAGTTAATGCAGACCGGTTTTCCATCACGTACTTCGTTTAAAGATCTTTATCAGAGGTACTAGATAGTCTGATACTAATCTTTATCATTTAATCCACCCTAAGAACGTCAAACCTAATAATCGGTGATAAGGCGACTCTAATGATTTATTAATCCTTTAATGAATCCACTAATTTGCTTATGCTAAAGTAAAATTGATCCACAGATAGTGACTGTATAAAAATTATTTCAAATGGAGTTATTTGCACGTAGTCTGTATTCTGTATCTATAATATCATAACTGATGCAAAAGCAGGACATAAATTGTATCTATGATAAATTTTATTCAAAAATTGCTGCACAGTCCAGTAAGTAATTATAATTGCAGGTAACATTTATGAAGTTCATACCAACTCATAATCACTGTAGCTTACATTGGATTTTTAGTATACTAAACTAAACTTACATAAATGATAGATACAAGGGAATTTTACCAGAAAAACTTGCTTGTCTCGATCCTAGATTATTCTGCAAGGTTGGAAAATACTGTAGTTCAGGCTTATACTAGCCAAATACATGATTTAACAATTTTTTTATTGCAATATCACGCAGGCCCTTTTTCGAGCAGTAGGAATGAATGATCAAGATTTCCAGTTCGGATTAACAAAAGTATTCTTTCGCGCAGGAAAGGTAGATACAGAAAATAATAGTTTTTGTCACGTCTAATTTGCAACTATACGCTGTTAATGTATAACGTTTTCTATCAAAGTTTGCAGAATTCGACCAAATTATGAAATCGGATAATGAAAGTTTAAAACAGATGGTGGCTAAGGTTGAAAAATGGTTGATTCGAGCAAGATGGAGAAAAGTGATTTGGGGTGCTTTATCCGTAATAAAATGTAAGTAAATCTATAAGATTATAAAAATCCTATCGCAAGTCTAGTTTCTTATTATATCTTATTTAAATGACCATGCATTACACTACTTCCAAATATCGTGAAGTAAAATGTGAGAATACGTATTACTGACATTGTATACTTCTACTGCATGAGTAATTAATTATAAAAAGCGAAATTTTTTTACCTGTCATACGATAGTACACTTAAAGATTATGTACCGAAGACATCATTGGATTGTAATTCAAAAAAATGTTAGAACATTTCTTGCTATCCGTAAGCACAGACATAGGTAATTCATGAGGATAAAGGTGTTTACTAGCAATACTGTACACGATTATTACCATATTTAAATTCCGAATTATCAACTCCGATAGATACAAAGGAATGGCAAAAGTAACAACTCTATTCGACTTGATAAATCAAATGGAAGAAATAGGTATATTATTAAACATAAGAATGAAAAATATAGTGCCGTTGATGGAAAGTATATACAAATAGAACAATCTATCATTATGTTTCTATTGACACCTTTTATCCAATAAATTCAGCACGTGAGTTAGAGGGAAACCATTACTTGAATCAAGTACAAGGTCTGGATGTAAAGATTAAGCACCTAATACATGAGATTAGGGTACGAGCGTAGTAAGACGATATACCTAAGCAATTTATTATTCTTTACCATGCACATAAATACATTTATGAACTTGCTTACAGAATAAGCAAATCGACGAGAATCATATCAATAATAGTTATGATTCGCTGCTGAAAGCAACGACACAGCAATTAGAGGACTTAAAGATACAACTCAAAGATCAAAGAATTGCCAAAGAAGAGGAGAGAGTAAGAAAATTACAGGAGCAAATGGAACTTGAAAGAAAGCGTCGAGAAGAAGAAGAAGAAAAGAAAAGAAAAGAAGAAGAAGAGCGTAGAATGTTAGCAAAACTGTTGGATATTCTAATTGCGTCACCAAATATATACATCTCATATTATCATAATTAAAAATTACAGAAAAGAAGACATGGAAGCGAAGAGAAAACAAGAAGAAGAAGAAATGAAAGTAAGAAAATTGAAAGAAGAAGAGGAGATGCGAAGATTAGAAGATTTACGAAAGAAACGTGAATTGGTTCGAAAGTTGCTTTCCTATATTTTTTATTTCAAATATACCTGTTTGATAGATTCAAAGTTAAAAGTTATACTCAGAACTATGAAACACCTGAATTAGGAAGAGCAGGAAGCCCGAAGAAAGCAAGAAGAAGAAGAAGAGCGAAAGAGGTTTAAATTAATAAAATAGCATAGTTCAACTGCCTATTGTAGCAAACTCATCCTTTACCAAATTTGATCCACTACGAGTTCGTTAACTGCTAACTCAATGTACGTAGTACTTACCATTAAATAACGATTAACTTTATCTTAGACGCTTAGCTGAGCAAGAACTTCATGATCGAGAACTTGCAGCTAGAATAGCTGCGGTAAATGACTTTATAATTTTATTATTATTCAGGACCATGTATTGTCTACTCTACTAAATGAAACTTTGAACTCACTTTTCACAGGAATCAGGTGGTAGTGTTGTTAAAGAAAACTCCAATACGTTAAACCGGTAAATATATTTGTAACGTATGCATAACGAAATATATATCTGAATTCAAGTTAAATGTATGTCTCTTTATATTGGTGATAATCAAGAAGGACTGGATTAAATCTTTAACCAATTTACGATAATTTTTATTTGCTAATGTCCTTGATTTACCAAAAGGAAAAAACCTGAAAAGAATGATTTATCGGGATACACATATGCCCAACTTCGTGATATAATCAATACCTCATGTGGTAAGGAGCCATTACTTACTTTTTGATTTTTACAACACACCCAAAGCATCAACGGTTGTTGTACTAGCTATCATTATCTATAATTAGTGTGTTAATAGTTTATTACAATGTAAATTATTAAAACTACTATCCGATGCGCAAGCAAACAATCTTTAGAAAAATTACTTATTACCACGTCATTCTTATAGATGTTGAACTGTTGCAAAGATGCCGGGAAGAATGCCATCGAAGATTGAAAGTTTATCATGCATGGAAAGAAAGAAATAAACAGCAAGTGAATGTAGCTAACAGCCAACCATTAGATCAACGAGCTCCTCAAGTAGTGTATTCGGAAGGTATGTTCCACAACTGAAAATTCTTTAAGCTTGATCTTAAGAAATTTCTATAACTAGCTGAATCCATTAAATTGTTTAATCTTTCCGGTTTCGTATCATAGCTTCATCTAGAAGAAACTTTTCATTCCCAGACCCTTTTAACTACCTTCCTAATGATCAACCTCAACGCTTTTTTCGAGTTCCTTTCAATACTTCCGGTCCAGTCCCAAGACCATGCGGATGGTGGTTTGCTCATTTTGATGGTGATTGGGTTGTTAGACAGCTGGAGCTGCATTCTGGGCGTCCACCAGTTCTTTTATTAGCTGGTATCGATGACATGAACATGTGTGAGTTGCGATTACAGGAAACTGGACTAGCCACAAGACCTGGAGCTGAAATTTTACCAGAGGCATTTGAAGAAATTTGGCACAAGTGTGGCGGAAAGCCGTATCAAAGGATACAACCTAGAAGGTCATAAGCTACTGCCGGGTCCGAATATTTTTCAAGTTACTTTACGTATTAGCACTTATCTAATGCAAGAAAAAGTACAAACTATTTTACCTAATGTATAATATACCGCATGGTTATGAAACGTGTGTGACTGAACCTTATCATGCATACCTATATAATTCGCATAATTTAAACGAGAAAGATTTGATATTGAGGGTGTAAATCTGTATTTGTGCAAAAATCTGAGTTTTTGAAAATTCTTTACGCTGGATTCATTATGATTCGAGTATTACACAATTTTTAAAGCGTATTTATCGACCCATCTCATCGTTTATTGTCTATAAGTAATTCCAACTTACAGGCATCAGTCAACCATAATTTTATTACGAGTGAAACACTACTTTTCCTATAAATTTTTAAATACCGATTGATTTTCAGAATAGCTATTGTAGAATACTCGTTTTGAAAGACCCACAGTTTGAGTTCGCAAACACTGTAGACATGTTGTTTTAATCACTACTAATCCTAGAAGCTGACGCATATTATACGTATAATTGTGCCCTACATACACTACGTTAATTTTCGAATTTTGATATAAATTGCTATCATGAAAGATCTTTGTCGTCATCTCGAGTTACAGTTGGTTCAGATAGCAAATTCACGAAGTGCTATTTTGCATTTACTTTCTCCAACAAGCATATCGGTTTATCAATTACATAAATCTCTTAAAATTTTTGACGCACTACATTCACTATATCGTGCTACAGTCAAATTGAATATTCCCCTAGTGTGTTCGATTTTGGTTGTAATATATCCTAAATAGGTGTTTAAAATTCAGTATTTTAGGTAAAGATATTTATAAATTCGCTTGTGCATTTGGTGAAGCATAGGCTGCTGTGAGCTTCACGAAATAAATCCTCCATGCTAAATGTGTACGTAATTCTTGTACATTTCTGAATATTTCTAAGAATGGAATTACGTGACAAGTATGAGTAAAATCTTCGGTTTGACTATACGAGTATACTATTCTTATGGGTAAAGCATACTAGAACACGCAGTATGTTCATAATATCAATTCCTCATAAGTAACTGAATTCTACCGTATTTAAGGGACTTACATGTACACATGCTTATAAGCAAGTGTTATGTAATCGTAGTGAACGTCCCAATCGGTAGCCAACAAACGAACCAGTAACGGTGCGATCAGATATGAATAATGTTCATGACAGTAAATACGGTACAGTACTACTGCATACTGTACACTGTACAGTGTACTGTACATGTATGTACTGTATACTGTCGCTCTTTCTTTCATTTGTAACCTGGATTATACTTACAGTAGATCATCAAGGTATTGAACCGAACTCAGGTCTGACCTGGAAACACTAAGTAAAAATCGCTAGGTTCTACAGTACATACGGTACAGTACAAAGTACTGTGTGTCAGAAGTCTTTCTGTACACAGTACTGTACTGTACAGTACAATGCTGCACAGTACAGTACAGTACTGTACTGTAGCACTCAGCAAAACCGTAGTACTGTACAGTACTGTGTACTGTACTGTACAGTAAAGGGAATTGGAAGGGAAATACGGTACAGTACCAGATACCGTAAGTCTCTGGTCATCGTAGTTCATACGTCTGATGTCTTAAATACTTCTACGCATGTGTAAAGAGTTCTCTTCATCGTGGTTAGAGACGGCCATTTTGTGAACTTGGAAAGATGAAGTAAGTATCCCGCGTTAATCCTCGGGGTAACATGACATTTTTATGGCATCTTTTAATCCTTCATTATTAGTAAACTTGGATAACTCTTATTGTCTTCATTTTAGGCTCGAATTGTGTAATTACAGTGGTTATAAGATTTATCCTGGTCACGGTAAGAGATACTGCCGTGTCGATGGTAAGGTAAGCCTTGACCAAAACCTTGGTATAGTATCACAATAAATTCAGCTATTCAAGCAGAGAGTAGTATCATCTTGATGCTATGACTAAAATTTCTAACGCCAATGCTGTAGATATAAAATGAACTGATCAAATCTTTGAATTGATCGTATCGCAGACCTTCAATTTTTTAAATGGAAAATGCGAGGCTTCTCATCTTATGCGTCGTAATCCCCGAAAAATATCATGGACGGTAGTATACCGTCGCAAGCACAAAAAGGGAAAGGTTGAAGAAACTTCCAAAAAGAGAACCAGGCGTACAACCAAATTTCAGCGTGCTATCCAAGGTGCTACTCTAGAAAATATTATGGCAAAAAGAAATCAAAAGCCAGAAGTCCGTAAAGCGCAGAGAGAGCAAGCAATAAGGTTTATTATACATACAATACATAATAGCTTTGATGATGTTATTTCGAAGTTCAGTACAGTATATCATAATAAAAAGTTTTTTACGCTACTATACTTGTATAGCGACTTCTCTTCGTAAAGTATGGTTGGTTTAGTTTCCACCATTATATTGCACTGTACTCTATATACTAATCACCAGCATTGGTCATGTTAACAAATTATCGATCAAACCACTATACCATACAATTACTCATCGCATTTTCCTTATTCTTTAACAACGAATATTGTACCATTAACATAATGTCGAGTGACTTGTAATTTAAACAAATTATTATTAGTCCTAGTTCACAGTTTGCAGTGTGATAGGTTAAGGAGTGACATTCATCTTAATTCATTATATAACAGAGCTGCCAAAGAGAAACAAAAGGGCAAGAAGCAAACACAGAAGGTAATTTTTACATATGAATAAATCTTGTCTTGTTTTGCGTAAGAAACTTCCTAAAATACAGTTCATGCGTCGAAGAAAATCTGGAATTGCTAATTCCTTCCATTACTATACATAATATACGGGATTAACCGTAACTTATATATACTGTATTCAGTCATAAACTGGGAAAGGAGAGGCGGCTAGTTGTCTATGATTTTGTCTACAATGTTACAGTATAGTGAATGTTCCTTTTGATAATATGTATTGTAATTGAAGAGTCGAATCTAGGGGTACTTACTTAGAAGATTTCAAGTTAGCCAACTAAATAATGTTGTATCTGCTGTATCATGTGTCGATATTTAAATAACCAAATCATGTACTAATTGATTTAATTATAGACACAAACTACAAAACAATCCAAGAGCAAAGCTACCAAGGTTGTAAAAGGTAGTGCCCCGAAAGTTGGTGTCAGACGATAATATTCGTTAATGTACCTTCTTGCATTTTGTAAATGGAAATAAATTTGGAGCGAATGTAAATGTTACTGGAGCCTGATTTTTGTGTGATGGGTTTAATTGTTCATGAAATCCTCAGTTAATCATATCCCATTAAACTGTATTCTTGGTAATGTAGTTGTGAATGCAATTGCCACAGCTATTTTAAAATCTACTCATATGTACGTTAAAACTCGCCGCTGTTGCTCTGTATGCATAGCTTTATCTTTGTGATCTCTTTTAGTATCATGTCAGTAAATCATTGCGTCGATTTAATGCATAGAATCCTACACTTCATGAGACCGCTGTCGACAAATTTCTCGATTACTGCTACTGTCTGCTAGTTAAGAATTTAAATGTATCCATTGGCTCTCATTTATATGTTACTTTCTTTAGACTTAATTGATAATTACACTAGAATAGCCTAGATTTGGATATCGTAAGTTAAAGTCAAGGCAAAACTATTCTGATTTATACAACTTGACTGATACACAACATGATCAAGTTATGATTTATGTTTGAATAGTTACAAGTAATGGTTTAACAAACAAGGTGTATGGAGCTAACATGTTTATCATAGGGATAGAATACTTAAGAATCCATAGTTACTCGCTCGCCGGTTCATTTAAAGCGCAAACAGAAATATATAGTTTATCCATTCTTTAAAACGATGGAAATTTGCAAAATCTTGCTGACCAGTTTATCACATTTTAACTAGTTAAAAATATCGTATGCGGTTATAAATTTACCTTAGCTATTGATACATTCGAGTATTGTAAAACGTGTTGGTGTGCGTTACCAAAAAAATTATGCGTACGAATTAGTATTTAGGACAGCACAATACAGTGTCTTACAATTATAACCCAAAAATTAAAATTACAATGAGGCTATAATATGAAACTATTACACTGTAAACCTTTTACATTTGCACCTGTTATTCTCTCGGCACCGATATAACTGGATGATAATCACCGTTAATCAGTACATACATATTTTACAAGTAGTACGTGTGTATTACTATATTTACGTATATATATTGTATTTACATTACATGATAAAAGTCATTGCTTTAAATTAAATATGAATATTCTAACATTTAACTAATTAATGGTAGGGTCATATCCTAAATATTATTTGCACTATTTGACCCAAAAGTACTTTCACTTTGCTGTAGTCCCCGTCTAAAATGAAGAAATATTTATAAGAATTATGACAAAGTTTACCATTGAAACTAAATTTTTTATAAATACACATTACATACTAGACATCTTTTAAGATTAATACTATGCACTCTTAATAGTATGTGCTATATCTACTACCGTAAAAATATCGTAGCAATTTATTATATTATGAAATACAGACGGATTGCAACATGATGAAAGTATACAAGATAGAAATAAATCTGCGACTATTACTTACATTGAATAACTTAGTTCATCCAACTTAATATAGATTCATCAGCAAAACCAATGGTGAAATATATATAGAATAAAGAAAATTTTTTAAATTTGGATAAGGCCAATGACCTAGCTGATTAATAATTCTGCTATCTTCAACAAAATAATACTATACCGTTGTATTTTTATTATAGATATTCTAAAGAAATCATTCATCTGCATTACCAAAAGTAGACAGACACTAACACCTGCCTACTGTACACCTAACGTACTAGGAATAGTATCTTAAACAGAAATCTAACGCAAAACTGACTTACATTTCTCATCAATAAATTTATCTGTTGATTAGATTTGTTATTCCATTCCTCCTCATTCCTGGAAATTGAAAGTAGATTGTTTAAACAACTATACAATTTCTCGGTAGAAAACAAAGATAGTAATACTCTATGAGGTAATATTTAATAATTACAAAGTTGGCTATAAAGTACATTACTGTTGCACAATACGCTGTCACTTAGTTTAATAACATAATAATCATAAAAAGTTATTTCATATGGTATTAACTTCGTATCTTCACTATCAACTATCACTAACTCAAGAACATCATAGGTTATTATGCGTATATACATGTATGCTCTAGAAACTGAAATAAAGCTCGTGGTCGAAAAAGAAGCAAATTACTATAGGAATGCCGTATTAATAGCAATAGCAGTATGAACTAACTCTTGCGAGAGTGACGTCCTTTTTGACTCTTCTTCTATTTTGAAATGGGATTGACTTAATTTCTCTTGCAATTCACGAATTTTATCCATCTTTTCAAAAGTCTCCTCATTTCCTAAAATAGAATGGTCATCGAATATAGCGATCAATGATCGAGATTCAAATAATAAATATGCAGTAGAATAAGTTATCTGAGAAAATTGAATGAGATCTATAGTATTGTAGTTATACATCCACGCGTAACTAAAACTAATAAGGAACGAATAACAAACAGGAAGGACGTGGCAACAAGTTTATTTACCGTTAATGTAGCTAAACTACCACATAAACTTACATATTTTATGCACACATATACAGTATTATGTCTTACTATGATCCATTACTGACTGATAGACAGCTCCAGTGTATGCTATATCTTACGGTGTCGGATATGACTACACCGTCGTTATAAATAGGGCACGCACGAATATGAAATACATCTTTGCAAACGTTATACAAGATCTATTTATAATAATTAGCTTGCCAGTACACTTCACCGTGCACATTATTACAGATTCATTAGTTTATACCGAAAGCCTGGAGATTTCCCTGATGAAAATCATTCAATAATACCAGTAAACCATCTTCCATTTTTTTAATATCGCTCGCATCGGTCAAGAAAGAATGTTCGTGATCCGCTGGCGATGTACGTGTGGTGTTGCTTTGATTGGATCTTGTTGCGCTTTTATTAGTAGATTTCTTATTAAGATCTATTGAAGCATCAATTTTCCTGCCTTTAGATCTAGGTGAAGTTGAGACCTCTGCAATAGTAAGAGGAGACGGTATTGATGTAGTTCTCAAGAACTCTTCATGATTGTCGTCCATTTCTCAGCAAAGTTTATAAACACGAAGGCGTTGCAATGACTTTCGACATCGACTAAGTACTGTACATTGTAGTCATACTGTACGGTAAAGTACAGTACTGTAGTCTCATCGATACAGTTACTGTACTGTACTCCCTCCACTAGAGACCCTCCATAGTACTGTACTGTACTGTAATACTACAGTGTGCAGTACTGTACTGTACTTTGACTATGCTATACTGGACACTGCGTATAGTATCTGTGTGTGGGTATACACAAGTAACACCACTGTATCATGGACTATAGTACTAGAAGGCCTGGCCTGTATGGGCTGATCACTTCTCTTGGACGGACAGACGTTTTAGGCACATCTCGTCAAAACATTGTGCCAAACACTGGAGTTATGGCAGTACAGTACTTTAGTATGCAGACGGTCGATTTTAAATTGAACGATGTTTTCTAAATTAAGTAATATTACATTAAGTCTTATTATCTGTTACAAGTTTTTGCTTGGAAACAGTTCTATAAAATCGTAGACGCTATTTAAATTAGTACCAGTGATTAGAAAACAAACATGGAAGATCTATACTGTACTAAAGTAGTCCTTTTTGGATATTTACGGCCTCATTTGATAAGAAAAGTCCGTCAGTCTGTAACGGCCAGCCTGACAACATCTAAATGAGTCTATACTGTCTATGGAATACTGAATGTAATTCATGATCTACGAGTATACTGTGATTGTAAAAGAAAACGTGTATGGAACATAATATTACAATATGATTTACTTGACATACAACTACTAGACTATTCTTCGCGCTAATTATAATATTCCCATATAATATAAGCGTACGAATATCTGAATCTTCTATCTCTGATCAATTACAATATACGCTCTTCACTTATTATAATGAATTCCTTGACTATTTTTTTATTGATAAATCAGTTACTGATGATACCGTAGATAGATTTCACTTACTATAACTTCCGATTCTTCTTCGGTGAGACATTTGCTCTACAAAAACATCCACTGTAATAACCTTTACGTAGCAATAAATTCACTGTAATCCAGTTTATACCTATAATACCATGAATAAAAATTTATCATCAACATTTGGATCTCTGTAGTACAGTATATTGTATTATCATTACGCTGTCTCTCAAAATGACAAATCAAGTAAATCAGTCATTTATGGCTAAATCACGTACAAGCAGTAACAAAAATGTAGAAAAGACAGCAAAGTTAATTGATGAATTCAATCAATTTATCAAAATTAAATTGCAGTTGATTATGCATAAATAGTTAAATCCTAAGAATACCTTATTTTTTCTTAAATGCCAATGCCAGCGGCTCGTGGTTTTGAAAACTTTCTTTCACTTTTTCTTTAGTAACAATGTCTAATAATAATAATTGTAACGTCATCGTATGATCTTGTAGCTATATTATTGACTTTCCAGTAATCGAAAATTTCAATTCTACGTCCTAAAAAAATACAGTAACAATCTAACAGTCACGTCAGCCTGACAATACTACTGTACTTATAAACCCTAGATATAAAAAGAAAGGAATAATTTCTAGAAACCCCTTGTTTCTCTTTTACTCAATATTGATAAAGTAATAATACTTTGTAGTACAAGTAATAATGACACCATATTACACGCGTAAAACTATAGACCTATACATCACCTACAGCCATAAACTTTGCTCGTGAGCATATCTTGTAATAATACTAAAATTTCAACGAAACAGACTGTAAAATAAAAAAAACAGTTCACCTCGGTAAATGTAACGTTCATAGATACACAGCTAAGAATCAGAAAAAAGCAATAATTACCGCTTCCTGGGTAGAATGTTTTTACTCGCATCATTTTAATAATATTTTATATTATGTACTGTATTAAGTGTATACTGTATTCTACAGTACATTTATAGGAATGTGTCATTATGTATTTAATCAGTACTAGTCATTTATTACATGTTTCTACAGTACAATTAATACGATTACTTATGCGATTGTACGATAATTCAATATTAGCTAAATATAATATCCTACAAACTTACAATCGTTACACAGCAGTATTCAAGTATTACGACAACAGTGCATTACGCAAAGTATCACGAGCAAGGGCATTCTACTGATTTAAAATAATAATCCCTATTGATTATTCATGATGCGGGTTACATGTATTATTTTTTACAATCTGTGCTTGGCCTAATTTACACAAATATAGATATATGGACATAACTTCATATATTAATATTCACTTATAATTCCTAATTCTATATTATAACTAGAGTATTACTATATTTATTAATTTATCCACTGTTCTACAATCCTGCTAGATAGAGATAAGAGAGGTCATTTGATAACTTTAAAACACGATTCATAATGTACTTTATTGTTTTTTCGGTCATAGGGATATAAGATAGCCATATAAATTTGTAAATAATCACAACGCTGCCAAATACATACGATATTACCGCTGTTAATATGTACTCTTACAATTGCTTACATCTAAAACTTTTATATCACCGGCCTATATATTAAAATTACCATTTTGTAGTATCTTCTTTTAGTATGTCAAAAAATTTTACTTTTACAATTTCTATTATAATTAAAGTGTACAAAACATTTTTACTTCTAATTACTGATCAATATCTAATAGCAAAGATACTTATTTCAGTTGCAACTTATTAATAACAGTTTTTCAAAGGTCTAAATGTTTATTAATACAGTATAACAACGGTATACATGAAATATATTTTATTTTATGCCTCGATGATGAAATCTATAGTATTAATTTCTTACATTAATAGGTGTTTGAGACTAGAAGAATGATAGCGAGCAATTAATCAAATATATGGCAACAGTAGTAAATTCTAGATGTGAAAGCCGAGTTATCTATGTAAAATATGCTTAAGCTCATACTGATTAAAAATTGATATTGCAAAGTTTACTCACGTTGAAACCACGCCTATAATTAACATTTTGTATAAGAACACGAGCGGATATCCATTAAATAAGTAATAATTAATTCCTGGAGTAACCCTTTCGATGAGAGTTTATATTTTACAGACTGAAGAGCACAACAAGTGATGAGAATTCCAATCATGCTTGAAATCCTATAAACCTATATGTCCAATACTCAGTGTGAAAGCAAAATAAGAATGGCTTAGCTAAAGAGTAAGAATCTATTTCTGTAAGTTAACTCTAATACCGTGTCAAGATTTACAGGATTGAAAAATAAAACGAAAAATGATTGACGATAATATTTAATCAACTAAGCTATCTGTATTAAACAATTAAAACCTAGGCTAATAATGATTTTACGTATAATATATCTTATACTATAGTTAATTCCCATTGATTGAACTAAAATCAATGAAAGTTTACTATATAAGGATCAGCATCAGTAAATACTTTATTAGAGATATAAGCTACCAGTACCATTCTTCTATCACGGTGCTTCATCGATAATTTGGAATGAACAAACAAGATTAATCTATGGGATTAACAAAAATGCAAAACCAGTTTGTTTCTGGATATTATTGGCTAGAATTTTGTTCATTTAATCGGAAATGCAAAAAATTTATCTATTCAAAGTATTTACCATAGCCCCTATGAGTACGAAAATCTTAATATCGCTACCAATTTCATACAAATCTATCCCGTTAGTGACAATTAAACTGTTATAAAGATGAAACTTGCGTGGTAAGTAACGAAAGATAAAAGAATTCAAAATTTGAAACTACAAATGAAATAGAAGCAAATTAAATCGCATTCCTAATATCAACTTCAAAAAAAAATGCCTCAATGCTATCCTATAGTGCATACGAGTATGGTATATTAATTGAACCTATCTTATTTAAATCATTTCTTGCTTTATTTTTAACTCATTCTAGCCCAGCATATAAAACTATATGCCATTAAATTGATAATATGGAATACTGTAGATGATGTATTTCTTACTGATCAGCAAGATTCAATTACTAGAAATCATAAAAAGAAAGTGTTCGGAAGGATCGTTGATCAATTCTATTAAAACTTTCACATAAAATGATCATAAAAAAGCATAAAATTTTCTGTTATGATTAAATTAAGTTATTAATTATTTTTAGACATTGCTCTTATGGTATTGATACATAAGCTTAATTGACAAAAAAATACTATTTTTAAAAGTCATCGGTAACAAACTTTCTTTTATTCTATAGATAAGAAAGACATTTAAACCTCTTCAAGATCTACTTGCATACAGAAAGTATTTAAGGCTTAAAGTTTTCCATAATGATGGAATCAATAGATCTTATCAATTTTTTAAATAATGCCAAGAAAATATTCTAGAACCTTAGTCGAATTAAACAATAGTAACTTTTAAAATTTAAATGTAAGTATAGATGTTTTTCCTACCTATTAGTTGGATTCTGCGTCTCATTAATTGAATATCTAGCTAGTACATCAATCAATATATAATAGTAAAGGTAATAAACGTTATTAAACTCTTTTGGTTATAAGGAAATAAAAAAATATCAAGAATATCTCAACTAATACTGTAATTAAATTCATTTTGATTCAATCTATTCATTATCTTATAGTTATTCCTGCTCTTAATTTGTAAGCAAATAAAATACTGCCTATTTAGCTAACGCCCCAATAAATGTAGACGATGTCTTATTATCGATTTGTCTCTATCTCTTTGTAGAAGTTATTTATATGGCTCAGTTCGTTCATATGCTGAATGAAAGTTCAGGGGTAAATCATATTAATTACTATCCATCAATCTTACCGAATCTATAGCACAATTACGATCATTTACAATCACTCAATTTATATTTTATTTTAATAAATTACATTTAAATATCAATTTTGATCGTTAATATAAGGCTTGCAATAAAGTTTATCTTTCATCTATCCACAGTCGTCTTCTATTCCTTCTCTCTATGTACCTTACATAAAAAGGCAATGGAACAACAGCAGTCGGAGTTATTGCAATATCATTGTCTCAGAACTTAATCAATGAAGAAGAAAATACAATAATCCTATTTGATATAGGACCATTATTTGAGGACGATAATATTGCCATGGTAGAGTATTCATTCAAAGAGAAGGAATATTAAAAAATTAAATTGTCGAAAAGAAAAAATGTCAGTCACGAAATTAATCTATATCATCTACTAATTAGTCCAGTGTAATAGAGAATTAAAAATAAATAAGACAGGACAAACAGTAAGAAATATAAAGACATTAGTACTTAAATCATGTTTTTTCTTCCAATGTAGTTTTAATTAACATGACGTCTCTAACATCCTGCGCCAATTGATTTCCATTACAATGATGACGTTGTCAAGGCCATATTACAACTTATTTGCTATGGCTACGCGAGAAATAACGCTAGACTATCATAACCATTAAATATTGATTAAATCTCCCTAACGCATTGTTGTTAAACCTGATTTCCAAAAATCAAGTCGCAGTGTTAACACTTCCCTTATATTTACCCTCGAACTCTTCACATCGCAAAATACAATGACTTTTTAATCGTTTTCATGAAGTGACTACAAACGATTTTACATTCAAGATAACCATACTACCATCAAATATACAGTATCTTTTTTATGTTGGTATTTATTCGGGCCGCTTCAGGACGAAGAAGTATCTTTATCCTAGTCAGCATAACTCTACAATTGAGTAATATTCTATTTGGTGGATACTAATCAAATTTTATGATCTCGATTTCATGCCAACCTAAGTGGAACAAATCATTTTTCACTCTTCCTTCTCATCATTATCAACTAAGAATTATACATATATATATACCACTTTCGTTGGGTATGCAAGTTTACCAATGATATTGAGTTTATACCAACACAAGTAAAACAAATTATTGCCAAAATTCTTTCAATTCTTCCAATTTGTTATCATTAACTAAGAATCTTCTTATTAATCTCAGCAAAAAAAAGTTCTAATTTACCCAAGACAACGCGTTCATCATCATTGAAAACAGAAGTACTATCATTTTTTATCAAAATACTTTTGTACGTCTTAGTATAAAAATTGATTATTATAACTTAAACACTACAATAATATAAATTATAAAGGGGATTAAAAAAATTCCGTCATCAAAAGTTTCAGCTATGAATAACAGCCAATATTTGACCAATCTGATAATAATTACTTTTATCTACTTGGCTCTGATAATGCCCTCTATTCGACACATGGCTGATGGAAGCCAGGGTAAATCTTACGCATTTAAAGATGGAGATATCATTCTTGGTGGGTTATTTCCAATTCATGAATTTCTATCTGATCAAAATTGCGGTAATATAAGAGAAACAGAAATTTCATTACAATTAATGCATGCCATGATCTACGCTGTTCAATCTATCAATAACAGAAAGGATCTATTACCAGGTATACAGTTAGGATTTCAAATTCGCGATTCCTGTTCTCGTGACACCATTGCATTAAAAGAATCTCTACTAATGCTAACTCGCCCTGATTCTAATTTCAATACCAGCCTCGCTAGTCAGTATAAGATATTACCAAGTTGTGCTAACAATAATTCACGAAAATATAATAATGCTTCACAAAAACGCATTGTTGGCGTTATCGGACCGGGCAGTAGTCGTGAATCAGTTCTTGTTTCTGATTTATTAAATATCTTTCGTATACCACAAATCAGTTACAGTTCGACTAGTGATGACTTGAGTGAGAAAGAGAGATATAAATATTTCCTTCGTACTGTTCCTCGTGATTATCTACAAGTCCGTGCAATGATTGATCTATGCTTACACTATAATTGGTCTTATGTTCAATTCGTCTATTCTGAAGGCAGTTATGGTGAAAATGGATTTAAAAATTTTCGTTCACAAATTACTACTCTCAATCTATGTATCGCTGCTGAATATGAACTAGCTCAATCGGCGCCTACACATCGCTACGATACAGTAATGAGTAGTATACTTAGCAAAAGTAATAAGGCTAAAGTTGTAATTTTATTCTGTAATTGGGGCGAAATGGCAAAATTATTTGAAGCTGCCGATCGTGCTAATGCTGCTGGTAGGATAATATTTATAGGTAGTGACGATTGGACTACTAATACTTATTATATGAATAGTAGTAATTATGTCGCAGAAGGATCTCTTTATTTTCAACTTCATGGCGAGTATGTTAGAGATTTCGATCGTTATTTTACTCAATTAACGCCGTATAATGTGGATCGAATACAAGATCCATGGTTTAACGAATCTTGGCAAGCTAATTTCAATTGCAATCTTCCACCAGCGACAGAAAATATATGTGACAAAAGTTTACGATGGACTAATGTAACGGGTGGATTTACTCAAGGTCGTAAAATAATTTATGTTATTAATGGTGTGTATGCATATGCACATGCTCTTCATAATATGCATAAAGAATTATGTAAAGGAAAATCAGGTTTATGTTCAGCAATGCAATCGATTGATGGTCATTTATTATTCAAGTATTTGTTGAGAGTAAGTTTCATGGATATTGCTAACAGCAGTCATGTAGAATTCGATAATCAAGGAGATATTAAAAATGGGGGTTACGATATTGACAATTTACAAAAAGTAAATAAAAGTTACATTTCAAGAATAGTTGGTATATGGTTGTCAGATGATTTATCATTAAGAAAAGATACAATTCAATGGTCAATTGGTAATTCAAGTCATATTTTAGAATCGGAATGTAGTCAGCCATGTCAGGAAGGACTATTTAAGATTATTAAGGAAGAAATTTGCTGTTGGGTGTGTACTAGCTGCATTAGCAAGCAGTATTTTAATTATAGTTTAAGTCAATGCGTTGACTGCCCCATAAATTACTGGCCGCATCCTAACCGAACATTTTGTATTCCAGTTGATATAACTCATATCAATCTCCGTGATGGTATTTCCGTCATTTTAATCATTTTCAGCATTATTGGGATGACATTTGTTGCCTACCTCTTTTATGTTTATCGAAAATTTAACAACCACCCCACAATCAAAGCATCAGGACGAGAGCTATGCTACTGTATCATGTGTAGTTCTATCGTTATCTCCATTAATTGTATAACCCCTATTCCAAAGCCAACTATTTCTCTATGTGTTTGGTATCGTGTAGCGACTGGTTTAAGCTTTTCGTTATGCTATGGCTCATTATTAGTTAAGACAACTCGAATCTATCGCATTTTTCGTCATAGCAAACAGAGCCTAAAAAGGCCATCCTTTACCAGTCCAAAATCGCAAATTTTGTTCGTGTCGACAATTGTAATTATACGCTTACTCGTTGTTATTACTTGGGTAGGATTAGAACCTCCTGCAATCCAGCGTGAATACTACGATTATGGCAAAGAAATTCACTTAAAGTGTAAGCATGCAACAACAGATATGATCATATCAACCTCTATTGATGGCACCTTGATTGTTTTATGTACTGTATTTGCATTCTTAACTCGACATCTTCCTGAAAATTATAATGAAGCGAGATTTATCAATTTCTCGATGTTTGCCGTTATTATCGTTTGGTTGGCATTTATTTCGGCTTATTTTACATTTAAAGTTAATTTACAACCAGTCATGCTTGCCATTACTGGTTATATTTCGGTTATGGCAACCTTACTATTTGTTTTTGTACCTAAATTATATGAAATATTCATTAACAAGAGGACTAGCATGGCTCCTAATAATTCCGTCGTCGAGCGTGCAGCTGCAGCCGCAGCTACTGCAGGTAATATGATTATTGCATGATCTATTACTACCTTTATTCATTAAGGACTTACGAAGAATGAATTAGTAATCATCTAACTGATGACAATTGAATTTAAGTATAAATTCTATGATTGATCAATAATAATTGTTCATTGCTTTCGCCTAACGGACAATACATTTCAGTTCTTCGGTATTATCATCCGTCGTTAATTTTGCTATAAAATTCGATAGCGCTCCATTTAATTTAGCTTGTAGTTCATATATAACTTCAATACATTATATGGTACATTATAGCAAGTTAAGTAGATACTAATTTAGCTACTCGTTAATCGTTCTTTGTCACGATGCATTGAAAGGATGTACCATTAGCAAGGGAAATTTGATAAATCTGCATGTCATGCTACTATATTAATTATAATAGTCATAGTAAATATAAAATCCTTTCTTCAGTGTAGTATCATGTAATCAATACCAGTTTTACAATCTAAAATTTATTGTGTTATTCACAATACCGCGTCTAACTATAACGGATAGCTAGTTATATTAATTGCAATCAGGCTATAATCTTAGATACAGCAGAATATAAATCAAGTAACCAATTGTTATAATGATTTTATCATTCCTTAATTTATCCATATCACCATTTGTTGGTACATACTAGCCATAATGCACAATCCTAAGACGTTATTTCAACAGCGTCCAAAGTTAGTAACACGAACTACAATTAACTTAGAGCAGTAATACTTACCATCTTCTAATACCTAGAAATTATCTCATAGACGTAGGGTAATTAATCGAATAGAATCGATAACCTCCATGAATTAGTATTTTGTAATAGTTCATCAATTTAACATTCAAGATGATTACAGTCGACCTATTTCTCTCCGTAGGTTACATAATTTAATTTATTCAGGTTAAAGATTGGTAGGCGATATTATCTACTAATAATTGATCATCTACTTGTACCATATCAACTACAATCTAGATAAATTTTATAACAACTTTATATCAGAATATACATACAACACAAATTACCTGCATTATACCACGTATGATTCATTTTAAACACAGCACATAAGCGTTTGTAAGTTTTTGATCAACTACCTTTGCCTCCATTTAATATCTACTGTCGGGATCCAACAAACGTAATGAAAATTAATTAAATAAGTTTAAATTTTGGCTGAAATAATGTAACAGTTAGCTTTATATCTTTCCTTTTGAATTGCTAATATTAGAAATATTAGTATTTTATTTTATCTTATATTTATTCAACAGTCGGAAATACTACGACAGTAGGCTGAGACATGAGGCATTACACCCTAACTACGCACTTTTAGTATTTCATGGATAAGTTAGCCAATAGAGTACAGTACGCAAAAATATAGTTTATAATAATGCCAATAAAAGTAATTCCAGTATTAAAAGAATCACTCAATTTTTACTCTTTACCGTATCATGAAAAATAACCTAATAATGAACTACTACGTCGTTCTTAGATATAAAGTTTGTGATTTTTAATACAACTGTGTCTTCTAATAAGTTTAGTAATAAATACGTGACCAAATACCCTTTTATTCACAAAAAAGGTCCTACATATCAGTTATAATTTATTACATATTCAATACGTGAGATATATCATTAAATACAATTTAAATTATACAACGTAAGATCACTAATTTATGTCTCTTGAAAATTTTTCAGTCCTCGCTCAAGGAGAAATAGAATGCTATGAATCAGTGCCATAATTACATACTGATATGAAATGCTATCTAATAAATATTCGCTGTCCCGCCATCTTCAGAAAATACACAATACAATGCTGTCTTCACATATAGTTTACTAGATTCTTAAAGGGACTCCTACGTACTGATAGCCTATGGGAATGATCATCCATTATGAATTCTACTTCTCTTCCAAGACTAATAAATTTCTATCAACATTCGAATGAAGCATTCATAGCTGCACTGACTAAAACCTTTTGTAATCATTTTAAGCTGTAAATACTAGGCGGAAAAAGTTTGCATTAAGCCTCAATTCTTTATATTGATTTATAACTGTATTATAAGTATCGTATATCGTTCGATCCTGCCATTATGTAAGAACTGAATGCAATAATAATATTTTAATTAGTAATAACACTGAACCCCGTTTGACTCGGTTTTTCTAGAAAGAGAGTGTTGAATAATTCACATTCACTACGTACTACACGTGATGAATGATAATATAATTTAAAGATAGCCATTGAACTACATAAAGAAATAGTCTTAAGTAAATTTTTTCGGTGCTAATTATATATATATATACTTGGTTCTATTTTGATGGTCTTGAAGTAAATAATAAGGCCAAATTCTATAAAGAATGATAAATGTCTCTTGACTACTATGTAATATCAGCTATGGAATACTATGTATTCGTTGTAACTTAACAAAGACTTTTGTGTAAATCGACTTATGTAGTGAAGAATTTTCTTCTATATTGATGCATCAATTCTCTACTATTTTTCTGAATTATATAATTATTCATAACAATAAATAAAATTACTCTAAAACTTAAGGTCAAAGTTCATTTCCTCAACGATTCTAATAATGTGCAATTAGATTAAATATTAGTAACAATCAAATTATTTTAACTTGCTTTCAAAAACTGTAATCGAAATCAAGAACCGTATACTGTATGTGCAACCTAGAATACTAAGCTCTATTAGCATTGAGAATTTCAATCACCATTATTGATCTGATGCTGTAATGGCCAACCGTAGATCTACTCGATATTATCTTGGGATAGAAAATTTAATAAGTTTAAAATTCTTACAAAATGTTGAATTTACTTGCATCTATTTATACAACTTGTATTACTGAATACCAACACTCAATAAAATCAACCAACCGAAATCGTCCTAGAAATCGTAGCATTTGAAGATTACAGTAAAGTTGTGAGGGCTAATCAAGATCAACTAGGTTACTCTGGCTATTCTATTTTTAAATTCTCCATAAAGACTGTTACTAAAATTCAACTACGCAAAGATTCTTGGTGAAATCCTGACTTTATCAGCAATGTAACAATAGTACTAAGGATTTATAACCATATTCCTTCAAATATATAAACGCGTAAAAATTAGAGCTATTCCAATTAATCTAGATCGACCAAGATAGCCTACTCTACTGTGAAATTTGCAGCTTTGAATTTTGTTCTTAGAATTTCTCTATGTAAATGTGTAAAATGATTGTATGTAGTCTAGAAATATAACAATATAAAGGTCGGATCTAATCTATCAGAATAAGCTAATTTTTAATTCAATCATCTCTCTAGCAAATCTACTATTCAATCATTCAATGTCTTAAAGCTCTACTTTTTTGTGCAGTGCTATGGCCGGGCCCGTACTGTCAACAAATCCAACAGTAGAGTATTACGTATCTACTAGTAAGAAATTAGAGAACATGACAAAATTGGAAAGATATTAATCCACGACTAAGTCAACTATGTCCTAAGAATTTGTATCCTACTACATCGTAATTAATCCTCAAATATCATGAAGTTGTGTAAAAATTCTTTTACTGTAAATGCTAGCACGGTCACTAAGATGCGGTTAAGAATTTACGTCCTAGTAGTTCGTGATTTATAAATTTCATTAACTTATGTAGGAAATCTTTTACCGCAAATGCTGGCTAAGTCACTCAAAAATTTAAGGGATTTAGCTTAGACAGAAATAATTCAATTTCATATGCTCTAGTGACTTATCACCTTATCACGCTCTTTCTTCTGGCGTACTTAAGTCAAAATGTACAATTTTATTAGCTTATACTGTACTATGCATTCATCACCACATAGATATTAATTGTCAGTGTCATAATTAGGCCTACCGGGGATAGAATCTAGCATATAAACCCGTACCGTAAATGCCCTAATGCGCAGTCAGTATGCGACATAATAAATACTTTAGGCGTGAATGTTGCAAAATAAAAAATAAAGGAAATAAGGCAATATATTGAATTTGATTATTTCTCTAACAAAATATTGATATCATACAATGAATAACCAATTAAATTCCTCTACCTTTTCTCGATTACAGTATATGGCTAATAAAATACAATATTAGAATGAATCAACACCATCTTAAGAAGTGTGTGCACTTACGTATTAATAGTTTACCAAACGCAATATAGGTGCGCGAAAGCTTCTATCATGAGTACTCATATTATAGCTCAGAAAAGTTTACATCAAGATCTACAAAATCAGGCATTAAATAGTTACATCATTAAAGCGAAAAATGAGATTTAAGCTGTTAGCAAACTGGGTCAAAAACTTAATTATCAACTCAAAATTTGCTATGATTTAAAGACAAGAATTATTAGGGTTTTGGAAAACATCTAATGAACGTTCTATAGTGCATTATAGTACTAAATTCAATATCTTAAAAAATGTTTTTGATAATGTATCGTAGCTAATATTCACAGAAATATCAGAAAAAATTGACTGATGGCGATTAATTTTCCTTCTCTTATTAAATTGTAAGGATTAAGTAAGGGCGTTGTCGTATTTATTCATATTCATATATATTTAGTAAATGTATAATCGGCATTTTTTTATCTTCCTATTGCGATTATCAATAACGTGTAACACAGCAGCATGGTTGCCATACTTATATTTGTTAATGACAGATTGCTAATAAGGTCTGACGTAATATTCAATCTTTAGAATTAATTAATTATTACGCTAAGTTAAAATAGTTGTTTTGCAGCAGAATTGAATATTTAAATACTAATCATTAGTGATTTAAATTTAATGCACAAACATCGGTGCATGCCATATCTATTTAAATGCTCCCTTATCGAAACGTAATCTTTAATTATATATTTTTATAATAGTTTGATTTGTATATTGAAAAATTTTCTGATCTATCTCCAAAAATAGCTAATTCTGATCAATCTTTTAAACTTTATTTAATTTTTTATTGATACACTCACACGTGCAATTTGAGCTATACAAGCGTTAACGGTAAGGCAATATAAGTCATATAATCAAATTGCTATAGAATGATATTTTAGAATATTCCAAAGCTAAATGCTAGTGTTCTTTTGCCCAGTAACAAATAAATATGTTCTATAAATAGAATAGTGAGTATAAACCGATTACAGATCTGATGAAGAAATCATATCTCATTTATATTTTACAAGTATCATAAAGTGAAAAACAAATCATAACAAATAGTTTATTTATTTCAATACATAACATGTAATCAAACTGGGCAGTTCAATACTAATAAAAACTGTTATTAGAGATAAAGAATTGAAATGACAGAAAGCAATCATAATCTTTGCACTAATAATACCGTAATAGCAACGTGGTACTTGAAATTTAATTTAACCTGTATTATTTGAAGACAGTCCAACAATTTTACTATAAATCCTATCGTGTTGGCAATCATTTATAAATTAAGTAATTTTTCTCAAATTTACGGTTAAATAAAATAAAAATAAATAGTTCCGCTCCTGTCTATATATATGTTACTATATATATAGAGTATACATGCGCACATAAATACCGTACCGTACAAATTTATTTATTCAATCGTCTCATACAGTATGCGCTCATGTGAAATATACATTCTATTATAAAATATTCTCTTGAGAGTACTTATTCCATCTATAATATCACGATCTGTTGGCCTATTAAATGTTCTAGAAGTTAATTTAGTTCTACAACAAACGGCATAAGTCATGACTGGATTTTAAATCAAAATAATACGCGTACTTAGATAATCAAACGATTACTGGAGCGACTGCTAGAATGGTGGTCATATTGAAATTGGATCAGTACCTTTAATAAATCCTACAATTACATTTATGTAGTAGTCCAAGTCATATCATGAATACATGGCACATGCATTACACAATTTTAGTTTAAATACTATATGTAAATTTTAATATCGGTATACTTGTGATACTCGAAACTGCTAGATTTTAAGCTCAATTATTATTATACATAGATTTTTATAAATGCTTAAAATTCTTGCATTACCTAAATCTTTAGTATTTGAACCATTTCCAGTTGACGCATCGATGTGATGATCATTATAAAAGCTTAGTTGCCTACAAGACTAAAATTTTAACCAGATTTCAAAATACCCTTAATACATTAACGCATATGTGCAGTTATTTTCCTTAATAAGATATATCACAAACGTGATTTATCTCAGAAACAAACTATCCCTAATCAGTAACATGATAACAATAGCAGGTATGGAATCAATGTTTGGTTACTACAGAATATATCAACCTCCAATCAATCTCACACCGCATAATAACAGTAAAAGTAACATTTATTTTATCGAACTTGTCTTATACTGCACCACTAACAGTCAAGTTGTTCAATTAGTATTGGCATATATGGTAGTCAATAATTAATGCCGATAATATGTATTCATATCAATCATTTTTAAAAGATTGCGCCTGATTTTCCTTTAAGGATCGCAAAATAATTGTAATTCTTATTTACAACAAGTTCATAAGATGAAAATATTTGTAAATTCGGAGGAATTAATACTTTAAAAATTTAATGGCCCCCTAGAAATAAATTTCCGCTAGATAATGTAGCCGTTGGTGCTGGTTTAATTGCAAGATTATTTGACATCCCATGAACGTTTCCATTGCTGAAACCAAATATACGTAATAACTTGGGCACAAATAAAAATAATATGGTTACCGTTACAGAAATATAATCAGCAATAGGGATAATCAAAGGTCGCAATCTGGGATCACTTGTAAAGTAGGCTGGAATAAAAGCTAGCCATACAATCATGACTGCAAACATGGAGAAATTAATAAATTTTGCTTCATTAAAATTTTCCGGCAAATGACGAGTTAAAAATGCAAATACAGTGCAAACAATGATTAAACAACTGTCAGCACCTAATGTAATCACCATTCCAACGACAGATTCATTACATATTAATCTTATTTCTTCGCCATGCTTATATTCTACGCGACGCACTCCAGGTGGCTCTATAATAATCCAAACAAGTACAATTAACAATCGTAAAGCCACAATGGTAGCTACCATAAATAGTTGTGATCTAGGGCTAATAAGGGATGGACGTTTTAATGTTGCATTATTATGATTAAAGATTCGATAAATTCGTGTCGTTTTAACAAATATAGCACCATAGCATAAAGAAAAGCTAAACCCTATTGAGATTCGAAACCATATGCATATTGGCATATTCGGTCTCCATAGTGGTACTACGCAGTTAGTACAAATGATACCAAAGCTAAACATAATGCAATAGCAGAGCTCACGTCCTGAAGCTTTAATTATAGGATGAAGATTAAATTTAACGTAGATAATTACCAACGAGATTAAAAATGCTCCACCCATTCCAGCGAAGATAATTACGGTAATTGCAATTGCCTCTTCGGCTTCCATATGGGTTATATTGACTCTATTACATGCTGTTCTATTTTGTTGCGGCCAATAACCCGCTGGACAGTCAATACACTGGCTCAGAGTATAATTGAAATACTGTTTGCTAATACATTCAGCACATACCCAACAACAAATTTCTTCTTTAGTAATTTTAAATAGTCCTTCCTGACATGGCTGACTACATTCCGATTCTAAAATATGACTCGAATTACCAATCGGCCAATAAATATCGTCTTCGCTTAATAATAAATCTTCTAACATCCACACACCAACTTTTTGAGATCGATAATTATCACTTTTCCTTTGCAAGTTATCAATATCGTAACCTCCCTCCCTGATATCCCCTTGATTATCGAATTCTACATGACTGCTGTTAGCAATATCCATGAAACTTACTCTCAACAAATACTTGAATAATAAATGACCATCAATCGATTGCATTGCTGAACATAAACCTGATTTTCCTTTACATAATTCTTTATGCATATTATGAAGAGCATGTGCATATGCATACACACCATTAATAACATAAATTATTTTACGACCTTGAGTAAATCCACCCGTTACATTAGTCCATCGTAAACTTTTGTCACATATATTTTCTGTCGCTGGTGGAAGATTGCAATTGAAATTAGCTTGCCAAGATTCGTTAAACCATGGATCTTGTATTCGATCCACATTATACGGCGTTAATTGAGTAAAATAACGATCGAAATCTCTAACATACTCGCCATGAAGTTGAAAATAAAGAGATCCTTCTGCGACATAATTACTACTATTCATATAATAAGTATTAGTAGTCCAATCGTCACTACCTATAAATATTATCCTACCAGCAGCATTAGCACGATCGGCAGCTTCAAATAATTTTGCCATTTCGCCCCAATTACAGAATAAAATTACAACTTTAGCCTTATTACTTTTGCTAAGTATACTACTCATTACTGTATCGTAGCGATGTGTAGGCGCCGATTGAGCTAGTTCATATTCAGCAGCGATACATAGATTGAGAGTAGTAATTTGTGAACGAAAATTTTTAAATCCATTTTCACCATAACTGCCTTCAGAATAGACGAATTGAACATAAGACCAATTATAGTGTAAGCATAGATCAATCATTGCACGGACTTGTAGATAATCACGAGGAACAGTACGAAGGAAATATTTATATCTCTCTTTCTCACTCAAGTCATCACTAGTCGAACTATAGCTGATTTGTGGTATACGAAAGATATTCAATAAATCAGAAACAAGAACTGATTCACGACTACTACCAGGTCCAATTAATCCAATAATTTGTTGGCGTTGAAAACGTTCATCAATTTCAGGTTGTGAGTCATTAGCACATCTTGGCAGATTACGATACTGATCTAAAAAATTACCCACCGAGTCACGTCCATTAGGAGTTAACATTAAGATCGATTCCCTTAATGCGATGGTATCCCTTGAGCAGGTGTCATGTATATGGAAGCCTAACTTAATACCAGGTAATAAATCTTCTCTGTTGTTTATGCGTTGAATAGCGTAGATCATGGCATGCATTAACTGTAATGATATCTCAGTCTCTCGTATTTGGCCACAACTTTGATTTGAACTGCTAAATTGATGGATTGGAAATAATCCACCAATAATAATATCACCAGGTTGATAGCCGTAGGCTCTATTATCAGATAAACTGTCATTACTTTGAACCAGGATCGACGTAATTAAGATGAAATAATGTAGTGATATATAGCTTAATAGATGTAACATGTTTCCTACTACTACGAAATCTTTTACCCTCAAATGGCTGAAATATATGCGTTAATCAGTACCGTAATTTAATAAAGTTAAAGACTCTTAAGTCTAGTCATAAAAGCAGATTCTCTTGTTAGTGATATTTGGTTCTAATCCAATGATCGCTGGCTTTGCTTGTGTAATATTCACTTTCGCGGCTATGCACGCAATCTATTTCAAGGACTCTTCCAACAACGATGGCTTTATACGAATGAAGGTATTAATCAAATATCACATTCAAGTAAGTATTCACGCTTGTCAGCACCTTTTACTTTAATTCCTTAAATTAAGTATTATTGGTAAGGCTTTTATAATTTTAACTGAAAGGCTCAGCTAATGTGACACATCATATGGTATAATAACATATATTAGAACCAGGAATAGATGAAAAATTACTTTTAAATTCTTTAAACTGATAGCAGCGCCCAAAAATTCATAAAAGATTGGAGTAAAACACTAAGGTAAAAATATTTCTCTTGAAATCACTTTTGCCCAAAATGTGGATACACTTAAAAATGATGAATCCTGCGATATTTCTTGACAATACGGCATATAAAATAAGTGATGTTAGGCTAAGAGCTAATCAAGGACAACCGATATCTCACATTGAATACCGATGCTACAAATTAGAATTAATAAGGTTGGACAATCTGCCGAGAAAAGCTATACGGCAATAGAGAATGCACTGACAGTAGATGATATTATTGATCTATAGGTTATACAATAAGGTAGGCTAAATGTCAAGGCTATATACCAGAGATTTGACCTCTCTCGAAAAGGTATTGCCAGCAAGAAGAATCGGATACAACATCCGCTTATTTATTGTAATAAAATCACAAAGAAAAATTAATTATTTGCATGAGATCAAAATCTCAACCTACATCATCGATACGTTGATAATAACATCTCCTGCTGATTTAACGATAGTGTGATAAAACAAATTGCTGAAGATGATAACGACCAGTTATAGTTTAATCATCAAGTATTAAGTATGAGATAAAGTTGTACACTAACACTGCAATAGCAATGCTTTAATTACTAATAAGATGCGTACAAGATAAGAATCAATATTATTTTACATAAAATAAGTCGGAAGTTAAACACCTGTCGTTGTATTGTTAAAAGAATTTAGTTTTCTTGAATGATAGAGCTTATTAATATCTCCTAACAATAAATTTCAAAGTAAATATCAAATCAGAAGTAGAGATAGAAGGTATAGCGATTTACTTCGCGATTAAATAACAATTATAATAAACTATTACTTACGTAATTGAAATGCTAAAAATGACCTTTTCTTCTTCCGTGGATGGCGTTGCAAAGCTTGAAGTAATGATTGCAATAGATTATATCATAGGCTTTGTTCTGTCGTCAACAACCCTTAACACCACAAGATAACAGTTCTAGTGATACTGTTATACCCACATATGAATCTTAATATATCGTAAATTTACTATATTTTATTTCTCTTGACTAATAATATTTATGTTTTAGCTTTGCTCGTTTGAGATGAAATTGAAAACGAAATTCTTTCGGTAATCATACCACCCATTATTACGGATAGAGAGTTAAGACTCGTTTTTAATCGTCACGTTCATTTTTAATGAAAGAAAATTTTTATCTAATTTCACGAATTTCAGATTTGACAGTGATTAAATCTAAATCTACTTAAAAATATTACTAAAATTCATATTACTTTGAGCGATAGAAAATGTGTTGCTGGATAAAAAGGGTTCTAATGATTAACTATATGACTCGGGATTCAAAAAGTAGCTAGTAATATATCGTATTTCTTCAAGAAATTATTTTGGAACGAACTGTTTAAAAATGATGCGTAGCACCAGAGAACAATATATTCAGAATAAAATTTTACTTGAGCTTCGTCTTATCTCATAATTTTACATTTTTGGTTTGGCAGTTTCTTCCTTCCTTTTATTAGCCTCTAAATTATTTTAGTCAGATATTTCGTGTGAGAAATTCGCAATTAAATCTTTGCCTAATTACGACTTTATAAAATTACTTCATATAAGGTCTCCAGATATGTCTAGATACTTTTAAATTTGCTGTCTTCATGCTACAATTTGTCTAAACCAGTTAGCCTGTGATACTACCTCACAGATATCCCTATAATACCACTCAATTTAACTTTTAATTTTACTTTTGAATCGAATTATCTATATATATGTATATTATTTTATGTCGAATCGACAAAATAGGATAATTTCAATCAATCTTTGGATCAAAGTCTTCGCTATTTACCTTTTTCTTTCCTGACTAAATATTATTAAGAATATTCTGTAATTCAACAAATTATCTGAAACATCCAGACACAGAGATCAAAGATTACAATAAGTATAATGTAAAAGATAATCTTTATCGTCTACAAATGAGTTCTTTATCATCAATAGGGAAACTGGACACTTTCAACACTTGTCTATAACAATTGAAGGTATTTTAATCCAGCAGTCATACAATTAAACCGACTTCAGTCCTCGAACTTTATCGTTATTTACTACTTTAAATAGTCTGTTAATTGATACATGATAAATGTTGTTCATATCAAAACGAGTTCAATTCTGTTAGGATCTTAACAATGCTAAATTGGATATCATTAACTCGATCATGACATTGCTTTGGATTGATAGATTCAAAATTTTAATTTTTTTATATAAAAATCGCCCATAAAAGAACCAATTAGCCTAAAAATATGAATAAAAAATCGTATAAATAAATTTATATCCTATAGTTATCAAATTTTGATTTTTTTTAACTTTGTCTTAATAAATGGGTTATGTAAAATTATAAGTATTAATTCTTTCTAACAATTTACTGTTTAATAAAAGCTTGACGATGATAAAAATTTCGAAACTGATAGTAAGTGCACGAAAGCATTAAAAAATCTTATAAAATTCATTTATTCTGACGCCTTCCGCGAAAACAGTATAAGTATACCTTCTTTATGCCTAGTTCATACCGTAGGAGTACTGTATGAATTCTACATCATGTACTATTAAGAACATGAAATTAAGGTACTTCTCGATTAATCAGAGTGATGAAATCGTACATATAAATTAGTTTTGGCAAGTACCTATCTAAGTGACAGGCTATAATTCTTTCTAATAACTTGTTGTTCAATAAAACTTACATAATTAGGGTTTTGATGTAGCTAACATTAATTTCGTGAAACTAACACGAAAATCGTGCTATAGTTTACTGATTATAATATTAGTAAACTATTAACAGCGATGATCAGTTGACATCGTTACTATACAGTAACTTATATTTTGTAAATTTGTCTTTATATAAAGTTTTGAAATCTTTACTCATCTTGTAAATAGTAAGTGTTAAATCTATCTTATAAAAAGTATTCTATTTGCTTAGTGTTATGATACGGCATCGGCCAATTCACCATCAGTTACTTCATTGATTATGACCCTAATTATAATTAGTCAAAAAACAGCTGTGGTCTGGTTCATCATACTATGCTTATTTACCTGCATTATTGTAATGAAACTGTCTTAATAAGTTCTCATAACAATTCATGTTGTTTTTAAGCTTGCTACATGTAAATAATTGGTATAATTTAATGAAACTTCGTAGAGTCTAGCAATGTACATAAAAATGTGAAGCTGGGTGCTTTTAAAATTAAAAATATTTATTGATTATAATCAATCATATCTTACCTTTAATTATGTCATATCGTATGCATTTACAACGGACAGTAATATTAATTAACATAACTTTTGAATAAACACATTTTATAGGAGCTGTCGCTGTTTCTGGTACTTATAATTTTGTGACACCGTTATTACAGAAACTTTAAGTTTAGTTATTAAATATCCTTTCAGTTCCTTTACTATCTAAACAATGTTATATCTGTAAATAACTTGAAAAACTGCCGTGTCTTAGCAGTAGTACAAAATATCACACTGCAACAGTAAATCGGCCACAGTAAGCTCAAGTTTGAAATAGTAAGATAATATTCGTATTCTTTGTTTAATATCGCTATAGTATTCTAAATTCCTACAATAAAGCGTAGATTTATTTGTTCATTATTATTAATATTGATGTTATAGTATGATTTATAAAGTAGAATCGAAACTGAACATGTAATAAGCTGATTTGATATTGCGTTGAAACTATAGTCTCATGAGATTGAATTATTTATTAAGTTAAGGCAGTATAAACAAGCATTAAATCAGAAGAATATACTGTAATAAAAGAAAGAGATCAATTATAGTTATATACTTTTCACGTAGCTGTAATAAATTCGTACACTGTACATAAAATTAGATAAGAAATTAATCGTGACTGGGCAATTAGAGAATATCTATGAGTTATAGTATTAATTAAAGGTCCGGTACCTACTTTCATGCAGTAATATAATCGCGGTGTTTATTCTACTACGGTCGTAAAAATGAATTACATCATTCTCATAAAATAACAGGAATCTGAGAACACCTGCCTCATCATCCCAACTTATACCTCCTACTTTTGCTGTCACTAATCCTCGATAATAGCATATAGGATAATTTAAACATGAGATTGTAAGTAGATTTGTCTATGGTGAGGTCTGGTCTAAGTATATTATTTTATTTCAGTAACTATCATAAAGCATCTTATACTTGTAATATTCATTGATATAATGTGTCTCTACGGTCTTACAAGCGATAAAACAACCAAACATTTCATAACAACTTTCCTTAACATATACAAAGGCAACACTTAATGACGTATTTTTGGCAGATATACAATACTGCTATCATTTTTTGTTCACAATTAATAATACATATACTATTACTTAATTCAGTTATAAAAAATATAATGTACTAGTATTTTTAGAAATTTAATCATTCAATTTTATTTTGATGGAACGCTACTAAATAAATAATTTGATATCTAATAACTTGGCTTTTTTTATAGTATTAAACTTTGTAATTTTTCGAAATCGTGTGTGGGAATTCACGTTGTAGCATATA